GGATATTGGGATTTGGTGATTCATCTTTCTGTTTGCTGTGAGCTATCAAACAATCAGCCACTTTGGTACTAAGCAATGTTGCCGCATTACTTGACAACCCCACAAAAATCTTTGTTGAATTGAGGCCTATTCTTGAATAGTACTTCGAGTAGAATTGTTCTGCATTTCCAGTTTTAACCAAACGCATATACTTCTGAGAAGTCCATATTTTCTTCATCCCAGGCAATCGTATAACTTCGTAGCTCTTCTTTTATGCTTTGAGGGTAGGTTTTTCTTTCAATTATTTTATCTCGTGCTTTCATTGATAACGCTTCGAATTCTTCAGCAGTGAATTTGGCTTCTTGAGTCGGTTGATTTCCCCGTGCTTGTTCCTCCTTATGCTTTACTGTCTTATGTCTTTTTAATCAGTAAAAAATATGTTGTTGTACTACGACAGATGCCGTTGCTAAGGGTGTCAATAACTACAAGGTTTTTGGGCGAAAATAACGTTTTAAAGGCTTCTCAAAGACTTACAGAGTCAACTGCTTCGACAAAGTGCTGTTGTAATTCTTCCTCGTTTTCCAAAGTTTCCAGTATGGCATCAAAATCGTCGTCCATGTCCGCCATGTTGTTTTAGTTCTGTGCACAGTCATTGGTCACGTGACGTTCAATCGAACCTCAGGGGACAATAGGCCGGTCCAAGGAAGTTTGCTGTGTTTCCTAACCAGTCCCCTCTACTAACTATGTTTCAAGAGACTGAACCGAAGCAGTAAAATATATAAACCACCTTCTGGCTTGCTGGTGTGTTAACTCATATTGTCCTTAGATGAGGGATTGTCCTCAAAATTTCATATTTGCCTTCGAAGCTACACTTCTCGGCCAGTATGTCGGGTAATATCTCAGCCGCGAACATGATCAACCGGCAAACCAGCTGTCTGTTGAAGGGGTTCAGTTACTAAATATCATTGCGCCAATCGTCTAAGCTCTAAGCCTTCCGTGCGCACAATGAACGCGTGAGCACGCGTGCTCTGCGTTCGCCTTTGGATTGCGTTGACAAAATGTAACGGACAATAATTTCATCAGAAGACATATTTAGCTACGGCCAATCTACCAAGGGTGGTATCACCTGTAAATCAATTCAAAGTGTCCTAGTCCAAATGTTGTAATTTACTATTCATAGTTAAGGTAAAGAACCGAGTAATGGAGAAATTGTATGCGTCAGCAACTGAGACTGAGGTAGGATGTCACAGTTGGCTTACTAACGAGCAGGTCAAGTCGCATATATTTGAAATTAACTTACTTGTCAGCAAGATTGTCGCTGAAATCGAAGTTAAATTAGAACTTCTTACCTTAAAATCATCAGCCCACGACTGGTGCAATTTGGTTTCGCGCCTCCGAAGAGAACTTGGAAATATTATTGACTGCTTTCCGCCATATTCCTCTGAAAACTACAAATTGTTTGGGGAAAGGCAAACCAAGCACATTCTGGAAGACTTTAAGGAGTTTAACAAAAGAAGAAACTATCAAGAAAAATATTTGAAACTAAGAGCGCAGATTTTGGTATCTGAAAAATTCTTCTGCGATAATACTCCCACAAAAAAAGAAAACGAAGAATTGAAAAACAAGCTTCACCACTTAAGAGCTGAGATCGATTCCTACCAGTCACGAATTAGGGAACTAAAAGCTTCTATCAAATGTGTTACCAGCGAAATCATCCGAGAGAAGAAAGCTGTGCAACGTGACGAATCAGTCATGAAAACCCAAAAGGCGAACGCATTACGGAGGTTAGAGGAACTGCGTCACACTTTGCGAAGGAAAGAAGAACGGCTGAAGGAAACTGCCGAACAACGACAAGGTGATAAGAGCGCTTTACAGAAGGAGAAAGAAGAAAATGAAAGGCTAATCCGCAAGTTAAATTTTCTCTTAGACGAGCAGAGTTCTTCAAAAATCCTTAAAGATTAAATTGGAAATGGAGTTAAAGAAACTATGTAACCAAATGAGTGAATTAATGCGGTTGGACTTTCCACTTCCTTCTTTTAATAAACAGTGACACCTTTCTTGTCCTTAAAACAAAATATTTTCCTTCCTTTTCCTCTTGAGCTTGCCATACGTGAAATGACGCGTAGCCAACTGAAGATAACAAATCTGGGGAAGGGGGGGCAGAGTTGGCGTAGTGGTGAGAACGCTCGCCTTCCACCAATGTGTCCCGGGTTCGATTCCCGGACCCGGCGTCATAAATGGATTGAGTTTGTTGGTTCTCTACTCTACTCCGAGAGGTTTTTCTCCGGGTACTCCGGTTTTCCCCTCTCCTCAAAAAACCATCATCATTTGTATTTAATTTAGAGTTTATTTCCTTTTACACACGACTCCACATGCTGTTCAGCTTTAAACCTTATCGTGTCTAAATAAAGGTATTATTATCATTATTATTATTAACCCCTACCATCAAACCAGCCATGAGTCGTATATCAATAATATACAAATGTAGATGCCAGAAAACTTTCCTTAACTGACGCAACTTAAGCTTGTTCACAACCTATTCTCTTGTTTAATTTGGATTAAAATAAAACCAATTCGGCCAAGTTTAATCTCAGGCTATCCTTCCATTACCTTCCGAAGTAGGGAGTTAGATGGTAAATTTTAAGCCGAAAAGTGAAAAAAAAAGTATTCAACAGATTTACGGCATTAAAAAAAATTGGGGTTTTACGGCCAAGTACCAAAACTCATTTAGGTGATATCCTGCGTTGGCTGCTGAAAACATTTGAGCTTTGATTTGACCTTATATCAAATAGTTGACAAAATGATACGATCCTAAACAATTAGAGACTGAATAACAAAACGGAAGTTCAACAGACAAAAAAAAAACAATAATGCCAGACACGCACAATCAATTCCTGTTCTCAGCAAACCCTATCATAATATTTATTACACATACTAAAACTGTGGATAGCGTTGAAGGCGCGCTCTGATTGGCTAGTCAAACTCCGAATATTCTTTGCTATTTACCCTCCGAGCAACTCGGGAAAAAATGGCGTCCCGGTTTGCATCCGTGACAAGCGAAGAAATTACTCAAGTCAATTTTTGGTGGTGTAAACAACTATTCACCACAGTGTCAGTGATTAGCGGCGGATATTTAAGGTAAATATCCGCCACTAACCACTGACACTGAGGTGAATAGTTGTTAACTATCTTAAAAAAAACTATTTAACCTTTATATCCATTCGAGAACTTGAATAATAGTATAACGGTTAAACTCGCAGTAACAACCTCTGTGAATATACTCGTATAAACCCGATATATAGGTGTACGTAAACAAACAAAAAACTAAAACCCATAAATTCAAATGTCTTCAGGTTTAAAACGACCAACACTTGAGTTTAGCTCCCTTTGAGAGCGATACAAAACGTTCCAAAGGAATAAATAGATAAATCAACGGTATCTCTTCTGAAAACTTCAAAGGAAACATTACGGTAAAAGAAACTACGATGTTACTTTTCAGTTAACGGTTATTCTACTGGCCTAAATTAACTTAATTTTCCAAGCTGTGCTTTTTTAAACAATTCACTTGCAGTGAATATCATGGAATCAATAATTCCTGCCACAGTGAAAGTCCCTCCCACGATAGCACAAACCTAAAAAGAACCAAAGAAAGCTGATTTGAAATAACACTGGTGACCAAAAACAAGGGATGAATACATGCAAGCTCCGTGGAGGCGTGTCTGAAACTTGTACAACATACAGTAATAACAAGGGGAACACACCGCGGGACTATACGCGTGCGTTATTGACAGTGTGAGGTCAAGATGGCTAGATATTGGCCGGGGGAGAGGGGAAGGGGCCGGGGGAGAGGGGAAGGAAAGGGGGAGGAAAGGGAAGGGGGGCGCGGGGGTAGTTTAACAGATTCTCTCACATACTGTAATTCTATTTTTAAAGTAGCGCTGTACAAAAAATGACAGGCGAGTACCTACGGTACCCTTGTTCCATCTCGATACTAAGTTGTTGTACATAAGGTAAACGATCTATAACAACAAGTCGAAGAGACCAAAGCTACGCTGTCACAACCACGGAGATCAACTAAGTAACCAACTGTGCATGAGATGTAAGGCGTTACTTTACCAACTCAAATCTCCGAATAATACTAGCTAGAAGTGCCAGAGAAGAGCTGTCAAATCCCAACTGTTTAACCATACCGTAGTGATAAAATGATAAAGCGGTTTGCGTCTCTCCACGTATTTGACGGTAATCGGACTCAAGTCATAGCGAAACCAAATTGCTGAAATGATATAAAAACGAGAAAACTATTCGTTAATCTCGAAAACTAAAGCTTTTCTGCACAAAAGCTAATTGAAACAGCACCGGAATGGTACTTCGATCTTTACAAGGACATGCCTTGTTCATGTTAACAAGCCAATACATAACTAATACCCTACCTGGCAGAATCCGGCCGCCATGTCCATAAGCTACATAATCCTAAAACAAATATCCAAACAGTAACATTGAATTCTAGTTCTCAGGGACAAAAGGTGTAAAGTAGACTGAATTTGAGAATCAAATCAAAAGCTAGCTATGAGAAATGAACCTTATAAGCCCAGGTATATTGATATGTAAAGGTTGTGCTTCCATCCAGTTTCTCGTAAATTGTAGGTACAATCTTCAATACATAGTCATGCGAAGACAAACCTGCAAAACAACAGCATCTATTTGAATACACGTGTACCACCCTGTCCTTCGTGGTACAGCAGGAGTGATTAGTAACTGTGTCACGTGAGAAATTTTTGTACACATCAGTGTATAAGCCCCCACTCACAGATAAGCCACATCTTGAGTTTGGTAACTCTCACACTTGAAGAAAAATCACTTTGAAAAGAAATTGAAATAAATCACAAGTAGAGTCTTGAGAAAGTTGTTTTATTATGGTATGATCACTTTTACTCACTATTAACATCTTCTTTATTTCGTCCTTTAAGAGCCACAAAAGCACCAGGAAGTTTATCCTGTGTTGGAAAAGACATTTCAACCACACAAATTAGACAGAAACTAACAATTGCAGCAGCAATTTGTAGTGTTCCTTCACAGGTACCAGGGCTTGGCACTTACTTTCCAACTTACTAGCCAAGTGGCTAGTGACGACTTAGATGGTACAACAATTTCAATTTGTTTACTAGCCAAACTGGTTAGTGGAAATTAAAAAACCATTAGCCAAAACTGAATTTCTACTAGTCTGTGGCTAGTTGGCTACCGCAAGTGTCAAGCCCTGGGTACAGAAACTACTATATCCCTACACCTCAGTATTACCCTGATTTCTGATCCAAAATTAAGAGAGTTGATGTGATGTGCCATATCTGGATTATCTGGCTGAGAAAAGACAAAAAGAAATAATTTTATAAAATTTGCTGCAATCAGGGCACAGGTTAGTCTCCTTTGCAAGCATTGTTTGATCTTATCATGCAATATGCTTTCTCCCAAACCAGCGATTGGAGAGAGAGCCCATTATGCGATGAGACCAAACAACGGCTGGGAAGGAGAATGGGTACAAGCTATCAAGGAATTTAGAAGACTGGTTAGTAATGATCAAAGCATTCACCTGTGCACCTGCTCCATGGGTGGACACATGGAAATTACCAGGAACCTTGAGAAAAGAAAAATCCTGATTTAGAAAGTTACTACATTATCAAACTGCTGTCTTGAGGACCCTGTGAACTGTTAATTAGTACAAAGTAAGGTTATGAATAGCTGTCTTTAAGTATTCAAAGCATGCAAAGATGTTACTCCTAGATCTGCAATATGCAAGACAGGTTCTTAGAGTAGCCCACATGCTGTTGCAGACTAAAAAAAACAGATGCTAGCAACTTGAGTCATGAATCTTATGTCTTGTGTTTACCTGCTTGAAGGCAATATATAATATATCTGAATACCTTGTTTATATTGAACTTGCAGGAGAAAACGCATCCTTCTGAAAGACAAATTTTACAATAAAATTTAATGTAATGGCAGGAAAAAACTGGAATAAACTGTACATATTATGTAAATAGTGTCTGTAAGTACAAACAAATGTAACCTGCATGTACCTCCATGATTTGTTTCTTCAGTGTGGGTATTCTCCTGAAAACCAACCTCATGCCTGTAGAAAAATATTACAGTAATTTACAGCCATAGTCAACACATTAATTGACTTATTCGATTTAATGCATGAACTTGAGTTTTATTTTGTAACCTCTCAGAGGTTGTTTTACAAAGGTGGCTTAATTGACTAAAAATATGTGTTCAAAAACAATGTTCTGTCAAATCAAAGTGTTAAAGCACTATGAGGTATATCAATAACAAAAAAAACATACAAAAGTTATTAACTGTTACCATCAAAATTATCAGTTTATGTCAATTTATCACTATCATTATAATTAATATCAATATGAATTTGACCAAACATACCGTCCCATTTCATCCTGGATATCCAGACCAAGATCTGAATAATAACAGCAAGTCAAATTTTGCATAATTATACATTATTTGACTATTATGAAATGGATGATAGATAATAATCTAGAACAAAAATTGAAAACAAACACAAATGCTTATCTACTTTTACTGTCAGCAATATTACCATAAAAATCAACAAGGAGAAAGGTACATTTGCATTTCGATACTTTTGACCAGTGGCTTCCACTTTTGAAATAATTATTAACTGGACTGATCACTGACAATTTTTTTCTAGAAATGCAGTGAATGGCCACTATTAGGAGGGTTAACTTGTTTCATGAGCCTTTACCATCTGGGAGGGAGACTATCTGTTTTTCCCAAACCTTCCCTACCCACTATAACCCAAAATCAAACATGGTGACATGATTACAAATGGTGAGCTTGCAATGCTTGTAGGTGATTCAGCCAAAACAATTAGCTTGAAATTCTGACTTGCCCTACCTACTGAGATGCCTACACTTTATTCTTTAAATATTTAGTTAACACCTCAAAAATAGAGAGCAAACACAGGTGTCAAATCATGGTGGGTGAAATGAATTTATAAGTGATACATGATTACCAGTATGCCCAAAATTAACAAGTGATGTCAGGGCTGTCATTAGTCGCCGGCTACTCTGACAAAAATTGCTGGCTGCTTCACTCATGAAATAACATTGAAAGTTTAGATACTGAGCAAGTCTAACCAGCGGCCCTATTCATTTCCTTGGTAGAATTATGAAAAGTAAAGTACCGTATATTGCAATTTCTCAATCATTTTATTAGGTAGTTTTCACTGTGATTCCCTCATTCGTCCTCAAATGCCAGAGAACTAAATAAAAATCTCTCTCCTTTGTACTTCATTCTACAAATTCAATAAAATTTGATCACTGTTACACCAGGCAACAAACTCAAATTTATTCATAGCATTTGTAGACAGAAAGTTCTCTTATTTTTTATTTTCTTTAAATATGATCACAGAGATAAGAGAGACTGCCTTAAAATGTCTCCAGGAAAAGGCTTAAAATGGTATTTGGGCTTGTGTAACCCTGCAGGCACAGGAAGAGCTTTCTGCAAATTTAGATTAAATAAATCTTTTTTGTTCTTGATTGTGATTGTCTTTCTGGTGGGAAACACCCCTTGAAAATGCTGAAAATGGCATTTGCTTGACTATTGATTTGATAATTTTCTTAGGGGGTGGAGTGGGTGGGGGTGCCCACTATTTTTATCAGCCATCTCAACTGACTAGTCATTAATAGTACTGTTCTTTTCAAGAAGTGAGACTAGCTAGAATTTCTCTGAGGAAAGGCAATTTTTGGTAATTTCAAAATGTTTAACTCATTTTGCTTCAGGGGGCTTTGCCCCCTTGACCCCCAACAGGGCTCTGCCCCTGTACCCTGCTGGGGCCCTGGGTGGCCCCCAAACCCCTCACCTGTGAGGGGGCCTCTGGCTACTTTCAAAATATCTCCACCTACTTCAAATCTTATTGACAGCCCTGGATGTGTGACTTTTAGAGAAAGGCAAGGTAAGCTGGACTGATGTGCTTACATAAGTATATAATTAGTCACTAAATATAGGTAGCAACAAAGGTAACTCACGTTCACACTTCATTCTTGGCAAAGTTATGTTTAATTTCACATCCAATCGGTCATTTTCTGTTGGGTTATCTACAAACAGCTCACTAACACTGAGCCAAAAACAAGAAAAAGATCCCCTCAGGAGATTAAAAAATTAAATTCAAAGAAACATGTATAAGTTGCAGTATCAGTAAACTGTAGCCATGGATAAAGGGCCAAATTAACATTCATTTTCTACATGCTCTTCATTTTTTCATGCACTTAATTTCAAGAAACTCAATCAATGCATGAAGCAAAAATAGTTTACCAAGATGGAAAGTGCTAAATGACTGCAATGTGAAAAGTTAGCATTTCTGAAAACCCAACCACCATGCCACAACTTATTGCAGTGGTGAACTTGAGATGTGTTTTCAAATGTTTGAAATGTGAGCATTTATCAAAATCTAACACAAATAAAACATTTCACAACTACTGGGGAAAAGTAATTTCATCTTTTCATGCTAACAGACCAAACACCTATCCCTAAGTTGCCATTTGGCCTGATTTGAAGTGATTTTTTTCTCTTTCTTTTGAAATGTTCTTTTTCAGATATACACACCAAAAGACAAGAAAAATTGTCAAGCAATAAATAACCATAAAAAAACTTAGCTTGTCAGTACTACTAACAGTAAAGAATCACTTCCCTTGAATCATGGTACATATGTTGTTCTAATCTTTTAACTGCTATCCAATTTCAGTGTATCAATTGAAAAATAAAATTTTCATTCAATTTGGCACTTACATTTCTGTGTTGATAAAGCTGTAAAACTCTGATAACAACAAAAATACTATGAACAGGCAACTGCATATTGAGACTGTTGAGTAAAAGAAATAGTAAAAGGGTTAAGCTGCTTCATCAGTTACTATGACAACAGTAAAAAGATTCACTATTCATCTTGAATCCTCTTCATGCAGTAATTTGTAACATGTACTTTCAAGCTGTCAACACCTCATCAAAGTACACATTTTGAAGATAAACTACAATACGCCTTGTTCACTTTACTGGAAATTTCATGGCATGTTTGTCTCAGTTTTGATTCCACATTTGTGCCTTTAATGATAAGTGCAGCATGGCTAAAGTAGTGCGTTCGCAGAAGCATTTGTCAATCTTACCAGCACATCGGTAGTGTGTTCGCCGACGCATTGATAGTGTGTTGGTGGTGTGTTGGTGGTGTGTCGGTAAGGTGTCGGCCGAGGTGTTGGTGGATCTTACCAATGTGTTGGTAGTGTATCAGTAGTGTGTAAGCTGATGTGTTGGCTGACACATTGGCCAATGTGCTGGCCAATGTGTTGTTAAGATCGGATTCTTTACCTTTACCATCACTTTTGTGACTGGAAACCAATTGAACAACTGACACTAACTGTTCTCTTACATGTCTCTCACCACTTATACAAATGTCTTTCCCATCTATTCAATCAGTTCAAGCTATACTCTACTGAGAGAGTAATGGGTATTTGGAGTAAACATCTGTCTCCAAGGGAAACTGACTCAATCAGTATACAAAACTGAAAATTGTGCAGCTGTGTGGTATATTCCCAAAGAGACATTGATAGTATACACAACAAATACAGACCTGATAACATGAAAGACTTTTGAATGTTTCTGGGTACATACTGTACATTCAATACAGTTGCTCTGAAGGAGTCATGTAATAGTGACACAATCCTCATCATAATTATTGAAACACTCCCAATTCAGATCCCCCACCCCCTTTTCAATGTTGAATACAAAAAAATTGCAGTCTCTGTAGAAAAATGATAGCATTGAGAAGGATGTTGGACCCTTCAGAATTGGTTTTTAACATAAGTAATTGGAAAAAAGCACTTACTAACTGCCCCTGTCAGTGTGGGTTCTGTTAAATCCTTTGGAACTTTTCTATAAACATCAAACCTGTAATATACAAAAAAACAGTACTTAAGGGAAATACCACCCCATGTCATGTACATGTGACCTTGCGCTAACAAGTGGCTTGGAAGCTCCTCTACTTCGTAGAACATTCAGCCCTGATGACTAACTAACAAACTTTTTCCTGCCTTCATTGTCTGACCCCAAATGACTGTCAAAGCACTCTTCAAAGAAGCCTAATCTCTCTTAAGCATTTATAATAAAAAACTCTTGATGAACATCTGTATTTACATGCTACTAGTTAAATACAACGGTCAACCCCTTAAATGAAGAGAAAGTTGGAAAAACAAGAATCTTGTTCAAAATCACTTGTGAATGCTATAAGCTGGGAATGATCTAAGTGTATTTCATTCACAATAGACACTAAAAGGAGGATCTGCCTGGCTGATTTAGCAAATACATAGTGCTGGCCAAGTGATTCTACTCTTTGTTTTACTGCGTAAAACTTTAAAATTCAACTAAGAACTTTGAAAATAGACTTATAATAAGGCAGACAAACCATCTTCAATCTTTTATAATATATGAATAAAAAATATTCTGGATTAAATTTTAATGTCTCAAATAACTGGATGTTGCAATGAGGAAAACCAGGTTAATAAAATCGAAACTCCTGCCTCTATATCTCACGCAAGGCAAACTTAGCATCCCCATTATTTCCTAGGGTACACAGTCCTGGTTTTCTTTTCTCAGCTGCCAAATATACACAACCCAACGTGTTTTGACACGTGTGCAATATTTTATAATTCTGGAGAATTTTTTATTTTTCCAATCGAAACTATCCTGCATAGTGATCAAGCTTATCGTTCACTAGAATTTCTTACCTTCTAACATCAAACTGCATGTTTCCCCGGTAAAATTATACCATTCACTCGTGAAAGATGCCGGACACAAAACTATAAACAATGGCTATTCGAGAACATAACTCTGGTTGCAAAATTTTTGCCGCCATGTATAATTTCTTACGCGGTGAATATTGATTGGCTGAATTATATACTTACCAGACTTCCACTCGTTGCGACAGCGCGCTTGAAATGAAACTATTTGGCTTGGTAACTAGTGCTCATTGAAATTACGTTGGCAAGCCTCGGAAATAATTATGATTAATTTTCCGAATGAGAGACGGAGAGTATAAGGCTATGACGATATGCTCTTAATTTTAGAAAAGCAATTACAACTCTAGATAGGATCTTACTCTTATAGATAGGATCTTCCCCACAAATTCTTGACACATGATTAAAAGTTCAGAGTATGATAATACTGTACCAAGGTTTGTTAGCAAACAGCTCCTGTAGGACTTTTTTCGAAGTATTTAGATGTCTCGAAAACAATTTTGACTGAAAAAAATATATATATAGAAAACAGTTTCACGATGACGTCCGCACTTGCGTACTTGCCTGAAACAAAAGTTGAAAGCTCTTGGGTAACGATCAATCACACAGCTCGTAGTTTTCAGTCCTTTTGTATTCAAATATTATAATTGCAACGTGGTGTAAACATGGTCAAGGTAACTATGATCCTACAAAAAAAGCTTTAAAGAAGAACAGCTCGTTGGTTTCCATGGACTTTGGTCAACATTTTCAGGCAAACTTTATAGAAACGCTGAATGCTGAGTTAAATTTCACCGTATCCGCGTAGCTGGCTGTTTAGCTCGGCCGGAAGCTTTGTTTGCTCTAATGCCTAAAAAACCGTCGACAACGAAAGCTATTTCAGGTATGCAGCTGCCTATCAGTTGATATCATTACCTAGACGCTTTAGCTAAAGCGGAATAAGAATGAAAATGAAACTTCCGACTAATTCGAGATGAGGTTTCACCTTGCTCATCCTTTGTGAAAGCACCTTTAATTGAAAAAAAAAATTGAACATTGGTCTCAAGAGATTAACTTATGATCTCTTGCTGCTCTTTAAATGTCAAATGGATGGTCTTTATACTGCGAAAACTATAAATGGTTAATTAAAACTACACTGCAAGAAATATTACGATTTTCCTCATAATTTATTGAAACATATTTGGGCGCCATTCATCTGGGTCTGGTCAAGTACATTATAATATATTATGACTAACATCTTTTCAAATTTACATTCTCAATATTTTGAAATTTATCAATAAATATATCGTACATATCTTTCAAACTTTTCTTCTTTGAGTCAAGTTTTCACAAAACGTAATTCGGCTTACTTTTAGTCTTGCCACCGTAAAGTACAAGCCTATTTTATTTTATCAACTACTTGGGTAATACGAAAGTGATAATTTTTTTATTATTGCATAAATTACAAAAATATTCCTCATCGAAGTGGAAGAGAATTTTGTTAAATATTATAGTCTCCACTTCAATTTTGTCATAGTCTTTACTTATTCCGACCATTTTCAAAGCGTACAGTGACAATGATTTTACCACATGCAATTCATAAAATGAATTATTGTGTAAACCATAAATAACCAGACTAGAGGGTAAACGACGTGTCTTGTGAGAAAAGAGCATAACTGTTTTTTTTTTTTTTTTCAGCTGTAATGGTAGATATACATTGGATTTACTCCGCTACTCTCTAAAATCAGCTTTAGTTGTACTAAAGAGTCGTTAATTTTTTGTTTCTTGCCTCTGGTATTTGTGAGCTACATAGGGGAAGTAACGAGCCCGGGTGAATTCTGTTTGTTACCAGAGGTCGTCATTTCGGATCCACATGGCAACGGTGAAAAACTGAAAAACCCAAACGGGGTGGTCGGTGTATGTGTACTCGTTGCTCTATTTGTCAGCTGAGTCTCCGATTCCCAATTAAGGAGTTGCCCCATGAAGTTAAAGTTTGGTGATATAACTGAACGGCGCTTCTTAACGTACTCGTAAGCTTCGTCCAACCTGAGTTGATGTCTACTTATAAGATATGCGAGGCAAATGGTGGCTGATCTTGAGATCCCAGCTTGGCAATGTACTAGTACCCGTCCTTTCGATTTCTTCACTGAATCTGAAATGAGACAAAAAAAGGGGAAATAAGTAAGTGAAAATACATTTAAAGAAAAGATGAGTTTTTGATGAGGTGAAGCTTCCATGATAAGTTTTTACAGTGAGAACGACTAAGAAAAGAAGCAGAAAAATAAAGAAAATCTATATTCATAAATATTGGCTATCTGCAAGTCCGTCAGTCAAGACTCATCACTTGACAAGCCCCAAGATTGCTTCAAGGGATCGACCTTTTAGATTGTGTAATGTTAAGGGAGTTTCAGTGATTCTTGATATTGACCTCTAAAAGACCAGCTCGAACTTTCAGCAAGTTAACACTTTTTTGATTATTTTCCTTTGGGAAAGCGAGAGTCTTAAAGTCACAAGTTTTCTTTTCATCGATTGTGTTCCCTCTGCGTTCAAAAGAATCTCTTACCTATAAACATCGCCGCCTCCTCAAACCATCGGCCGATATCTGCAGTGTAAGTGTCGTCAACCGGAATGGACTTGTAGTCGTATGCATCCTCGAAAAAGTTCGGAATATTTCTTGATACATTGACTATGGCAGTGATACCCAGGCGTTGTAGGAGCTCTTTCTGAGACGAGTGGAATTCACTTCCAAGATACAGATGCGGTAAGATTTCAACAGGTTCATTTGGCTTGGCTGACATATTTGGGCGTGATTCGGCATAATCCCTGACAGGATCAATCTCGTTTCTCGGGCTGAATCTTTTAGAATCTTTTGCTTTGAGCCTTAAACCGAGAGGACTGGAGCATGCCTGTGACGCTGTATGAGGATTTGCAAAGTAGCACATAGAAGGGAACGACGACGCGAATTTTTCAAATCCTCCTACCAAAAAAACAAAAACAAAATGCAGTCAATAAAATTATTACCATAGATCGTGATCATAGTTTTTCATGAAATAAAATTAGTTTGACCTTCAGATGAAAATCAAGTAAAGCAATGATCCTCGCAGGTGAGCTGCAATTTAAACAACTGCCCTCAAGTCTGAATTTTTTCAGGCTTCTTTCCTGTAATTGCTGAAATTGAAGCTCATTGCTTTACTTGATAATTTGATTGTGTTGTGGAGACTACAAAACATGCTAGAAATCACGAAGACAACAAAGATATGACGTTTCTTCATAAGTCGGTGGCGTTTCTTCGTGTAATTCTTAATTAATGGTTGTTCTAGATATCAAACCAAATATATCTTCACCGAAAGCGGTGACGCTAAAATATCTTTTGGTAGCAAATTAGTGACCGAACATATATGCTGGCGCACTATCTAGAAAACTCAACGTTCAGAGTCTGAGAAGATTTGAAAATGTTAAATGTTCTCGTCAGGATTGAAAGATTCGGCATTCACCAAGACTATTTAACCACAGAAAAGAAAACACTAGAAGGAAAAGAAAATCAGCTGAGTGTACCGTCACAACTGGTCAGGGGAAGCATGTTGGTACGTGCTTGTAAATATTTTCTCATAAATTCCGATCAGAATGTTTCCTGTTTTTTTATTCAACTTTAAATGAAGGAAATGGTAACCAATAAGCCCAAATATTGCGAAGAAAAAATAGCCCGTCCAATAAAGGACATCCGCGATGATGTTTGACCTCTTTGATACGAACTCGATTGAAGACTGTTTTCAACTCGTACTAGAGGGGTCAACCATTCACTCCTTTAGTCATACGTGATGTCTTTGTCTTCATTCACTCACTGATATTTCAATAACAAAGGAACTCTTTCATTCATGAATTCACGATGAGCAGCACACGTAAACACGTAGTACACATTAATTACGCTTCGGCTTTGTAGTGTTTCTTCATCACAACATTCCCTCGCCTTCATACCAGCGAGAAATAATCGATATTTCCACTTCCATCACCCTTCAGAGGGATCGTTCAAAAATAAATAACACTTTTTGACCTCTCAACGTCAACACTAAGAGCAACAATTAAATGATAAAAGCACACTGCCTAGGAGCACGTGGCTGACCGAACAATAGTTATCAGAGGCTTTCAGCTGAGTTACAAGGAAGCACTGAACTACTACGGGAGGACTAAACTCACCTTTAATGAAATATAAAGTTTTGTCTACTCTTTCTCTCCTCAAAAGCATATAGAGTATCTTCATCGTATTGTCCTTTTCCAAGTCATTCCAATCCTGAGTTCCTTCCCCGTACAAAAATAAAGTTTCTGCATCCGCAACCTTTCGTTTCAATTCAGGAGATTTGAGTAGACAATCTAACGTTGATGATCCACGATGCAGTCTTCTTCTTAAGATAGGAGGGCAGTGAACGTTAAGCGATCCTTTGATGTGGGCGGCGTTAAATGATAAGAACGAACGACAGTCAATGACTATACATTTCTGACTCAGAGAGCTGGTCATGTTTACAAACGTGAGTGGGGCGAGTGGCCATACAGAGTCATTCTCATCCATTGCAACCATAATCTTTGACGCAGCAATGATTGATAAGTAATTCCTTAATTCCTCTTCCTGAAAACAAACAAGAGTCGATCTATTACTTGACGATGAAAAATCTTTCTAATGTTTCTCCTTGCAGGGCTTCGGTGTCTTATGAATCTTTTTCAGGCCCGCGCTTTATATTCTCTTAATTCCGCGCACCCTATTCCCGAATTGTTATTTTTAACCCTGGTGACGTCATTCAAAGGCGTTTTGTTAACGTCGTGTCGTGCCTCACGAGTTTTGCTTGAGCCTATTATGTCGTCTTTAGTCAAAGAAACCAATACAGTGATGACCTATTAACAATATCAAAACAATGGGTGTTCCATTCCGGTCGTGACAGAAATGTTATCGGGTTCTCAATTTGACGTTTTTCGGAAATTACTTATCTATCAATTTTTTTTAGCCAACTGTTTTTTGCATTGAAGAAGAGCAGTAGAGGTCAAGTCTGTGAATTTGAACCAGTCCAATGACTACTTAAAGAATATTTCTTTATCTGACACTGGGATTAGGCGAAAAAATCCATTAGCTGTAACGAAAAATTATGTGTGATGACGTCTTCCACCAAAGCTTTTCTTTTCGCTATCGCATTTCACATCGAAACTCATTTGATTTCAAGTCCAAACAGGGCTAAAAACGAAACAAACCAGTGTTTTAACGAATGTCATTTCTTTTTATATCAGAAGAAAATCCACACTAATGCTCTCCATGAATCAAAGGACCATCTGAGTAAACTTAGGAAAAAAATCAACGTCACCTTTTCTTAATTAAAAGGTGAAAAGGTGAAAAAGAGAAAACAGTTATTTGACAGATCGTTATTTCAATTCGAGAATACGTAAAAATTATGCATCACTTCAAATATTTTACTAACCGCCGAACCTCGCCCTAATTCCAGACAACACACTTTGGTGGGAAACGCTACTCGTAGCCGGCTCTGGGTGCCCATCCAACGCGTTCCTGCTAATATTTAATTGGTTGCGATTTCCCTGGACGGCAAACACCGGCAAACAGGAAACGTTTTAATGCGCTAACAGAGACTCATTGCTTCCTCAAGACTCAACAAAACAATTCACTGACTCACTGACGTGGACGTTTCCAAACTAGAAAACTTCTCATCTTTTCAGTTTGCGCTCATCCTTAAAACCATACTACTAACTATGTTAAAACCAGATTGAAAGCAGCAACTTTTAGCGGACCGTTGACAACATCGCGTGATTGATTCTGAGACATGGTTCACTAGTTGTTACACCCCACTTCCAATCAGGCAAAATTATTCTAACATCACTTGCTAGCAATTTCTGTGGATCCTTTATAGATTTGACACATAGGTTGATATCAGTGCAGAAGTGAGAGTCCAAATACGGCTGTAAACAGAGAACGCCCTTTCTCAGTCGGTTTTTCTTAGGTTTTCTCTTGAGAAATCAAACCTCTAATCGTAGATGAGGTCACTTTGACCCGAAATAACATCATTCAGCCTCCGTCTGTCATGAGTAAAACTGAATTGGCGATCTGTTCGCGTACTGATTACAGGTCAAAGTTTTTGGCTCATAAAGTGAAAACTGATAGAGCTTTTTGTTATAGTATGAAACTTCGCCGCAAATAGCTAAGATTAATAGTGGGACCGGAAAGTCAAATATCGTTCGTCCTTGAGAAATAAGCGCGGTTCTCGTGGTGGCTTTTTCACCACTCGTCTCAAAATATCAACAACCCTGAAATTAACTGAACGACAGCATTTCTCATGAATACAGTAAATCTCCAAGTCCACTGCAAAAAATGATGATTTTAACCTTGATCGGCTTAATTACAGGCTACAGATCACGAGTTAATAAGGGATGTAATTCGGGATATCTTTTTTTCAAAATGACCTCTATGAGAACCAACGAACTGAGGGCGGAATGTTTTGGATCTCGAACAAACAAGTGCCCTCTTTTTCGCTACGTAAGACACTAAAGCTGCCCTATGCGTATAAATAATCCGATTGGGGAATGAAAATCTTTTCTTTTTTAATTTTTTTTTTTGTCACACCTCTAAAGTTACACTGATTCGACAACAATTTAGATCGTAGTTAGTAAGTTTGTACTTACTCAGTCATTTTTTAAACCATGGATCAGTGAATCCCAAAGTTGAAAAAGCTTAGGAAGGACTTAAACGTTATGTTATGGAATTTAATCCAGGCCCTAATTACGATAAACTCGGCTAAAAAAACAAGGCTACACGGATCGGCTACATGCAAATTATTGGCGACTCAAACTTGGCACCTCATGCTAACTTGTCAAGGGCACATTCAATAATAAACGTACATCGTTGTTTTTCAGGCTCAATTTTCGAGAACAGCTGCATCCGTTGAAGTTTAAAAAAGACTTTTGATAGGCGGTGCAGGAGCGGGCTGCAGCTGTAAAGCTGACCGATTGTACAATAGACCTTCCGAAAACTAAAGGCTGGGTAGTTTTTCCGGAGCAGGAGTGATTCAAACATCCTCCGAAAAAAAAAATAGAGCTTTCCAAATGGGAGAGATTATATATCCCTTGAGTGTTTTGGCTTCTAAAATTCCGTTAGTCAATTAGTTTCAGTGTCAAAATACCAACCGAGTGATTTTAGCGAGTCTTTACTGTAACTTTTCTATGAAAAGTGTCCTTGTGATTCTGAAAACGTACAGCAGCTTTTTACTTCGTGTAGTGTATTATTTTGGATACCTTATAGTTGAAAAGGCAAGATCGCTTAATGATCTGGTTTTGGTCCGCCTACGGTGGAAACATAATATCGAAATGAGAACATTGAACGCATAGCAAGGTTTAATCGTCTACGGATCCTCCTCGTTTTCAATGTATATAGGATAAATCCGGTATCCTAGGGCTATAGAATTTATAGGTCACTTTATTGCCACAGCTCGATCCTTTTCGTATGGTTGACCGTCGACCACATTGATCAGACGACATTATTCACTGTGACAGTCATACCATACTGGCCTCTTTCAATCCCTCTTTTTCCTGGCATGTGACCGTAACGTTATTTCGATTGGGTGAACCAAGGTCCAATCAATATCTCATCACTAACGTAGAATAGACAAATTAAACAACAGTAGCCAGACAACTAAGAGTGCAACAATCGGCAGCAAAGAACACAACAAAATCTTGAACTAGTGAAACATAAGTCTAATATTCCCGCGTTTTTTAGCTGTCCTATTTACTACTACGCATTCACTCATTCATTCATTTGCTGGTAACACGTGGGAGCCCAGTCCAAGCACGTTCCCTTGTTATGCTTCATTACATGAACCCAGAATAAGAAGCGAGACTAAGTAATGTTTAGCCTTGAAACTATTTCATTGAACGCACTGAAGAGCGGTTTTTAGCCCCTTTCTCGCCTTTGAATCTTTTCGTTTAGTGTCTCAAAGAATTAGAGACAATCCATACTGTTAGTTCTTAAATATTAGTCTGAGTGTTGAAATATTACCGAGAAGAAACGTTCCTTTGACCACTAAGGGACAAGAGTGAACAACTGTGCGAAGACTTACCTTTCCACTTTAGAAACTTAACTCGCTAAACATCCTATCTTTTGTGTAGACCGGGGTTCACGCACACACCAAACTGGGACTATAACGAATCACCGGAAGTAAATTTAGCGACTGGTTGATACCAGTACAGAGAGAACAAAAGATCACAGGTCCTGCTTTAAATCACACGGTCCTGATGTATTATTTAAGTGTTTTAGACTCCAAGGTTTTTAGAAAAAATATTTCAAGAGGAATCTTTACCTTTGAGTGTAATCTGATGTTTAGACACTTTTTCTGTGTAATTTAGGCCGTGATTTACTTGTTGGTTCACAAAGTAGCTGTTTTTTATAACTTCATATTGGAATTTGGATCAACAACCTATTGGCTGGTACCCGCTGCATCAGTCGGAGAAGGAAGATCATTTGGTGTAAGAATAGCTAACCAGTTATAGCGTTAGAACGAGATGGAGAAAAAAAGATAAATATAGATCTGATGATGTTTTTTCTCACCTCTACGATAATTTTAGCATCCGATCTGGATCACAAGCAGCGATGGTGTTGCTAATTCACTCTCGAGTTTCACGAGCCTGTAATTTGCAGATATCTTCAGATGTTCCCAAAATTTTCTTCATTCTAAAAGCAACGTTAACGGAAGGGAATATGAAACCATTCACAATAACAGTTTCGAAGTCAGGCTTCCAGTGTCGTGTCCCACTCTGTTCTACACAACGTAAATCCTTTGTTTCCTCTAGGCCCCGCCCGACGGATCTGCAAGGTTACTTAGCTTTTACTATGTAAAGTGAACAGTGGAAATTTTGGTTTAAGGGGAGAAACTTGATTGCTAAGAACGCAGGAAAGCTCATTATTCCTCAGCGATTTCCCGAGAACTTTGCGCCGGCCGCGGCCGCGCGTCAAACACGGCAGGATAATCAACCTTGTCAACACGAAAAAAAAAGGGGAAAAAAACAGTCTCCTAAGTTGCAAGTCCTCCACTCGTGCGGGCTAATACAGCAGTCAACATTGTAATGACTAGGTGGCGTGCCCACAGGCTGTCAGAACTAATTCAATTTGTCTCACAAGAGTTACAAACAACTAAACTAGCCAGTAAGTCTCGGTGTCTTAAATGCTTGCGGCTTTTTTGGTGAAGCTCAAAATAGAATGGTAAACAAAAAGGAAAAGTCTCGATTTTTTTGTTTTCCCTTTTGTTTCCTTTCATTAATTTCCACGATTGTTTCAATTTTCTTTTGCATATTTTGCGAGACAACGGACACCGCTTTCAAGTACGCACATTTCATTAGGCTGCTCATTTGGTTATAAGCGCAAGTGCATAGGTCTTCAAAGCGCGTAGGCGTACTACCTCCTCTTTTCCTCCCAAGTTTTGTGTTCACAAGATTTCGAAAGATCTGTTTGCAATGTAGTTGTTCGCGCATGCTTAAATATAGCAACTTTTCTGCAATAGACTAAATTTTCTCAACTTGATAGGTTACTGCTATATCTTATACGTATGGGGCTTCGCTGCTGGTTCCGCTATTAGATTTGCTTGCTATATCAAGGAACTGCAACAAAACTAATCGAAACTTCATGACAGCATTAAGTAGAAAGGAAGTAGCTATTGAATTCCTAGTCAGCTTATACCACTTAATATACACGTGACAGTGCACTGAACAAGGGGCACAGAGCAACTATACTCACAACTTAAAAAGATTAGCGGATATTATGCAATTTAGCCCCGATGTAACTAACGACATTGTGGGCAGACAAGAGAATACTGCTTTTGACAATGCGTGTGACGGGTGACGTTCATGGAAATTTAAGGCATCTCAAACACTATCTCTTGAGAATTCAATTGCTTGAATGCCATTACCACGATGTAAAACTGAAGTTCGGTCTAATAAAAGTGTATCTTAGAAACCAGCCTGCGAACGTGGACATGAGCTCAAATTCGATCGTCGTCATGGGGAAGCTCCCCCGAACTTTGCCCTCGAACTGAATTAACCACCCGTGCACTAGAAATAACTACTCCCTCTGTCTCTCCATCTCCCTCAGCAACAATGTTCCTGCTTGTTCCAAATAATTTTTACAGAAGAAATGAATGAAACAATATTATTTATAAAGTGGCGAAACCCAATCGACCTATTAAATCAATGTCGGAAAAACCGTAACCGACTTCTTCTCCTAACTAACGCCTCTATGTCGTCAAGATCTTGTTCGCGAATATGTTCGTACGTTGTCTCTAGCTGTTTTCCCCTTTGTTCATTTGCTTTGAGAAAGGTGTTCGCTTCATCTGCAATAGAAAAAAAAAAAAAATTTATTTTATTTTCTCCACCGCCAAGGAATATTTCCCTGGTCACTGGTTATTCCAGAAGTGAAACTCAATACATGGACCTTGACACTTATTTAGTTAAAGCTTAAAGTCAAATTTTCCAATCCTCATTTCAACCCTGATCGACAAGATATAAATAAAAAATATATCTGATTTTGTTTACGCAGACATTGCAGTTCTTCTTTTTCAAGCGGCCAATATACTAGACTAAGACCACCTATACTAAATCAAATCTGGCGATAATTGACCAAAACTGGTCCGTGCATAAGTGACCTTTCGTAAAGGGTTTGTAGACATAGTTTTGTGCAGAATAATATAGCGAAATTCTTCAAGTATTTTATTTGAATACTGCAGTCACATAATTTTGAATACAAAAGAAAAGATTGAAATTTGACAAAGAAATGACAAGAAAATAAACATTATTAAAAACTAAAAGCTAAATCTTCATGCCCGCCCCCTCTCAACGGTGATTCAAGGCAGTGGGGGCCGATGTACATAACAACAGCTGAGAAAGTAAGGAAAAGAAAATAATGTTTTCTTACTTGATTGTCGTCCTCTAAAGAGTATGTCGTTGAGTGAAAATTCATTTAACGGCGCTGGGGTCACAGGCTTTTGAGATGAACTTTTACTCGTTGTCTTTAATGTTTGTAGCTCGGACATGGTTTGCCTAGACACAATGTTTGGAATTTTTTTCTCCGCTTCCGTAGTCAGACGTTTTCTCGTATCTGTCCGTGGAGGATTTATTCCGGTGCATTGAACGAGAAAGTTCAAAGCAATAAATGCAATAAACCACAACATTTGACTGAAAGTTGACATAGGGAAATGAATGCATTAGAGAGAGTGAATACATTCAAATTTTCATCAGTTTCTTTGGGCCATCAGGATTTTCTCATGTTTGTTGATCTTTCAATGGTTTTAAATCATCCCTAAACTGGCATTAGTAGGCCGGTAATTGAGAGAGTCTATACGTAATGTTTCTATACATCAAGTAACTTAATGATATACAAAGACAAATTCACAATAAACGGTCTTAATTACTCTTAGTGGTTGATTTCCGTTCCATCATTTCCATATAACTCCACACTCAGGGTCACTCATAGTGACTAATGCAAAAAAAAAGCCGAGAAAAACTTACTTTATGGTTGAGATGGATACTTTTGTGTCCCTGAAGTATTTAATAACGGTGCACCATGCTGGCTTCAATTAATAAACACGACTTCCATTGTGAGATGTGGACAGCAGCTTTGAAGACTATTTGGATTTCTTGGCGCCGCTGTGATCGCTGGCTTGATACAACAGACAGTAAATGGCCGCCGATTGGCTAAATGCTAATACTTCTAAAGCCTAGGATGTTTCGAAGTGCTAGAGAAAAGGCAATTGATGGTTGCGATGGATGCCTGAAACGAAAAGCAACAAGTATCTTACTGGCATTCTGGCAGTGACGAGTCGACCGTGAAAAAAGACAAAAACACACTAATTCTTAGAAGAATAGAAAAAAAGGGCATTCTTTCGGCCGAGAAGAGTATTTTGTAATTGATTCAACGCTTATTCTTTATGTTGTACAATATGTTGTAGGAGACTAAGTTTTCCAACGCCGGATTCCCTTCGGACACTTCACTGCTACAATAGTATAATGAAATGATTTTCAATAAAGGAAAGTCAATGTAAACAAAACGAATGGCGGATTCAGTTTGGAATGTCGACTACTAATACTTGAATATATTAAAATGAATAAGAGTTGTAAGATGTTTTCCTATAACGAAAAAGAGCTTTGACTTCATGATTCTCGTTATTTTAACTCCGTTGTTGTTGTGTCAGCTTGACCATATCTTGCTTTCATTCTATTATCTCATGTAAAACCAAACAGCAAAACAGCGGCTAAATGGTTGCAAAATAACTCAGAAGCTGATTGAAAACATCACGAGGCAAAAATATAACATTTCTAGATTAGTCAGCAGAAAAACTTAAGTGACCACTGCTGCCACCTCAAAAAAAATTATCAATGCCGCTGGTTTCCTTGTTGCCGGCCAAGGTGTTCAATGTTTGTGTTGGAAATCTTTAAGGCTAGCTGAGCCTGATTACATCCTTCAGCTTAAACTTATTTCTTAACGACTTACTTGTAAAGACGCCCGTTCGATTTCTTCTTGTAATGCAAAGTTTTAAGTTCTTTTCTTCATTTGAATAACTCTACTGTTACTCGAGTATGCATGTCCCTGAAGTAACGCGCAAGCCGGTAGGGATGAGAGTTGACTTGTAATGAGTACAATTTATGCATGTATGGCGATGTTCACGTGCACCTAACGAGCCTTGTTTTTGAAAAGTAAATATTTGTCTCAATAGGTATTCAGATGCAGTGACAAATAGCGGACATGTGCTCCCTACCCTTAGCAACCAAAGAGAGTCAAATGAACGATCTCTTAAGTTGCTCTCAAAATTAATTTCTTTTGCATTCACTGAAGCAGTTTGTTTGGAATTCTTATAAAAGACTATCATTAGTTCTTATTAACCGAGCGGGAGGTCTGTATGGGAGAATCTTGACCGAGGTCGCCAGTACAGACCGAACGCAGTGAGGTCTGTACCAGCGACCGAAGTCAAGATTCTCCCATACAGACCGACCTAGCTCGGTTATCAAGATGTTTATTACATGGCTGTGTCTTATATGCCAATTTGTTTATATTCTTTGTACCTTTTTTTTCTAGACCGGTCTAGATGCCGGTCTAGATGGGAAAATCTAGACCGCTTTCAATATTGATTTCAGCCAATCAAATTCGTGAATTCGGTAGTTCTAAGTCCTTGTGAGACAGCCAAATTATAAAAGTAATAATAACAAGGCATCGGTTCAGTTATAGCTGGGACAAGAGTTTTTTTCTTTTTTTTCTGGAAAAAAGTGAAAAAAATTACATTAAAATTGGGAATGCTTGATATTGGAAATTTAACCCTCGGAACCCATACGCAGGGAAAATGACGTACAAAGGAGGCAAGATTTAAAGGGGATTTTTTGAATTTGCTCGAATAAGGGCAAGGTAGGCGAGGTTTATTTCCGGCTGTGTGCGGGCTCACGTTGGTGTCGCTCGACCGGTCGCTCAATCGAAGACACGCTTTCCTTTCTGATCGCCTGCCTGCAGGACTGTTTTGGTCCATATTTGCGATATGCCGCCAAGGGTTTTAACAGATGTAAAAATTGTCGATATCCAGAAAAGAAAGGTTCCAAGCAAGCATTATGTAAGTTAATCGAGGTATTTGATTACGTGGTATATTTATAATTGCACCTAACGGTAGGTTCTTCATCCGCCAGAAACCTTGTGATCCCATGTAACACCACCGATATACAAACTCTCTCTTCAATATTCACGCAGTCAACTTGTAGAATACAACGCCATTTATTTGCGTCTATCTGAATCACCTCAATGGTCTTGTAATCCACGGTCGTCTCGCGCATTAGCATGATTAGGATCTGTTATTTTGCAAGTGATAGGTAACTTGAATGTGAATTCGCTACTAACTTACAAACAGGAGTAAGTCAATGAAATTAATGATTGGAAAAAAACCACATTATATTATTATGATATCTGTAAATTAACGTGGGATTTCCTTCTTGACTGAATCGACTTACTGATATCGTGCGCTGAAAGCGTAAAGAAAATTTTCAGTTTCTGTATAAAACTCAGCTGGCTGCCTACAGAAGCATATAGGGTTACACAGTAATAAAAATAGGGCCGCTTGCCATATCAATGACTGCTACATTCCTCTATGAAGTTCAATTGCTTCCCTCTCGTGGTTGAGTCTTTCGGTTCTGTCCTGGTGTACCGGTTCACAAGGGAATTACCATTGTTCTTTCTTTGTTTAGGAGTTATCGGTTAGCTATTGTGTATTGTTTGGTCTTTTGTATTGGCTCTTGTGAACCGGTACACGAGGACAGAACCAGTCTTTCCTGTGGTTCAGTATTCTTGTAAATGGGATGGGGGGGGGGTGGGCAGGGGAGGGAGGTTACAAGGGATCTTGGAGGATGTAGTTAGCCACGTGCATTGTTTGGAGATTAAAATCTCAATAGCTTGTGTCTTTCCCAAGATCTTGATGTAATTAGCCATTCTCGCCTGAGACTGGACTTGTTGTTCTGTGTTGTTCTGAAGTGGTAATAACTCTACTGATTTCTAGCTCCTTGCCTCTTTCAGAAAACTTGTAACTAGGAGGTAGGGCTGGTCACTGATTTAAGTGGCTGTTTAACCATTCTACATAGGATAGAATGATACCATTTTTCAAAAATTCTGTGTCGTGATCAGCAGCACCTTCTTACAGGTTTATGTCATAAATGTCAGTTGGTCAGATGGTAGTGTTAATGTTGTCTACAGGAGATACAGTAAATTCTTTGACCTTCAGGTATGTTGTTTGTCTATTACATGAACATAGAGATTTAAATGCCTCCTGACCTAAATTTAGTCATTCTTGTAGTTAAATTTTCTGTCTTTGGTAAGCTCCTCCTTTTTCCCAGTCCCTTCCTTATAGTCAAATGTTACTTTTTCAAAAAAAAAAGAAATGGTATTTTAAGCAAATACATAGAATTTTATATAGTTTTCTCCTCCACCTAGTCTATTATCACATTACTTTTCTAGGGTAAATACTGAAGACCATTCCCAACATGCTGCATCTTTTAAGATGCTACAATGCAGTTTGTTTCCTCAAAACCTACTTTTTTTCCTCAAAACCTACTTTACCTGATTTTTGTTGCCATAGATCCATATTTAATACTCCTGCAACATTCACCTTTCTTGTGTCTTTTTTAGTTTCATCTTAATTCCTTGAAGTTTGTTTACTTTAGTAAACTACTTAGTCAGGTCTCCTTGTATAAAGCCGGTGAAATTTGTATATCGCTGCTATGGAGAGTTGTGTTAGAGTGATAAGGAACTGGATGCACAAAAATCGACATCTTGATGAGTGAGACTAAAACTGAGTTTCTGTTGATTGGAACGAAGCAGCAGCTTGCTGAAGTCAATGTAGATCATGTGAAAGTCAGTAATGCAGATATAGTCCCACAGTCACCAGTCAAAAATCTCGGAGTGTGGTTAGATTTGAATCTGTCAATGGTATAATTATAGAGCATAATAATTATTAAGGCTAGTTCCATGGCATTTTTTCATTTAAATAACATTCATAGAATTAGAAAATATCTTTCCAGGGAAAACAAGGAAACCCTGATTCATGTTTTTGTGTCTAGCAGAATTGATTATTGTAACAGTGTACTGTATGGAGTGCCTAACTGCCACCTACATAAGTTGCAGCAGGTACAAAATGCAGCTGTGCGCCTTATATTTGAAGAAAGCAAATACTGCCATGTAACGCCGCTTCTGAAATCATTGCACTGGCTGCCCGTCAAATATAGAATCATCTTTAAGTGCTTTTAATTACTTTTAAAGCTATCCACGGTCTGGCGCCTGTCTATATTAACGCATTAATCTCAATTAGAGATGTATCATCAAGTAGATATTGCCCGCGTCCAATGAACTCCTTGACGTTAAACTATCCTGCATTGAGGTCTCGCAAGACTCTCGGAGACCAGTCATTCTTCTTGGCCGCCCCCAAATTATGGAACGAGCTTCCCAGTGATATCAGGGACCTGAATTCAATTAGTAAATTCAAGATGGCAATCAAGACTTATCTTTTTAGACTAGCCTTTTTATAGTGCTAGATGTGAGGCTTTTTTTATTTTTTTTATCATATATATATATTTTATATTTCCTACTTGTAGTTATATATTTAAATTTACACTTACATTTGTATTTTAAAATATTTGTATTAAGATCATACTGTAATGCGCAATTGAAAATTTATATTGATAATTGTGCAATAGAAAGTTATTATTATTATTATTATTATTAAGATGTGATATTGCTTAGCCTTGTTTAATTGTATAATTAGAGAATGCTCTGCCCTTGATTTCATTTAGCTATATTATCTTTATTTGAAATATTTGGATAATAAGATTTTGCTGTTAATGCTTACTAGACTAAACTTTTGGAGGAGTTTCCTCATGAAAGCGGTGTCAAAGATCCTTCAAAGAGGATTTTACCATTTTTGCCAGGTTTGCCACAGTTGATAGTTTGAATAATACCAATAAATAAGTTATCACCATCTTGCAATTTATCATTTATTTGAAAATTTTAAGAGAATTGGTCTATGATCTGCATGCTTTTATTTAGTTCTCAAGGTAAACTGGAAGTTATTAGAATATGAAGAGAAGGGTATCAGTTGCTGGATGTGCAGCTGAAACAGATTGGGAGCTTTTCAAATGCTCTCCAAACAAGTCAAGTGCTTACTTGATGACAATATGTACATATGTATATATGCACAACTAAAAGCGTAATTCAGTTCTATTCTAACACGAAGGGGATGACACCTCTTCCTTTAGATTGACTGCATACAGATAGTTCTCACTATGCATTTTTTTCTGTTGGTTCTGATTTTGCTGCTAGTTTAAAACTTAAGGCTAAAATAAAACTTTGGAGGCCCTTGGTGACAGCTGTACATGTAGGTGAAAGTTAACATTTCCCGTAAATATTAAAAAAAAATGCACTCAATGTTACAGTAATTAAGACTGTGATAATTAGAAACAAATACCACCTACTGTAGTTATTGAAACAAAAAGGAAGCTGAAACATGACTGGCTGGTAAGCAAAGAAAGACATCCATGCTACGACTGGAATTGCCTGTTAACAGGATTTGTCCCTAAAGAAGCATGATATTTTGCCAGTAATCATGAATAGGCACTATTGGAAATGAGGTTTGAAACAATGTATACCAATTAGGGTTTGTGATGGTTTGTAATGACATTGTGCAGAATGTATTGAATAATTTCCATATACATATTTTTGAGAAGGGAGTTTCCTTTGGCTCTTTTACTTGTGTGAAAATTAGGTTAAGTGTGAACTATCCACCTGTGTATGAGTTGTATGGATTTTGTGCAGGTAAAATTATATTTGGAAGAAGTCATGTGCGAGATGTAGCATTACGCAGAAAGGAACCCATTGGTGAATACTGTAAGGTAGGGCAAAATTAATTTCAAGAAGGATCTTAGCTCTCTTGTTTTAGCTAGAAATTTCCTGTTTTCACCATTCAATTTTCAGCCTCCTGTTTTCACTGATTGTACACCGAATGCAAATATGGTGTCCAATTTGAGTTGCCATTGTTCTGGACTCAATAGCCTCTCACACATGTAATAATCTTTTTGTGTTTCCACGTGAAGACAAGGCTAATGAGTCCAGAACAATGGCAATTCAAATTGCATGCCATATTTGCATTCGGTGTATTCTCCCCCTTATTGTTAAATACCTCTGACAAAGGAATACATTGTTTAGCTTGTGTCACCATGCAGTCCTTTTTATGCGCACATATTGTTTGTCAGTATTTGGGCTTTTTTCCCTGAGGTTATTATACATTGATGAGATATTTTATTTTTATCATTCCCATTCCATAACTTTTTCAGTTGATTTCAAAAATTGTTATTATCTGTTATTTGACGGAATGTTAAGTTTTTATACAACATCATTGTTTCAAGAACTATAGGTATATTCTTTTAGTAGCTTGACTGTACTTTTAGTCTGGGGGGCACATAGTGTAGGAGAGGAGTATTCAGAGATGCTGCAGTAGGAGTTTTTTTTTTTTCTTTAGCACATGGAGGTAAGATCAGATGTTTTACTGAGAGTGATGTGCCAGCAGTTCAGCTAAATAAAGTCATTTCAAATGTAATTGCTGACATCACTCTGGTTTAACTGGCAACGCCATGTGATGGTATGAGACTTGTCATTGATTTGTTATTTTAACATATTTCAGGATCTAATCTCACTACCAGCCAAGATATCTACCAGTGACACTGTACTGAAGTTCTTTGAACCACAATCAGAAGACATAGACCTTCCACCTAAGGAGTAAGTTTGTTTTATGATGGATACTTAAATTGTGTCCAGGAATTTCATTGTTATTTCTTTTCTAAATCTTTTGTAATTTTGCACAAATTTTAGTTTTGATAGAAAAGAAGAAATTTTCCATTAGAGTATTTATTTTCAATTGAGAGAAAATTTCAGCAAGAATGCAGTGAAATTTCAACATTTCCAAAACCACGTGGCATGGCAGTTATGCATATTTCTGAAACTGCAGTGAAGTGGCTGCTGTTTACACAAACTATTTTGCACAGCTCTAAAATTGCTATTAAAATTGCCACAGAAATCACACCCAAATCGCAGAAAACATTTCCTCTGTGAATGAACTTTTGTGACGAAAAGATAGGAGAGGAGACTTGACAAGTATGCTAAGTTTAAGAAGGGGAATGGGTAGGGGCTCTTTCAAGCCACATTTATTGAGAGAAGTGGAGGTTCAAACTGAAACTCCTCTTGTGGAATGGGTATGGATAGTTTCTGAGAAAGTGCTAAAAGTTATTTCATTTTCGTTATTTTAAACTGTTTCATCATATAGGAAAGACAAGAAAAAAAAAGAAAAAGATTCAGGTATTTACTAGTTCAAGTGGTTTTGTTTGAATGCAAAATTGGTAGTAAAAGCAATTGCATTTTCCTTGTGGACTGATTAGCAATGGTATAAGCTCTGAGTGGAGTAGAATTCAGGGAGGAATCTTATGAGTGATTTCAAATTAACTGAGTGTACAGTGTCAGGCCATTTGGAAATTATTACTTAATAACCCCTGAATTGTATGATAACAAAAATGTGAGAAACTTGGGACTGAAAAATGTCATGTACAATCCAGCCTTTATCTGGAAATAAATCTTGCACCTCAGACATTAGATCTGAGTGGTACTTACACACCAGAGACATACTCAGTTTAAGAGCCCTAAGAGCAGAGTTTTGGGCTGAAAAAAAAAATTTTTTTTGGTCAACAGCTGACCACATAAGTGGACCAGTTATGCTGGAACAGTATGTGGCCATTGCAGATTATAAAAAGCAGAACAGAAACGAAGTTAACATGGTTGCGGGAGATATGGTTGAAGTTATTGACAAGAATGAAAATGGTATGAAACTTAAATAACCCTTACATTGCAATGTAAAGGTTTGATATACTGTGAGTAAATCTCCCCTTGCTAAGTGATCTATTGCTACATAACATTTTTACAGTGCTTCTCATGAAATAGTAGAAAACCCCCTATTGGTTAACAATTGCCTGTCAGAAGAGGAGTGAATACAAGCTAACCATCCATAATATGCAATGTTTTAGTTTATGCTCCCTTGTCGGTAATTGGGAAGAAGAGCTTCCTGAAAGGCTTTTCCAGTGCTTTGAAGTCATAACAAGTGATCCATACCTTTCCTCAAACCAAAGTAAAAGCAGTCGTTAAATAATCTGAATTAGATGTCATTATTTATCAGGTTGGTGGTTTGTTAATGTAGATGAAGAACAGGGTTGGGTTCCAGCAGCTTATCTTGAGCGCGAGGATGGCAGCTCAGATGAGGCTACCAATCAATTAGTGACTGCATCAGAAGGTAAGTTACCTTGCTTCATGTACCGTGCAAGTGAAAAATCCTAATATTCTAATGGTGTGTAATAGTATTTTATAAACAATAGCCGTAATTATGCTCGGATACTGAATGAATAGTTTTAACTTCGAGAAACAGGGGACTGTTAAGGACAAATATACGAGCATATTTTCAAGCCAAGTTCAATATCCTTTCAATATTTTTTTTGGAGTTCGCGGAGCAATATGTCAGCAAACTGCATACCGCCGCACAACAGATGCTGTTTTCTCGTTGCGGCTTTAAGATTAAACAAGTTTGTCTCTACTTTTGTAACAGACTTTCATCGCCTTGGACGTAAGGTTCGAAAATTGGGGTACAACCAGTGAAACATGGGACACACCCATGCTTATCGCGCTCGAGCAAAAATATTTGCTGAAACATAAGGTTTATGACTGGAAGTCTGGACTTTTTTTCCAACAATAACAAACACCACTACAATAAAAGCGAGGCTATTCACAGTCGGAACTGTGTCGTCAACAACAACCACATTCAAAACACCAAATAAACCCAACATAAGTTATTATCTCCGTGCCACTGATAGCCACGAGACTCTGTCGAACCTCCTTGAATCTTCCCTTCTTCACCATGTACTTCTCTTTTTTCAAGAGAGAATGATTACAACAACAACCTACAAAGCAGAACTCGATGATGAAATTTCATTTGAAATTGGCGTTTTAGTGACAGTATTAGAGAAGAATTTTGATGGATGGTGGCTTATTCGGTGAGTACTCACCATAATATATGTATCTACATCAATTTGACTGTTGTTGTCAAAGCCTGAAATGCAGCTATAAGTCAATAAACGGTGCAAAGAAAAACTGGAGGCAGTGTGGCCGAGTGGTCAGCGTGTCGGACTCGCAATCCACCACTCCCGGGTTCGAGTCCCGCCCTGAACACTACCCAGATTTGTTTCACAGAGGCTCCGAGTTCAAATCCTCGGCCATGCTTGTAAATAGCCGACTGGTTTGCCTCCGGCCAGTTGAGATTCTTAACAGTGGCATGTTCAATTTGAATTATTTGTTTCAGTTGTTTGCTCGGCCCCACTAGCACTTGTGCTATAAACACTACCGAGGCGTAAATAAAAAATATTACTATTATTTGCTTCTGTCTGTACGAGTAATGATATGTGAATGGTCAGGGCACAATCTTCGTAATACCCTCTTATATTATTGTCGTAACACTCCCAAGGTATCAGGATCGCGAGGGTTGGGCGCCAGCCATGTACCTCAAGAAAGCCGATCCTTCTCAGCTTGAAGCCATTCGACATGGCTCAGAGTCTTTGGCGAGAGAGAAAGCTGCAAGTGTGGCGAGTGGTGTACAGAATATTTCCAAACTTCATGGTAAGGATTACCTTTCAACTTCAACAACCTTCTTGTGAAAAGAAAAATGTTCATCACAAAGAATTCTATCAGCATGAACAGTATTCTGTGATATGTTAACTACTGCTATCATACCGCAAGTGGACATCTTGATGAGACCTGCTATAACTTGAGTCGTTCCAGTTTGTCGTAATGTCAATTGTTCACCACAAAACCTATTAAGAACTCAGCGAGGTCCCCAATGCACATGGTCTGTTTTGACTGTGTTACTGCACACACCCATGCTCTTTGCGAGGTCATTGTAGAATGTCAAAGTCGACTGTGAGCCTCCTGTTGTGTGGCTGAAAATCGCCATGCTATCAGTGTACTGAGCTTCTTAAACCCTGTGTAGATCGAAAGGGTCACCAGCATGACCGAATCTGATTTTTATGCTGGTATTGTCCTTGATTTTCCAGAAGGCGAACCAAAGTAGGACCGTCTTTAGCATACCCCATATATAGCGGAAACCTGTTAATAAAACTCCTATATTCAAGCACTTTTCTTGAGTGAAACCAGTTTTAATGGAACAGTCAAACGAGATATCTGAGTGTCGTGTTCATCCGATATTCTTAGGATGTTCTTGTGGCTTTTAAGTCAGTGATGTCATTCTATATACCCGAAAAGGTCAGAATCGAAAGGTTGTTGAGTCCCACTCTGTTCCAAGGTTGTTGAGTCCCACTCTGTCCCATTTGAGGATGAACAGCGAACTACAGGCGTTGTTTACTGAAGCAAACACCTTTGCTGCCACTGTAGGAAACCCGGGTCTGTCTTTATTTAAATTTTTTAAGTGTTGGAATTTGTCAGATGTCTCTGACCTGCATAACCAAGTTTCGTTGGGATCGGTTTAGTTTTTTGTAACTTTATGTTCTCTAAACAGGCTCAAACAAAACAGGAACAAAAGGTCGGAAGGTACCTCCAAGAAAGGCTTCAGTAAGTCTTGAGTAAAATAAGTATTGTAGTGATATTAGAGAAAACAATTCCATTTAAGACCATGATGTCCATCTGTCTGTTTTGGCATCTAGTTCAAGTACTTCAAATAAATAGTTGGGTTGAATTTGTAAGAGGGAATGTGAAATATAGGTTCTCGATTAGAAGAGTTGCCTAAACCTAACCGATAAAACTCCTTTGATTTTATCGATGAGTGTCCTGGCTAGGCTTAAGTCTTGAAGTAAGGTAAAAGTTGGACGGTTTGCTATTCAAAATGGCGGCACGCGTTGGCTTCTTTAATGTGGATTTTCATTAGGATCGGAGCAACTTTGGAAGCTAAGAAAAACAGTAACTAACTCGGCTTTGTGTAAACTATTTATTGGTTGTTACAAAAATATGCGATGTTGCGAGTGACCTCCTGTATAGTTTATTTGACGTTCCAGGAAACAAGTTTTTGGTTTCGATTCACTTTTTTTTATTTTCGTTCCGTGCACGACTTGCACCCTTTATGCTGACTCAGTTACTTTCGTTTCCGCGTTTTCTTGGCCATCACGGTTGTTTACATGCTATTGGGGTACTATATTTGGAGCATTTATATTTAGAAAAGTAAACTAACTCCCATGCATTATGCTTGATCTTTAGGTCAAAAGTTCGATGAAAAAGTTGCCAGTTCACATCACAAACATGTCGTATGAGAAAACTATGGCTATAGGCGATTCACCTTCTCCAAAATCTCCAGAAGTAGAATATTTCACCGTGAACGACTTCCGTTCACTGGGCATAGAGGGAGCGTTAAACTTTACTGAAGGAGTATCTGTGGAGGTCGTCGAGAAAGCTCCAAATGGATGGTGGCTGGGAAAAATCGGTGGAGTAGAGGGTTGGATACCATCCTCATACCTGGGGAAAAGATTGCTGGAGAAACAACGTGATCTTACAAGACGAACCAATAGAGCAGAGTCTTCAAATACCTCAATAGACATTCCTACATCCTCCCCGTGTATCCGAGAAAAAAATCCAGAGGTTAGCGCTATATTTGTCACATTAGCAGATTATAATGACACTTTTGAAGGTAGCATATCCTTCAAAGAAGGGCAAACAGCACAGTTAATTGAACAAAATCCGGATGGATGGTCATTTGTGAGAATCCAAGGCAAAGAGGGTTGGGCACCAACGAGTTATCTTGTTTCAAGTACGGGAAAAAAGTCTGCAACTCTTACTCGACCAGTCGCCCCGGTTAGTGCAAAGGCGGTTGTAAAGCATATACCGAACATTGTGTCATCTCAGTCAGGGAAGGCTGTAAGTCATGCTCAGACGCAGCGAAGCAAGCCATTACCAGTTCCTGTTAAAGATGCTACAAAATCAGCTGGGTCTTCATCAAATTCAGTTCCTAACAAACCTGATATTCCGGCCAAACCTCAGGCTAAAACACGTTCGAAGATTTTGCTTCAAGAGGTTCCAGTGAAACCATCGATTACGAAACCACCTATTGTTTCTGTGGAACAGAAAATCCTCTGCAAAGCCGTAGAATCTTTCTCCTCTGAAAATGGCGAAGGTTTATCATTTTTTAAGGGGGACGAATTTGAATTCGTAGAAGATTCCAATAATGGCTGGTGGTTGGTCAAGACAAAGAGTGGAAAGGAAGGTTGGGTACCAGCATCTTATCTAGAAAAGGTGAATAAAAAACCAGTAGCACCCAGCAGACCGGCGAAACCAAACCCTCCAAAGAAGGCACAACATCGAGACACAAAGACTGTTTATGTAGCTATGGCAGCGTACGCCGATGAAGGGGATCAAGATTGTATCAGCTTTAAAGAAGGCGATCGCATGGAAGTGCTTGAGATGGATGAGGGAGGCTGGTGGTTAGTTAAGATTGGGGGAAAGTCGGGTTGGGCGCCCTCAAATTTTTTGAAACCTTTGGAATGAACTGAATTCAGAATACCAATGACTTAAAACTGGTTACAAGGTGTAGCATTGATTGTTTTCACAGCATGGAGTGTTTGCACCTTGCTTGCTTACTTATCCGCTTAACTAGCGAGAGGTTTATCAGTGTCTTTTTCACGTTATTAGATAATTTCGACTCATTTAGTGATCCAGTATCTCGTGGTGGGTTTAAAATTTAATGATGACATAATGCTTTCTCTTTTGAAGAGTTTGCGGAATTATTGACTTCTTATCTGTTGAACTCAAATGATAGAAGGAATAACAGCAATAAACTCGTTTCTTTAAGATGGCGACAAGGTAAGAGAAATATCTAGAAATAATTTAATTGAGTTAGAGAGATCCCGTATCTGGCAAAACATGAATGGTCAATGTGTTATGAAATTTTAAACTTTCAGTCTTAAATGGCCTCTCTGTATACGAGCCTGGGTTGATTTGTACCACGGGTGTATCACCGTAAAGGTGGTTGAAGTCGTCAACTTTACGCGAACCCGAGTAAGTGTAAAGAGACTTCAAGTTCTCTCTACCCTCTAAATAACAAAAATGAAAGTTAGCATTTTTTAAAAAATAGATTTTAAGAAAATTACAGATGTCAAAGGAAGTTAATTGTATCATGTTTTGACCTTCCGCTTTTATTAGTGGAAACCTGTTTTTGCCTTTTTTCAACTGCTCAGATGGGAAACATGACATTTGTATACCAAAGAAACTTTAGGTCTTTTCAAAATTGTTCGACAGAGGTGAATCATTCTCCACGACATAAAGATAAATTATATAGAGGCACAAGAACTCTATCTGTGGTTAATTTCTTGATCGGTAATCCTGCTTTTTAGATGCGCGGTTCTCGGGTGATTTATATCGGTTAACAAGAAGTTGTCGCTACTCAAGTAATGTCGATCTCTGTCATTGTATGTTATGATGACTATCAACTGCAATGGTAAACTTGGGTATTCTCAGCTTATTACTTCAACAGCTTTATTTTACAGATATTGACTTCAGGTCAAATTTGATAAGTTATCGTTTTCGAATGTCTCATGCAATTTTCCTTTACTTCCCAAAAGTTGCCCAAATCCCAGTGTACGACTCTCGGCAAACTCTGGTTGTGCACCATTTCACACAATTTTCACAACGGAGCTAACAGTTCAGTTTGGTAGTTTCTCTTTCATTATACGCGCTACTGTTTTGATCAAGACCTTTTAAATATAGTGCTAGCTTTTCAATTGAGGGAAAGTGGAGTACATTCATATAGGATTTGGGAATCGCCAGCTCTGGATAATTGGCTCCTCCCATAACTACTGGAACCATGTCGTGTTGTAAAGCTTGACTCGAATACTTCTCAGTGATGTAGTCTTCACAAAGTCCATTTTCAATTGCTAAGTAAAACTTGTACGTTCTCAAAAGTTCATCACATTCCGTGCTTAATCGTGGGCACCGAGGAGCCTTAGGATTACATTTACCTAATATGTCGACAGGAATATGAAGCTGAAGCTGTTCTGCAAACTGCTCGCGGAGGAAGGCTGGTGACGAGCAGTGACTCGTTGCCCAGGCCACCAATCGTGTCTTTTTAGCCGAAATGTTTCTCTGTAACAATCAGAAAAGTGAAAAAAATGTAAGAAAAATATTGAACAGAGCTGCACCCAGAAAGGACAACGATTGCCTTTGCATCTACTTCAGTTAACTCAATCAAATAAGGCGTTATTTGATATTCGACTACTTCGCCCTACAACATAATTTACTTCTGTGAAGGTGTAGTCTGATCGTCCGGGTGAGTGTAGTCCTGAGAAGGACTGTTGTCGGTGGTAGTGACTGACGTTTCGACAACCTGTGCGGAAGTCATCATCAGAGTCAAGTGAATGATTGTTGTCAGTAGAATGTTCTTATTCCAGTTCGTGTGAAATGATCGGTTGGTTTTGCCGTGATGTTATTGGCTGTAAGACTCAAGTGACGTAAGTCGGTCGTGATTGGTCTGTTTCGATCTGTCGGTAAAGTTAGGTCGTTCTTTTTCGGTCGTTTGTGATGTTTATGTCGTGAATGAGTCGTTTGTATGGGGCGGGTAGTTGTTGACATCTGTTTAGGGGAGTCTGTTCTAAGTTAGTAAACCAGCTTTCCAGAGTCAGTCGTTGAAAATAGTCAGTGCTGTAGGTTAGGCATTGCGCAGAGTCCCAGTCAATGTTGTGGTTGGTAAGTCGATGGTGTTCAGCAATGTGATTGCTGACATCACCTTTCCTCGTCGCCCGTCTGTGTTCAGTCAGTCTTGTTGTGAGGTTTCTGCCAGTCTCACCGATGTAGGAGGCTTGGCAGTCGGAACAATTGATCTTATAAATCGTTCCCTGTCTGTTCCTCGGTTCGTCTTTGTCTTTAACGTTGGTTAGTAACTGACGTAGTGTGGTGATGGGTTTGTGGGCGACGCGGATATTGAAGGGTAGTAAGATGCGCGAGATGTTTTCAGACATGCCTTTTATGTACGGTATGGTTGCTGTAGTCGTAGGGGTTGCGGTGTCGTTTGTTTCGGTAGTGGTAGTGGGTCGGTGAGTGTTTCGTCGGATGAAGTCGTTGTTGTAGTTGTTCTTCGTAAAAACACGGTGAAGGTATTTGTTCTCGTCGGATAAGCTGTCTGTCGAGTCACATACTAGTTGTGCGCGTCGTGTTAGAGTTCTGATAGTTGTGGCTTTGTGTGATGTAGGGTTGTAGGATGACTCGTCTAGTAATCTGTCGGTGTGTGTCGGTTTCCTGTAAACTGTCGTTCGTAATGAGTTGTCGTTGTGGCTTACCAGGCAGTCTAGAAAAGGAAGTTTGCCATTTTCTTCGACTTCTCTGGTAAACTGTATGTCAGTGTTTTGTTCGTTAAGGTGGTTGTGGAATGCGTCAATTTCGTCGTGTCGAACGCCTGAGACTGCAATCCGAAAATCTACCGAACCACTACCGCTACCGACAGACGACATCATGGACTTGCTAAACATTTGCCTAACGTCTACTTACTTTCAGTACAACGGTAAACACTACAAACAGTTACACGGCACTGCCATGGGGTCTCCAGTTTCTGTTGTTATAGCAGAAATTGTGATGCAGAACATCGAGGAACGCGCCCTTTCGACTTGCCGACAAACGATACCGCTTTGGTTACGTTACGTTGACGACACATTCACCGCCGTTCGACACGACGAAATTGACGCATTCCACAACCACCTTAACGAACAAAACACTGACATACAGTTTACCAGAGAAGTCGAAGAAAATGGCAAACTTCCTTTTCTAGACTGCCTGGTAAGCCACAACGACAACTCATTACGAACGACAGTTTACAGGAAACCGACACCCACCGACAGATTACTAGACGAGTAATCCTACAACCCTACATCACACAAAGCCACAACTATCAGAACTCTAACTCGACGCGCACAACTAGTATGTAAAATGGTAACTAAAATGACTGAGAATATAAAGTATTAAAAACGAATCTTTGAGAGTTAACCAGTTTGAAACTGGCTCAAGAAACATGCAAGGAGTCAACGCTGGGGTTTCGCTTTAGTTAGTGGGGGATTAAAGTAGTTTACAGAGCTCTTGTCAATTTACCAGCTGTTTTAAGGTCAACAAACACCAGACTTGCAAAAACACTGTGCTTTTGAACAAAGACTGCGACTCTACAGCCCACTAGGCGTAGATTGGGGCGGAAGAGAGAAAACTGGCCAAGAGACCTTTACTTCCCGGCCAGCACTACCTTCAGTCCGAGGGTTATTCCAAAATTCGCGAAGTAATTAGCATTCAACCGAGAAAAATCAGTTATTTACAAAGTTTTTTTCCAACAATCCGTGAAAACTTCTTTTGTTGCTCACCTGTTACACTGAGTTATAATTATCTCGTTCCTCGGTGTTTTTCCTTCTTCGGTAGCTGCCATAAGGAGCCCATATATCTGATGATCGTTTGTATGTCATCGTCCAGTTAAACACTCCGTTATACTTAGAGGACTCGAATGTTGTGTAATGGGGATTTTCTTGAACAAAATAAACCCAGCGCTGATTGGTTGATCGTTGTCTAGGTAGTTCACGTGACGTCGTCCGTGACATCTCTTCCATGGAAAATGACGGCGTCACTTTGACGCAGTAGCAGTCTGTCGTCAGATAGGATACACCAAGGAACTTTACACTTTTGAAGAGATGTCGCCGGCCATATTGTGGTCGGCTGGACACCAAATATCTTGATGTAGAACAAGATCACTCTCCACTTTTCAGATTCATAGTTATTTTTCAACGCCCCATGAATTATAAGAATAATAATTGCTACTGCCAAAACAGTAAAAATGAGTAAAAGTAGCAGAAATGTGTCACATTTCAGGATCCCGATCCGCCTAACGGTGATCATTTCATGAACAGCGTAACTTTTAGGTTAGAACTGTCTCGGTCCACCCGATTCTGGATTAAATAACACAAATACTGGACATTTAAGTTTTGTTTTTACTTGCAGAAACAGGTGCCATATCATGTTTTGAGTCTCGGAAAATTAATTGAACTTTCATCGTCGCCACGCTCTATTTTAGGCACACGTTAATTTGCAGTCACTCCAAAACCCATAATGAAAGTTTTTGAAGCGAATAGGAAAATTTTATCGCTCGAAACCGGGAAAGCAGAGCTAATATTTTCGAATGAACAGATGGTTTTGTGTTAAGTCAAACCAGAGTTAGTTTAACTGTGTAAGGAACGTCTCTACTCCATTAATCGAGGTGAAGGATTTAAACAGGAAGGCGAGCTATATAAGGAAGTCTTCCCTGGGAAGACCTAGGCTCATTTGTCACTCACCGTTGACGTGTGCGGGTCAAATTTAAATGCTGGTAGACGAACAAAAGGAGTTAATGAGATATCTATTGTTTACTTCCACCAGCATGGTGGCACGAGGTAACGTGCGGACCACCTACTTTGATCTCAAATTTACCGCCACAAAGAAAATACAATCTCAAAAATTCTTGTATTGTGATGAAGACGTAAAACAATTTTGAGGAATGCGCCCGCTGTTCACTGCTTTGGAGTAGCTGTAGCTCAAGCTGACTTGACTCTAAGAGTTCTATATCACACGACGGTTGATTGACAAATGGTCCAGTGGGACCTAAGGCTCCTTTTATAGCGCGCCTTCGTGTTTAAGATTTAGAGCTGATCATCAATGGACGGTGAGCTAAGCAACAGAGGATGAAACACAGTAAAAAGCAACACAAAATAAAGAAAATATTAAACTTTGATAATTGCTGGGCTCAAATTCTACTAGAACAGATGCTGTTTCTAAGTAAAAACAACTGTAGCTGACAAGTTTAACTGGACTGCGCACTTTTCGGTATATGAATCAAATTAAGGAAACGGTTAGTTTGGATTCGAATTTCATTTTGACTCTTTTTTTTAATTATGTGAGTAATTTGCAGATAAATTTTATCTCCGCCCGTCGAGACAAAGTCACATAATGCTTTGAAAGCCGTAAGCGCTTGATGTGATGTTCTAGTCGTCTTTTAATTTAATGCTACTAATTTCATTTATTCCCATCCTCTTAGTCTGTATTTTGTAGCCTCAGGCTATTTTTATCTTGTATACCAGTTCATACGGCAACAAATATTTAAAACCGTAAAGGGAGGTAAACATTCTATTTGTGTACACGAGATTAGGTCATGAATTCAATTCAAACGAAGGTTGAGTCTGTTTGACAAAGATGGCCGGCAGAAGCAGATTAGTTCCAGAATCCCCCGTGGCTGTGTTTCACCCGTATTCATGTTTGTGCATTACTATTGTTATAAAACATTAGAGTTTATCTCCGTTGGCATAAATTTGTTTTGGGCCCAACTCAGAGTCATTTAGGCCCAAGCCGCGAAACGCAAAAGGCGCTACAATGCCCGACGAAGTGAAAATGATTCTGATTAGTTGATTAGGAAGATACTCCCGCTAGGCTTTTAGGATTCTGAAGATGAAAAGTCGATAAAAAGCCGCCGCTTTGAATAGAGGTTTACATGTGGCTTTAATTCATTCCCTGACTGACAATGAAATCCTTTTTACAAAAAAGTTTGATTGAAGATTGGCATTTAAAATAGAGCACATATTTACCGATTGTTAATTAGTTTTGGAACTTAATTTCAATCCAATTTCAATCCTGGGTGAAAGGGGAGACTCGGAGGTATACAGGAAACCTACACATTGGTTGGGAAAAAAAACAAATCGTGGGCCGTATCTTCATTGCCGTATTTGGCAGGTGAAAGCAGTGGGTTTTTTTTAATACAGATCTTTCTCGAGGGCGGTACTCTCTTAACGTGCGGCGTAACCCTAAAAACTCGACACTAAATATGTTGAAGTAGACCTCTACCGCAAGAGTACCGCTGCCCTCAATCAGATAACAATTTCCTGCATCACTGCGCTATTATAATAGTATACCACTTAAATACAACTCGTGGCAGAGCTCATGCAGGTAACTAAAATAAAGAGGTCTCTTCCTTGTGGCCATTATCATAGTAATTATGACATGCGAGCTAGGTTTTATGCTCTGGTGAGGGTCGTCAAATATAATTTTAAACTGAATACTGCATGCCTTGACTTTATTCTCCAGGTAGCGAGTCAGTGTGCTAGTGTCGAAAAAGACAGCTTCTTTACTTTCAGCGACATATCGCGATGGAAGAGTTCATTTTACATTATTCGGATAATCAAACAAATACAGTCGCGAGATTAAGGACCTGTTTACTTGCCAACTGTGTTGTTAATGCTATTGGTCTGTTTATTGCAAGTTTTGGAAACGCTCTCATCCTTCTTTCAATCTGGCTGACCAAATCTCTGCATTCACCGTCCAACACTTTGCTGTTCGCTCTTTCATTAACTGATTTATTAGTTGGAACAGTGACACAACCACTATACATTATATCACGGGTGTACTTTCTTGTCACCGGCAAGGATGGGCCACTAGCTCTGCAAACTGCTTTTGATGCCATTTCAGGCGGTCTGTCGGGAGTGTCATTTATCACCGCAACTTTAATCAGCGTCGACAGGTATCTTGTACTTTTGCTTCACTTGAGATATAGATGCCTCGTAACAAACAGAAAAATTTTTGTGTTTATCCTCGGCTCTTGGCTGTTGTCAGGGATATGGGGATTCATTTGGACGCAAGATATTCAATTGTTTTACTTTCTGGGATTTGTTTCCTCCACGACATGTTTTACTGTCATACTTTTAATGTATTGCAAGATTTATCGTGTAATCAGACGACATCGTCAAGAAATCAACATTCAAAAAAGGCTACAACAAAGTTCTCTCTCAATTACCAGCAGAATTAGTTTTCTAAGCTATACTAGATCGGTTGTAAATACGTTCATTGTTTGTTTCCTTCTCTTTCTGTGTTATTTCCCTTATCTCTGTACGGCAGCAGTCATAGAACTTGGTGGACTCAGTACGGCTAAAAAGATATCTTTGGAAGTTTCTGGAACGATAATCTTCGTAAATTCCTCTCTAAATCCGTTCGTATATTTTTGGCGAGTTAAAGAGTTTCGAAGTGCTATAAAAAGTACCTTACGGCGATTGACAAACACTCGGGTGCAGCAGCTAAGTACTTAACACTACACAAACAGATCTTAGCTTTGTAACTAACCTTTTTGCCACGAAAACCACTATAAAACTACACAAGTAACTGTTCCATAAAGAGAAAATTGTGGTGAGGAGTTTTCGAAAAAGATGACCACCGGACGGTTATTCAATTAGTGCACAATACTAACAAGTCCACAGGGCCTAACAACATTTTACCGATGCTGATGAGGATCGTCGGTAAAGCTCACAGTTCCTGAAGCTTCTCTCTGGGAAAAATGTTCTTATCCCGAAACAGATAATGTCTACAGACAAATATCCAAGCATATTTCCGTGCCAAACGGTGGCTGTCGTTAATATCTTGTAAACTAGATACTTTAAGATCTTTTTTTAAAGCACACAACGATGGACTGCCTGAACTGTTTACTGAGAAAATTTTCACCTAGAGATGCATCGGGTATTCGTTACGGGGTATAAGGATGGCTTACTGGTACCAAGATTCGGAACCAGATTCATGAAATACTCTTGCACATAAAAGTTCCGTTTAGTGGCCTGAACATGATAAACTTTAAAGGAAAACGAAAGATTATTTCAAAGATTCATTGGCACCTCCGCCTCAACTGCGCGGCATAAAAATAGCGAATTTAAATGGCATTGATCATACTACTTCTTACCATGTAAAATATTGCGCAGATACAAGTAAATAGCGGCTTAAGTAATCATTCGTAGCATTATGTCTAGTATAATAGTCTCACTTTAATTTACTATCTTGATTTATTGCAGTATTTTAGTTAATCATTTTGTACACGAGCCCACAAGGTATGTAGCTTTGACTTTTATCGTGTAAAAATTATGGTCATCTATGTATCTATCTATCTATCTATCTATCTATCTATCTATCTATCTATCTATCTATCTATCTGTCTATCATGGACTGCGATCTTCCAGAATGAATCTTGCGCTCCCTAAAAGTCACACAGATTTTTAGTCTTGCGCTCCCTAAAAGTCACACAGATATTTATAGAAACAGTTTTGCATTTACCGGAGCAAGAATCTGGAATGATTTGCCAAACAGTTTAAAGTAAGAAACTTCGATAAAAAAAAAGTTTATGGGTAAGCGGGACTATTACTATCAGCACCAGAAAAACTAGTTCTAGAACATTAAGTTTTCTAATAGTAAATATATAACTTGTATTGCGTACGGATTTTAGGTAAACCAAATTTTAATATCGCTGTATATTTTAATTTGATAAAATGCCGTATTTAAATAAAGGGTTCCATCCATCCATCCATCCATCCATCCATCCATCCATTTATTTTAATAGTAAATATACAACTTGCATTGCGTACGGATTTTATGTAAACCAAATTTTAATATTGCTTAATATTTTAATTTGATAAAATGCCGTATTTAAATAAAGGGTTCCATCTATCCATCCATCTATCATCTATCTTTCTAACGATCAAATAGTGCTGTTGGCATTGTGCAAGTAGATTTCGGCATTTTTCGACGCAATAAAATTACTTTTTAAAAGTTGAAGCTGGCGGAAGAAGAGATTAGCATTGACAGAGAATTGCTTTAAAGCAAGAAGAAATTTCTTCCTTGACTCACAGGATACCCAAACAAACTTAGAACAGATTTTATCCGAGGATCAGATAATCAGGTTTGCATGTATTTTCCCATTGACGACTAAAATTTTTCCATCATAACGTCACCCCGCCGCCCATATTTGCATGGCTGTTCGTGTGTTTTTGTCCTTAATTAACAATTGGCTCATGCTTTAGCGTGCACTACCGAGTTATGGAGCACGCGGGAAGTTTGGAGAGCACGAAAGAAGCGTAAGAGTTTCCCGAGGCATAGCCGAGGGCAACTCTAGCTTCTTGAGTGCTCTCCAAACTTCCCGCGTGCCCCATAACTCGATAGTGCACGCTAAAGCATGAACCAATTGTTTTAGAACATAGCCGGTGGAATTGTGCATCAAATCAGACGCGAAAAACGGACAATAATATCAATTGAAGCGAATCATGACGGTGCTGATGCCGAGTCTCCTTTTTCCGTTGTTTTTCTCTTTCTCTGCCTCATTTAAGAACTCTAGCCCAAGGAAAAAGGCCGAAAAATTGTCTTCGTTTTGGGACTAGTTGGCCGAGTCTCTGTATGTATCCATTATTGCCGCGAAATATATTATTTTTCCCCGCGCTAACAATGGCCGCTCGCGCGAAAAAAAATTTTCTGGCGAAGCGATTTGCTGACGCTATCAGCGTGCACTATCGGGATTTTGAGCACGCTTACGTTTAATGAATTTGATTGCGCGGCTCTGCTAGCTATGTTCTAAATAGGATTTATTCAGGTCTAAAGTTATTTCATTGAAGAATTGAAAAACCATTTCTTGGTGATGGTTACATTTTTTATCACTCACTCAGAGAATTTCCGTTGTTTAATATCTGTAGGAGTACAGACGCACGATTGACCTCCTTGAATATTGTTTGAATGCTTTTTGTTCGTCCAACATGGCGAACTCATACTCACTCATACTGGTTTAGTTTAATTGCAATGAGCTATTACTGAGAAACACTTACCGCTGGTTTTCAGGTTTTACTCAGAGATAAAATAAAAATAATATAACTGATCAAATATAATGTAATACTGATGAATATGTTAACTGAGTGCTAAAATTTCTGTACACAGTCTAAAATTTAGAACAAGAAATTGAAGAAATCTTTCTCTTGCTGTAAAAGAATTTTCAGAAATGAACGAGTTTGGGAATTGATTGCGAAAGGCAGAAAAAAAAACCCCAGAGTTAACCATAATGTAGTCAGTAAAGCAATCTATTTTCACTACTAATCGCCGTCGCAAAGTACAGCAACGACGCAGCTCAACAAGGTCGATTTTATATTCCCATAAATTTTAATTCAATAATTAAAAACATCTGTCAGTATTAATTGTTTTGTTTACAGAATGTGGATATGTTTGGTTTTTGAACTGTTATAACATACAACGAAAAACGATAAAACGGAGGTTGATTTTGTTTCTTTGCTTTGTCTTGGTTTAGAGGTAAATGGAACGTTACTTCTAAAATCTTGATACATTTTGGAGATTTTTCGTTTTTCTGTCGTCAAATATGATTAATTCGGAATTCGATTATACAATGCACTTTAGGTAAAATCAGTTTGTCCATCGATGACATTTCAGATAGAAAACGTAAACTAATACCATGGATGAGCTTTTTCGTTGTTGAATAGAGAACAAGAAATGAAATATTTAGTGGATGAACCGTGCACGAATCTTTAACTGTAACTTTAACAATGATATCGTTAGGTTTATCCAGCCTAGAACGGATACCTGGGCCGTGAACCAGAGGTCACCAGGGATTCATGTAAATGTTTGAATTGGTTTGTAGCGTTTAAGATAAATAAACGTCATTTGATTAGTTCTGCCTAACAGTAAGAGTAAAAACAAACAAACAAATAAGACGTCTAAGTTAAATAATAAGAAAAACTAAGTTTAGTTTCTGATCGTACATTGGAGCGGGCTGCGTTTTGGTTTCTTCCCAGTGGAAGATAGGCTTGTTGGTCTGTTGGTCTACAATGTTACTTAACAGCTTTTAGCCTTCTGTTGTAGGTATTTCCTGCATTTCACATCGACAGTCTCCAAGCCTGCCTAGTTGAAAGTGACCAAGTCGTCATCCAAAGAAATTTTGCACGCGAGAAAAAAACGGTAATCAAGTCTAATAAGATACACTTGTGTGCTTTAATTTTTTTTTTTTAAAAAAAAGAAGAAAGAAAACAGCAACGATATTTGACTTGATATAAGAGATTCCGCCACATTCAATTCTAGCCCATAGTAATTTGCTATAAGATTGAAGCAGTTGTATACAGTAAGAACTTTTGTGACGCAAAGCCTGCATTGAGGGGACGCATCAAGAGGGTCTATTAAATTATTATTATTATTATTTTTACAGTAACAAGCCAGTAAAAATTTACATTTCAAAAATCATATTGAGCCTTGTTTTATCACAAACCACAATAAGGCAATTGCAGCTCCTTTGTCTGCTGTTATAACCAGAAGCTGTATTGAACGGAAATAAACCAGCAGCAGACTCGTGGGTGACCGCATTGTACAAGTTTCACTGATTTATTGTCAGTTTAATTGTGAAATCATCGCCTTCAGATCATTTTTGCGTTTATCGAATTATTTATTTATAAAACAAGTAGCTGACTGTCACGTTTCGTGAAGCACAATCTCTTAAGTTAAACAGAGTGGATAAGAGCTCGAACAGTGATCGACTCATTTTAAAATTTGCCGTAAATTTGCGTCAGCTCTGCATCTGAAAAAGGTCTTCAGTACATGAACATGTACATGAGATTGGATCAATTCAATAACACAAGTGTCATCATGAAAACAAACCGGCGACGTACAACCCGACACTGTCGTACAACCCTTGATGTTTTTTCGGTAAATCATGTATTGGGATAACTGATTTTAACTAAGAGGCTACCCAGTCTACTGAAATGATGTAAAAGAGTTTGAAATTTAAGAATTAGATCACGATCAAATTCATTGACAGCCATTTTAATCTTGAACAAGTTAATGGCTGTGAAACAAAATTGATCACAAAGGAACTAGAGTCTTTCGCTCATAATCTTTTTTTCACTGGAACATCTTCATGTCCAGCATACAAATGTTCCTTCCTCCATTTAATTCTCCTGTTCTGGAACCAAATCTTGACCTGAGTTTGGGAAAGGTTTAACTCCCTGGCAAGATGCTCTCTCTCTGTACCTAGGAGATACTGCTGACGATCAAAAGCTGACTCCAGCCGGTTTAACTGATCTGAAGTGAAGATGGTTCGTTTACGACGCTTCTACACCTCCGGTTTGTCTCTCAGTCCAATTACCAGATTACCTGAGGAAAAAAACCTTGATAGCTCTGTTAAAATATACTTAAAAATAATAGCGCTACTCTTGTTGAATGTTTAATTTAATTGTAAGGGTTTACTAATGCGAATACAGAAAAGATTCAAATTCATAACCCAGTTGGGGACTGGAGATGGAAGCCGTAGATATGCTCTCGGTTTTGCTGGCTTATCAATTTAAACTAAAATGCCTTCAAAAGGGACTGCAAATAATTGAAAAATTATCGAAGAGGCGAGTATTCCCTCAATCTTTTCAGTCAGTGTTCCATCTATTTGCCACATACACAATTAGCAGTGCATTCTTCCATAATACAGAATTTGTTTTGTCTTTTAGCAAAAGTACTTCTTGATTTGTAAATGTTTAATTGATTTTGACAACAATTGACCAAAAAATTGTCATCTTATGTGTGATCATGTGTGATAGATCGTCCGAAATGATGTTCCAAGTCTTCCCTAAGGTCCTTTACTGATTTTAAATTTCTCTTGAGCTGATTTTCCGTCATAAGCAGGGACGGTTTAGGTGGTTTAAAGAAAGCAGTGTTGGGTTTTATCGACCACGCTTAAGGCAGAAGCAGTTCAAAGATCGTACGCCCAGGAAGCACCTGGAGTTGATCCAGAGAAAGTATAGGGTCTTACCCTAATGTGTGGCAAAATTCAGTGTATATATTTACTCACGCCCAAAAAGTATTGAAATTGGTCCGGAGTTGAGTTTGTAATTCTTTTCCTCAGTAATGTGGTTTTATATCTATGTATATATCTAAAACAACCTACCATGACTTCTTCTGTCTAAATATGAATACAAAATAATTGCCGCGATGGTGTTTGACAATTCAAATTTTCGGGAAAATTGCAAATTCATTGTTAATTCGACGCGCCACGCAACAGCACAATGTCACTTTATTTTACCGAGGTTGAAATCTGAGCTTGTAGTTTCCAATATTGTACATCGTAACGATGATAATGAAGACAACAATACTTCCGCTATTAAAAGAGGTACATGTAAATTCAGAATAAGCAAAACGAGGACTTTAAGAAAGAATGAAAGAAAGATAGTTACCGTGCTGTCGACTGTGAGATGTTTGACTGAATGGAAAAATTATCTGTTGGCTGGAGAGATTACAGCGAGCCGAAGGAACATAAAATCGAGGTCTCGAAATAATGCCGAATGCAGATGGAACAAAGGCCGAGGAATCTGCTTTGGAGAAGACTCCTGTGTCCCTTTCTAGCTGCAGCTGCAGTGAACTGGCTTGTAATCGCAAATGGGATTCGCTTGAGGTTTGGCACGAAAGAGGTAACTGGCACCCATGACCACTGTCCCGTTCCTGTATGCAGCTTGGGTGCGGACAAGAGCAATACGAATGGTACGAAGACTGGTACATACTGACCGGCTGCATCTTCAACATGGACGAATACTTTCAACCTTAATATCTGAGCAAATTACTAAGTCCTTGATTATCGCCAACTAATACGTCTATGAAGATCTAAGCGCAAAGTAATTCAGTAGCTGTATTTATGACAAACTGTTGCCAGACAACTTAAAAGCTCTTGCAAACACGTTAGCAACTCAATCCAGCGATGAAGGAAACGTGACAAATTACATTATTATACGGCATTTATTTGATGAGATTTTTTTGATGAAAACTAAGAATGCATCCTTAACAGTACATCTGCATCAAACTAAGCGTTCGTTTAGTACTTTTTTGTTTTGGAATGGTGATCCGAAGCTGTTGAGCTGAGCGCATTCGTAGTCCTGTTTGCCCACGGTTTTCTCGCCAGGTTCGTTCTCATTTAAATAGTTGCCCCTACATTTGTTACTCACGTAATCTTTTCGTACCGATCCATAATCGAGTAACTTCTGATAGGGACTTAATTTCATCAGAAGACCAAACAAATTCAAAATGGAACGATGCTAAATCCAACTCCTTTACGAGAATTTCTCCATCCTACATTTAAGGAAACTGAAAACTGTCTCTGCTCAGTTACAGGAAAGGGCTCTCTCGTGTCATAGCTTTGACATTCACTCAGAAAATTGTGAGAATGATGAGATTGGGTATCAAAAAATGATTCACCAATCACAAATGACGATACTCGCAACAAGATCACGTTCACGATTCACATATTCGTAATGTCACCTGAGTTTAGTGGCACTTTGGTCTTATGACTATAAATTACAGGCTCCTTTTTGTTCTAGTCTCTAAAAGAATGATCACTCCGTTCAGAAAAACCCATCGAGCACGTCAGAAGTTAAGTTCTCCTCCTAGTTGAAAACGTACGCGGATCGAAAAGTGATCGTAAAGGTTTGAACGAGTTTGTTTTCAGTGAAGACATGAACATTTTGTTTGAAAACAGTATCGGAAGTCATTTTTGGAGAAGCACATGTTGTTGATCTAAATTGTATTTGCACATTTCCTACGCGCTACATGTGTCAACTTTTCTTTGAGTCCCAAATGAATAAACAAAAAGTTTGATTGAAAACAGAAAATTGTACCTTTTTGATTTCTGATTCCGTTTATTCGCGCACGTAACATATCCTATTAATTCTTATGTTTTACTTTAAGAGAATTATTTTTCTTTACATTGTTATAAATTCCCTGTTTGGTGGATAAATGTTCAAAGTGAATTTGAGATTTCTTTTATTATTCCTAATATTGGACATAAAGAATGGGTAATTGGCAAACAAATTAAAAATATAATCCTATTTCAAAATCCAGACACACCAGTCTTAAAACGCTGTAAATGCAGTAACATATCTACAAACCTTCCATGTGTTAAACGGATTTTGAATTAAGTTAAAAATTGTAGAAAGAAGAAAAACAAGAAGCGCTTCACGGAGCTAAAATATACAGACAACATGACGGTTGCCCTGGGGAAGCATTTCTTTCGCAAGAATGTCCCATTGTGTACGACTTAATGCTGTTAAATGCTTCAATTACACTGTTCAAAATTTGTATCTTTATTCTAATCATTATAGCTCAAACGACCTCACATTCGAAGCCGCGACTTTTTTCATTGAATAGCATAAATAAAAAAACACGAAAAAAGCTATCGTACTATGTTCACGGGTGAGCATAACAAAAGCAAGCAATAATCAATTTGCTTATTACTGCGATCAGAGATGGTGAGCCTGTGAGCAATAAAAACAAATTGAAAAACATCTATACCGATAAGAAAAGACCAAAGGTGTTTGGTGAGTTGAAAAAAGCATTTTCGTCTGCAAGTACCTTTCATAACAATTACTAAATCGGAATATTTTTCATGACATGTATGGAAATTTAAACAGCATACGCACTCAAAATAGCGTAATATTACATAACTTCAGATGAAATCACGAAGACATAAAACGGTACAAACTATGTACCAACTTACTAAAGCAAACTCTAATTATAACACGTTTTCACCCTAACATGTTAAGCCAACTCCATCCAGTGTAAACAGCTCAGGATAAGCATTACAAGAGAACATGTAGGAATTGTATATCATTCTCCGTTAAATACTCGCTTACAAATTTCATATTATTTCAAGACCGGACTTCAAAGGAAAGTTCGAGTCAGATAAACCCTCTTACATAATAGTACTTCTCAACACGTTTAAGCCGGCGTCGTGTTGGAGGCAAAGGTTCATTCAAGCTTGTTTCACTTTAAATCAAATAGCCTATTCTATTGTACACTGTACGGAACCTTGTCCCCTTTTATTTCGCGTTAGTCTTAAGTATACCTTTAGAAATTAGGGCCATGTAAGAGAAACAACACCACTTATCATCTTTCATTAAAAACCTCCTTGTGGAAGATACCCCCCCTGCTTTGCCATAAAATCTCTGTTTCATTTTTACTTAATATGCTCACGAAGAGAAACTTTTTGTCTCGATCCTCTCTTCATTCTTTCGAAGCCAATGCTTTCGGCAAGCAAGGGTAATTGATCTTTAATAGAGCCTGCAGAGAGGCATACTTGACCAAATGTTGGAAAAATTGAAGCGTCCAACAAAAAAGGCTATAGTTATACAGGCACTACTGTGGCGTGCCCAGAGTTTTTGTTTAATTCTCGTCTTCATCCACCCAAAACAAGCTAATTGGACGAGAAGCCTTCAGCTTTTTACGTGCTTAATATCGGACGTAAAAGTTTCTCCCTTTTTAAGAACGGTAAACGAAGAAAGTCTCTAGACTTGTCCAAATATGTAATGGATCCTGAAACATAAACAATCTTCGAGTCTGAATTTTCACTTGTTTAATCAGAGGGCACCTAATTACTGACCACAACTTCACCACCGGTGGTGGTACTGGCTACAAGAAATTGACCAAACAGTGAGATTTAACTTTTGTTATAATTTATCATAACGTCTCTGATTTCAAGTGAAGAATCACAGCTCCATCAAATTTGCAATGCGATCAACAAGTGCTCCTGAGGAATTATGGTCCACGCCTTTCTTTCCCGGTATTAGGTTTTTGTAATACCTTCCACGTCGTTAATACAGAGCGCTTAAAACAGCAAGTAGCCGTTACCTCCCTTACTCGAGTCACTAAGCGTAACAGCTTCATATCCACGGCTCTCGATCGACCACCTGAACAGGTTCCGAAACAATCCATTGTCATTCATCAAATGTCCGCCCTATTTTCCTCTTCTTTGTCCATGAGGTAGCAATGGCAACTGTTACAAACTAGAACTGTCTCTTCGTATGCTGCCGGTGCTATTGATGAAGATCGAAAAAATACATATGCTGTTCTTATCATCATACAACATACGTCATTTTACTCGCTTCAATGTTTGTTCAACCTGCACACATTATTAATATAATTTTCTCGTAATAAAATGAATTATGGCAAACAAATGTCTGGACCCACTACATACAACGCGTCAGGTATGCACAAAGCCAGGGGCAGTAGGTAATGATTTCCTATTCATTCTTTAATACTTCTGCGATTCTACATTTATTATTTCAACCACACGGAGCCATCGTTTACACAATGAAAATGCACGTGTAAAAAAAGAAAACATCTTGATAAACAACAGCAGCAAAAGTTTTAAGCACTGATAGGTGTGTGCAGGGAGGGAACTCTGGCTTCTTCAAGAAGAACGACCAAGGATAATTTCAATATTTTTTTCTACTCACCGGTTGCTCCAAACACGGCCCTTTTAACACGCTTACTGCAACAGCGAGAGCAAAAGCTATCTCCACAATGCCGGCAGTATTGCTATAAAAAGACACAACACCAACTTGAAGTCGCGATGCTTAGCACAAAAATGTACTAAATTCAGAAGTATAGCGGGTCACTATGGGTTATAAATATAAATCTACTAGCTTTCTCTCCAAAATGCAGCAATCACATTGGCTGCACTACTCGCTATTGATTCCGTGATAGACAGTGAGTTAAGTCAGTATTTAACAGAGTGAAGGAGTAAACTCAATAGTATAAAAAAACATGAGCCGGTCTTGTTGTTTAGTTTTGAAAGACTAATAGATTTATTCCAAAATCAGTGCATTATTCGCTCTCGATTTCTGTGCGTGATACTTATGCAGGCTACTCCGTCATCAACTGTAACGTGTAAGAAATCTAATTATTAACTATGATGCAGTGTGAACAGTGAGCAAGCCGTTCAGTACCCCACATGTCACACACTGTACAGAGTACTTTCCGGCGACACACTGGCTCACACAGCGTATTTAACTGCTTTAAGAAGGCTTTCTTTACTTACCCTTTTCTTTAACAGAGAAGAAAAGGTGACATCGCATGACGCACAGTTTACTGGAAAAAGGAAAATAAGGAACATGACTGAAATATTACAGTTACTGACAAAAACAAAAGTACTACTTTTGATAATATATACTAGTTCTTAAACCAACTGTCTAACACAAAAAGATGTTTTTCCCTCTTCGTGGCAAAGGAAAACGCAGCGAGTTACACCTACACAGAGTGACAGAATATGTCTGTGCTAATAAAAGTAATGTGTTAAGGAAAACCGCCAGTCTGAGAAAGTTAGAGCGACACGGAAGAAGCAAAATAAACATGCAATGATTGCTATTTTACAAGCCAGCAGCAGTTAGAGGAGATTAACGAATACACAGCCGAACACAGGTCTTGTTCTAATGTTAATAAACGACATTACTTTATTTTATCGTACCCTATTTACAAACAGAATTTAAAGATAATCTTCACATCCAACTTACCACTATTTACGCGCTTTTTTTTCCTGCGGTAGTCGCTGAAATGAGTCACCACAGACAATCCAGAGAAACGTTCTAAAGAAATAATTAATGGTGTTAGAGAAAGAATATAAAATTGTCACTCCTCTACATTCTCAACTAATAGCGAAAGCGACGGATGTATTTCTTACAAGTTAAATCACTAACTTACTTGCAGTTCTCTTCGTTAACGGGGCATCCTTGAAATAAAAAAAATCAGTCATGAATCATTATCTTTTTACGTCTCACCTACACCCATGAACCTAAAGCTGTTTACTACAATATACAAAACGGTTTTCTAACGTTTCATTTCATACTTAAAGCGGATGTTTTAGGATCGTGCTTGACTGTCTCGAACTATTAAGGTCGGAAAGCAAAACCCTAGCCACTAGCAGTGACAAAATTTATATTTTACCATAATCATTGTTCTTATTTCCAGGTAGTCCAGAGGGACGTACGGGGAATGTTACTAAGTGTTTCCTGATAAGTCATAGTTTAAGTGGTCTCCCGAAACAGCATGAAGGAACTGCTGAAAAGTTATGAATTAAAAAGACTCCAGCAATCACAGGCTCCCGCTAATAAGATATTATACTTCAGTAGCACTCAAAAAAGAAACGACAACTTTGAGTTTAAATTTACAAGACATGTTTCGATATTCTCATGTCATCTTCAGTTGCAAATGAGCTTTTAACGGTTGTACATTTGAATTTATATAAGGTACGTTACAAATTACGTGTCAGGGCTTACGTTACAATTTGAATATTAAATACGCGAAAAATTTAAATAGCGCGCGCTTGATTAGATCAAAAAATAAATAAATAAAATAATAATAATAATAATAATAAAATAAAAGACCAAGGAACAACATAATTAAAAGAAAGAGACAATTCTAGATGCCTCAATCGCTGATTAAGAATGGGTTTTTCCCACTTAATATGCAACGCCTCTTTGCTCTTAATTTGGTATTTTGAAGCGGCAGAATCTAAGATCGTGAAACATTCAGTATCACAAGAGTCAAGACAGGCCCTTGATGATAGCTGGTGCTTGTAAATATGCGAAGTTTTGTCCGACAAGAGGTGCTCACGAACTCGTGTACAAATGTGGCGAGTGGTCTCACCAATATAACTGACATTACAGCCAGCACACGAAAATTTATAAACGACACGCGAACGTAGACCTAGCGGTACTGAATCTTTCACACTGAACATGTTTCTGAGTTTAAACGTACTGAAGACTAACTTAACATCTAAATCAGCTCTACAATAACGTCTGAGTAGTTGTCTTAACTTAGTCTGAGCGATGTAAGAGGCGTTCTGCCCAGTAGGAGAAGGATTATTTTTCTTAGCTAGATACCTGTAAATGATCTTGTCTGTGACCCAAGATGAAAAACAATTTTTCCGTAGCAAGAAAATAAGTTTCTTGAAAACCAACCCAGGAATTATCGATCTTATATACTCTGTCAATCAATGTTCTGACTAAACCTAATTTGTAAATCAAAGGGGAGAAACTGAAATAATTAGTAAGAAGACCAGTAAATGTCTTCTTGCGATATACACTAGTGACGATGGATGTATGACTGTTGTCTAACAATATGTCTAGAAACGATAATTTCTTATCAATTTCCCTTTCCATTGTGAAACGAATACTAGGGTGCCTAGTGTTATTATAATCAAAGAACACGAGCGCGTCTTCCTCGCTATTGAACAAACAAAAGGTGTCATCAACATAGCGTCTGTAGAACAGAACTTTAGAGAATGAATAGTTATCTAGCCAGCTTTTTTCATGATGTCCCATAAGGGGGTTTGCAAGTACTGGAGCAAGTGGGGACCCCATGGCAACCCCATCTATTTGATCATAAAACACACCCTTGAACAAGAAACCAGTCTCAGCTGTTGCGAAGGTAAAAAGCGTTTTTAGGTCAGCGGCGTTTATCTTAAGACCAGGGTTACCTTGATAAATGTATCTGATCGCCAGATCAATGCATTCATCAAGAGGTATACTAGTGAACAAACTCTCAACATCGAAAGATACCATGAACTTCCCTGAGGTTGATAACTAGTTGATTTCATGTACAAAAGAAAATGTGTCGCGGACGTTGTATTCACGCGGGACATGTGGCTCTAGAAGATTACAAAGGAACTTAGATAAATTGTAATTGTAGGTACCTATTGAAGATACTATGGGTCGAAAAGGAGGTGTTTCATTAGGCTGCCGAAGGTAGCCCATAAAACCTGGCTGGTTGAGAACCAACTGGATAGATTCCCTCATAGGTATCTTTGTCTAAGTGGTCCTTATTTTACTTCAGTAGCAGTAGAAAACTCTGTATACGTATAACTCGCGTTGTAAATAGCCCACAGCCACGAGACAATTTTCAAACTAAAAACAGTGGCTGATCGAGATTCCAAATGAATACAACATTGAAAACATATGGGACGTCTCGTTATGTCTTGTACCTCTTGTTCGTAATTCTCATCCTCGGAGAGTGATGTCTCTTGTTCATGTGCATCATGCTGAAAAGAAATAAAGCATCGGAATAAGTTTGGACAGAAGCATTTTACCAAGAAGCGTATAAATTCCCTTATTATGTTTAAACACAAGTTGGGGGTTATTAGCCGACCAATCAGAAGTAACAAGACATTTTGTCCAATTATGGAATCAGAGGTTCGAGCGGTGTTTCCTTCATATAAAACTCTCAGCCGATTACCTAAGAGGCCGAGGAAACTCACAATAAAAAACTTTTACGCCAAAATCTTTATCGGGACGCCCTAAGTAAATGATGATTATCACTCTGCAAAGTGGGACTGGAATCAGCGGTAAAGCGTCCGACGCACATATCGGAAGGTCGTTAGTTCAACTCCTACTGGGAGCACTTGTAGTTTTCTTTTTCTCTCCAGGTAGGCTTGTGTCATTCATTGAATATCAAATTCCTTCGCTTATATCCCCAGGCTTAGGATGGACCATCTTTATTTATATCGTAATTTCGCACATGCATATCGACATTCCTGTCCACGAAGTATGCAGGAAGTTTGTGACCCTGCAACCAGTTAACATTGGTATGGCTACAAACGACTCAACTGACCGGGTTCGAATCGACTTAGCTAAGTACCAAACGACTGGTAACCACCCAAGCTCTCGCACATACCTAAATGTGGGTTAAAAGTTTCTGCTTACAAAAAGGGCAGCCTTAAAAAGGTAAAATCAAGGAGAAAAGATGGGAAACAAGAGCACGAAACAGAACACAAGATACAATCCATCCTCACCCATTCGTCGTCGTTATCATTTTCTGTTACTACTAAGTTAGTTTGTGTTTTTCTCGGGCTTTCTGTCCAAGGATTTACCAAACCAATCCAAAAGTTCCGTGATAAACTAATCTTCTTCAGTCGCTGTACTCTAAGCCAGAATTGCCCTTGAGCCTCCCTGAAAACTATCAAGTTACAAAAATTATTGACACGAGTTCACAGAACACCTACTGAGTACCCTTCCCGTATCTAACAATGTAATGACTGGTTCTAGCTGTCCTATGACGTGGGTAAAAGCTATATAATGAATTTTGAAAATATTAAAGTAAAGAGAAATATAAGATCTCTTACTCTTTCATTCAAGAAAAATTCAATCAATCATGCAAACTACAAAAAGTAGTTCAAGTTCTGCATCAGCCAAAACAGAAGAGACACCTTATCCAAAGCGACTTGCAAATTAACCCTCATGTTTCATGAGAACAATGAAATTCAAGCCAAAGGCACATCACTTCAAACTGTAAATGGTAAGTTTGCATGGTAAATCCTAGTCTCCTCCCCACGAACGTGGGGAGGAGCGTTGCGTGACGACCCTAAGAACGGCTGTGTAGCAGACTAGGTAAATCAAAGAGCCTAATTCTTACTACAAACCCCAAACGTGAAGATCAAAATGAAATTATTATGATTACGTGAGACCATGTACAATCTGCACTTTATCCAGCCTGTTTAACTTATCAAAAGAAGACTTTTGAATGGCAGATAAATATTAAACATGAAAGTAATGCAAAATTGTATGTTTAATAAAGACTACCTTTATTAAAGCCCGAGTTGCCCAGAAATGTGAGTATAAGGCCAAAAGTCACAAGATATGTTCCAGGGAGAAAAAATAAAATGCATGCTGACAACAAGAGCAAGAGGAAGCACCTACATGAAGAGATAAAGAGAAAGATGTTCTGTAAACAATAATAATCAATAAATGGCAAATTCTCAGAGTAATGACTGTTTTTTAAGGCACATGTATGAGAATGAAATGAAACAGGACAGGAAATTCAGTAGCACTGACATCTGGAAGTTCAAAACTTGAGTTGGATTTGAAGGGGTCAAGGGACTGCGTGTTATTAGCCACAAACTTCAGACAGGGATTACATAGACCTCAGTGTGTACAGAAGTGAAAGCAATTCTAAAATTCAGAATTCTTACCGTGAAGATTGGAGCAAACAAGAATTTCTACAGCCAAGGGTTCAAAATAAATATATTCAATTTGGCAAAGGATGTGTTGATCAAGTAAAATGTGATTATAATAGTAGATTAAATAATGCTTCAACACACAAACTTTGCTCGTTTCTAACCTCTCCAGCATCATTTGACTTGCCGAGTCACTCACTGTACTTCTAGCCATCGATTTATCACCATATACTTAATTGCATGTACAATAAGAATTCCTACTTAGGTCATAAATTCTTTATCTCTGAAGAAAAGAAAGAAAACCATGCCATACCTCTTTGAAACAGAAGGATCTTCCCATCTGACAATCCTGTTTATACCAATTCAAAAACAGAGTTAAGAAAACAAAATAAACCATAAATGAATTTTAAAGGAGTCAGTGGAAAAGATGGAACAGACAGAGTGACTCTGAATTTGCAAACAAATACAACTTACAGTTGAACTTTTGTTAGAGGTCCTTCTAAGTTTATCAACCCACTGTATTAGCACCTAACCAAATTATCAAGTCTGTGTGGACACTGACAGGGGAATGTCACCAATGAAAGAGCAAATCACAGGGCAGTCTACATTTTGAGTTGTGCTTTACACCAATTTTCTCAGTTAATCAACAATTATAAATCCTGTACCCATAATTAAATTCAACCAGCAAATGGGTTACTTTAACAATTGCATGTACATGTACTTTCATTTATATAAGTCCACAATGAGTTCAAAATTGGGATATGCATATATAGTGCCTGACTAGTGGAGAGCCAACAGTCATGTACTCATTAAAGAACATACATGTAATGATTATTGTACACTAGTAAGTGTCCCACTCAGGTAGTGCTGGCATTGAACAATACAAATAGAAAATAATTTGCAAATCAAATAAGAGAGACAATTTCAGTCAACTTAAAAGGTTCTTACACATTATTTTCAAGGCAGCATTTTGAGAATAAAGCAGTTACTGGCAGGATGTACTCTCAAATTGAAGTTTGACTGTTTTGGCACAAGAAAAAATCAGATATTTCAATTAGATTTACAAGAATGGATAGCTGTCACAATTGTTACCTGTAAAACTTTTCAAGATATTCACACGAGGTTTCTTCTATGATTTGTATTTGCACAGAGCTTGACAAGTACAAAAAATACAAGTCACTAGTGAGTCTCCTCTTTCATGATAGGAACTACAGCAGGTTTTTTTCAGGAAAAAAAGTCTGTAAAAGACTTAAGCATGAATGCATTTGATATTAGTAAAATGAAGATTTCTACCTCAATGTTGACAATATTATTCTAAAACTCAAAACTGTAAAATCAATTAAATCAAATAATTTGATCAAATTGTATATTTCCACTACTCCGATACAAATAACTTTTGCACACTACTTATCTATCCATTTATTTATCAGTCCTTCTTTAATTTCCTTAATAATAATTATTATATCTATTATTTAGTGTCTTTTATTAGCTTCATCATCTATATGTAATAATTAAGTGCCTAATATCTTGGGCAGTTGATTGACTCACTAATCGACTAACAAATGTGCTAACTGTGGGTCAACTTATCTTTAATTTTTCCAATGAATACACTAAGGCGTGATTGTGATAAGTATAAATTACAGGTATTCCTGAAGGTATGTCCTCATCAAACACATAAAAAACTGTCATACAAAATGTAATACACATTGTTAACCCAGTATATGTACATCTTGATGTAGTCTTTCAGATGATCATGTGCTTCCTTCATGGCTGCCAGTTTAACATCCTAAGACAACAAATAATGTATTAAGTTATAGTGTATTACACAATATCCCTGCATGGTTAAAACTCAGAATGGTCCCAACAGGCCTTAATTCAAGCTATATACCACATTCAATTGAGTTTGCCACGTGAATTTTTGAGGGAAACAGCACGGCTAGCCACATGTGGGCAAAGCACTACATTGGAATTCCCAAATAAATGACTGCATGCAGGTGAAACCAAAAGCTGTAGGTGAAACCAAGATTACCATATGATATGTAACTGAACAATATGACTCAATCTCCTTTAACATAATATTATAATACAGTATAGACTAAATAAATGTTACAAACTAAGCCAATTTTGTGGAACCATTACCAATACCATTGCATTCACTGCCAGTTGCAGATGCACCATCTCCTTCAAGGAGATGAACCATCACTTAGCCCACCAATCACAAAAAGAGGAAATCCACCCAAAAGCAAAATGATGGAAGTACAAGATAGAATCACAGGCCTTTCATTTCACTTTCATTCCACCAGGACACAATCCACTGCTCTATTTCAGGGTTTCAGTAAGGCCTTCATGGTTGCTCAGTAAAGCAGCCACAATGTATGGTGTATAATTATGATAATATTACCCCAGCCTTTGCTTCACTCAAGTGATTTGTTCCTCCTCTAAGAAGTAACCAAGTTAAAGGTGCTAATGCTGGGTTAATATGACCATAGTTCACATTTTCCTTTTTCCACATTGTACATTGAAAGGATTTGTAAATCTAGCATTTTTTAATGAACATGTTGGCTGCTTGAGTCTCAACAATCTCAAAAGATGCCTACTCACCAGACACTACTTAAAGGAATTCAAACTTGATATACTTTCCGCTTCCACTGCTTGCTTCATCCATACCGATTTTGTTTTTACTTTGTTAGAAGTTATAATATATATCATTCTCTATTTTCAAGTTTCAATATTATTATATCTACATGTATAACATGTAAATGCAAATAAGGTCGTCTATCAATCCATCTAAAGTATTTACATGTACTTACTAAATTCAGAACATCATCATCTTTCCTGCAAACTTTCTTCCTTTTCAAATAATCACCAGCTTTCAAAGTTTTCTTTCCCAACCTTCTAATCCCAGATAAGCCAAATGTAATTGCTGCATAAACCAATGGTATATGGACAAGACATCCTGCAAGAAAATTATGATATGAATTATGATAAGAAAGTAACATAAGAAGTGTCATGTACTAGCTAGTTCTTTACTCAAAGACATACACATAAAATATACAAAAGAGTGCAATTTCTCCTGACACACGTCCATCATGATGATTTACCTGGATAACTAATAGACAAGTAAACAGTAACCCACATGATGACAAAAGTGAGCCGCCACGACTGCCACCTAAAAATAGCAACCAAAAAACCATGTTGAGGATCATATATAGACAAAAGCCTCCATTTAGCTAAAAATATGCATGGATATTATATCCATGGACATTAATCTATTTCCACGAGTGAGGCTTAAGGAAAACTGTCATCTACAAGGAACAGATACTGTACAAGGAATCCCAGTTTTTGGTTGGCAAATTTAGTCAACTAATGTGTTAACACCAACCTTTGTTATAAAGACAAAGATGTAGGACATCAGTTCATTCCGTTTAAAGTAATAATTATTAATGAACAAAAAGTAGAGATCCATCTGAATAACAGAATACTATGTACTAAATAACTGCTAGCAGTTCAACCTCAATTAAAATGTCTTCTTTAGAACAGTCACCCTTCATTAACTAGTTATTGATCCAATTCCCTTAAAATCAATTCCAATCAAGAGATCAAGGGTTCAGAGGATGCTATTTATAGCAGTTGGACAGCAATAAAGCTCAAAGAGAATTATACAAGTCATTTAAGTGAAAAATATAATTGATGAGCAATGATCTTTTGCCTTATTTTTAACCTAGTTGAGAAATTAACTATTTGGAAAATGGCTAAATTGAGGCCACTTTGAGGGTATTAAACACTATAGCATTTTAACCATATGAAGCTATGACCATATGCTGATTAGTCAATTTCAAACAACTCATGTCCTTCAAATTTTCTTTGGCCAATAACCCTTCCAGTAATCATAGAGAGGAAGCTGTATAGATGATAGGAGCAGCCTTTTTGTCCCAAAATACAGAAGGGATGAAGCCCAAATCAAGTCAGGAGTTAAAGATTTATCCTGTCAATCAAATCAATTAATTTATTATGTGCATACATAAAAGTAAACGTTGGAGGTTATCCCTATCGAGGACAAACTCCCTACATAAAATATAATAAAAATAATATTATATACTACAATGTAAAATTTAAGAGTCATTAAGAAATAGGTAAAAAATATATATATATATACAAATGCCAAAGAAGGAAATTATTACTAGTTACTCGAGTTTCATGCTCTAGGCAATCATCAGACTGAGAGTTGTCTACGAGAAGTAAACAGTTTTGAATGTTTAAAATTCAAAACACATTTGGGACTTAAAGGAGTGAAGAAACGATCTCTACAAGATCAACTGGCACATCATCAAACGGGCAAGTGCATACAAAGGCAAACCATCTTGCTGCAACCTATGTTTGGCTGAAAAACTTTGCATCTTGACTGCTCAAAATGCCTCAGTAGCTCTCTTAAATAAGAAATCTGAGCTTGTAACGAAATGCCGCCACGAAAACAAGTTTTTCACAGCATCCAATCAGAAGAAGCGCGTGCATGACGACTTCTAACCGTTCTTGAATTTTAAACATTCATAACCATTTACTTCTCTTAGACAACTCTCAGTCTGATGATCACCTAGATCGTGAAACTCAAGTAACTAGCTATAGCTGGCTAGTAATAATTTCCTTCTTTCACATTTGTATTTTGCTCTGCATGTTTCTGCATCGAGCACTCCAAGGATAAGTGAAACAACTTTATTTCTTGTTTATTCATGTATATATATATAAACGATTATTTAGGAAAATAAAAATTAAAACTTGATACTACAGATCTGTTTTGAAAGGAAAAGTCCTCTCTCGTCCACCTGACGAGAGAGGACTTTTCCTTTCGAAACAGATCTGTAGTATCAAGTTTTAATTTTTATTTTCCTAAATAATCGTTTACAAAGCTCCATATGATTGTAGAGCACTCTGCGATTCAAAGATAAGGTTTTTTACATTTTACATTTATATATATATATATATATATATACATATTTTACGAAATTTTACAACTAAGTTTACTACGAAAAATGTTAAAATCCTGTTCATGCACTATCTCTTTAGAAAGAGCATTCCACTGTTTCACAACTTTAACAAAGAATGAGTGCAAAAAACAATTTACTCTAGCTATAATGACTGTCTTAATTTAAATGAATGGTTTGATCTTGTTTTACCATAACTATAGATTAAATTCAAAATAATCATTACAGTTGAGGCCAATCAGAGACCCTTCTAGCAGCACATGCATGCAGACTAACATATTTAAGTATAACTGAGAGGGAAACTTAGTGTTTTCTTTCAAACTTAAATTTCTAACACTATCCATTTAAGATTATACATATTCTTGAAACTTAATAAACACTGAATTCAGATATTTCATTTATTTTTTTTATTTTTGCTATTGAAAAGAATTCATGGGAGCTAATATTCTTTCATGCAGAGACATTCTACAAGATAAGTTTATTTGACAATGCTTTTAGTCAACACCTTTGGTCTGCACATAATAAATTGAACTAATATATTATTCGCAAACAAACGCCTAGGGCAACTTTGATTTAAAGACTCTGGTCACTGAAACTCTCTGAGTCTAGTAGGGACCCCTGTCACTATTGGTGAAGAATATTGCTGCTCCAATGCAAACTGCAATTAAATATTCCTTTTTCTGGAGCAGCAAAAGGGACTTGCTGCTTTTGAACATGATAACAGAAACAACACTTGAATTACAAAAAACAATCTCTCTACACATCTAGTTTTTGGAAAGAACTACTGTAAGTAAACTTGTTAATGAATGAGTGATTTCAGAACTGTACAAAATTGTACAGTGTGCATGGAAAATCAACAGTGGTTTTGGGATCATCCAGTAAGGGGACTGAAAAGAACAAGTTGACACGAAGACAATCTCATGCAATCAGCTCATGCCTTTCATATTCTACTCTCAAATTACTTTTTGCTTATAATCTCCTGAAGTGAAAAAGATATCAAAATAAAATTTTCAGATGATGACAGATCTTTATTTGGAAAGATTTCCATATAACCCCATACATTAATTATGCATAAAGACTACTTCATAAAGACCACTTCATAAAGACTAACTATAAAGGTTTCTTTGCAATGCTCTATGCATAATTAATGCATGCATGGGGTTATATGGAAATCTTGCCCTTTATTTCTTATGTTTAAGGTATTAAATTTTCAGGAAATTGAAAAAAGTGGTTTTTTTTTCCTTCTGATATCTTAAGTCAGCTGTGAAAACCCAGATCTTTAAGTGACTAATTCACTACATCTAAACAGTGACCAACAGTTCTTCACTTAACACAAATAGAGGATTGCACTCCGGATATTAAACTCTATCTTGTCACATCACCCACAACTCTCCTGTTATGTTTTAAGGTCAGCCCTCACCTGAACAATATCACTATTTGGTCGAGTTATACATTCCTCTATAATAAGCTAGGCAGGGCGACATTTTCGCGACTTGGTTGGCATTTAGAACAAGACATGGTCTGAATTGAGTTTACATGCAGTTGTAACATATACGAAGTGGAGCTCTAGGAAATTATAGTTTTAAATAATTAGTAGAGAAACAGAAATAGTTATGAGAACCACAGTAACATGAGCGACGGGGAAACATGGCAAAACAAATTTCGGAGTATATTCTTGATAAAGCTTGGGGGCAGGAAAAAGGAGTTTTCAAATTATGTATTTTATATTATTAGGGGAAAAAGCACTGATATCGTTCCTGCGGTCGCGACCGTTATACCCACCTGGTCACAAATAGGAAACGTTCATACCATTTTATCAATGGTTTAACCAGGTGACACAGTTTCTTGTGGTTAAGGACAAAAGTACCTATGTCAAAATGCTCTACGCCGCTCTCTTCTTCCATGGGTTCTTCCATACAGGTCTCAATAACGCAGTTTGATCAGTTTGATGTGTTATTGGTGTGTTTTATTCGTTTTCTCGCTCGGACGATGAACAGCGGTAAACTGTAACCACTGTCACGCAATAGACTATAGTGTGAGATGGCGCGACGAGCCTAGTAGCCTGTCACCGTGAACAGTGTCAAAGGGAAGCATGAATTCATGGGTGCTTGATGGGGTGAGTAGCTAGGTTTCGGTCTTACATTAATCGTAGCCTGTGATAGGCTCAAATATATGGCAAACGAATAAAATAAGAAGGTCGGGAACGAAAAAAGGACCAATCAAGTTAATTTTCACGGAACGCATAAACGCTTGTCGTACGCAGTTTTACGTCTAGTCCCCTGTCCCCAACCCAGAGGGTAAAATCTCCAAAACCAAGAAAAAAAAACTGAAATCATGTCCAAATTTACTTTTTTTCGAGAAGATTTAGCGACTTGAGGGGGAGACCGAAACACTCTTTCAGTCTTCGGAAGACTTCCGGACTATGTGAAGAAAGTAAGAGGGCAAAAAAAAAAAAAAAAGAAAAAGGCGTCTGATCTGTTCCTTCATTCTGGTTCGCCCCTCGAGGGTTATCGGAAAAGTATTTTCTACGTTAACTAAAATCTGTTGGGATTCTAATTAAGTCGTCAGGACAGAATGGCGTACGGTCAAAATCGGGCAGAACAGCCCAAAATCGGAAGGGACCCATTAGGACACTCCTTCACTTAGTCTTAGCCTGGCCTTTGCAGGTATTTGTGAGATCTTGAGTCCCGAAAGATCCAACAGTTCGTCATCTGCAAAGTCACTTTCAGACCCCCTAGACGACTGACTCTCCTTTGAGGTATTTTTCTCGAGACTTGAGCTTAAGATGTCTATGACGAAATCAGATGGGATAGTCCGGAAAGGGAGTGAACGTCCGAAACCGGGTGGAACTCTGGTAGGAATTAATTTTTTTTTTGCTTCTTATCGCCTTTCTGTCAAGAGTGAGTTCAGTCTTGTTTTTTACAGGGTCTTTCTAAGACTAGAGAGTATAAGATTGTGTATGATGGGACTTGTGTACAATGGCACAAAAACGGCAATCTATTGGCCTGCGTAGCTGGCAATTTTTGGGCATCCAATGAAAAAAGAGAGGCGGGGAGTTAGTTGGTGACGAAACGGTGATAAAGAAAATGCAGACAGTTTTCTGTTTCAAACATCTCGCCATTGCGCTGCTCAACAAATCAAAGTACAGACCAAACTGCTATTCTGATTGGATGAATATTTTTACTATAATCTTCATCACTAAACAAATATCAACAATATTTGACAAGCTGTTGATAGTTTCTCTTTGAGGGACATTTCCGTCTCAAAAATTTATCTTTAAGATTATTGGATTCCCAAGAAGCATCCTTCTTGAAAAAATAACGGTGTAGCCGAGTCAGCCGAATACAAACAGTTGACCGTCGCGGACTCTTCAAGTTTCCCTACAAGTGAAAGAAAGCACTCATATTCCCCTTTCCTCTCGTCTGATTTATCGCGGGCTCTTGATAGTAATTTATGCACAAAACATGGCCACCCGAGAGGTACGTAATAAATTAGACGAGCTGAGGCAGTATCGTAAAGACCGTAGCCGACACGACCGCGATGCGAGAGAGCATTGTTCTTCGGTGAGAAAGAAAAGAAGAATGAACCCAGATTTTGTGGAGAAATGGGACGCTGCTGCCTTAAAGGTAATTTAACAGAAGATCTGTTTTAGACAGTTCTGCGCGGACTGTGGCAAATGAAAAAGTTATAAGTTTAACTGAACCCCATTTTTATGAGCACGTTGTTAGTGTGAGCATGAATCTTGTTATTCTCTTATAATCATAAAATGTGTAATAGAAAGAATGGCGGTGAGGTGATAACCCCAGATTCCAGCATTGTGAATTTTCCAAATTCAAACTCGTAAGCGGACTGTTGCCCGTTCAGGTCGAATAAACACAACAGAACAATCACGGCTTCAAATTCGCGTGACATTATTACAGGTCTCAAGGGTCGGCCAAACTTCGCCTTCACCAAAGGAACATGTCCTTTCAAAACATATCGAAACTGTTAACCTATCTCATCAGGAACTTGTTAAATTTTTCTCCTCTAGGAAGGTGAATTGAATGAAAATCTGGTAGCGATTTTGTTCGTAGCTTTTCACACTTGAATTATATTGTGCAGGCTCTTTACGAACAAGTGGCCGGTCGTTTGTGTACAGAGAAAATGCACACACGTTTTTCTTGCAACAAAGTTAACTAAATAAAGGTATTTGATTTGAAGCATGTTGCTGGTTAACAGAATCGCACTATAATTCAAAACGCCTTCGCCTAATTTTCTTTGTGATTAAAACTCTGTTCGACTTCTTATATAATAAATTATAGCATCATCTAAAAGGCTCACGATATCAAATGAAACGCGACAGAATTTTTTTACTGGTTGCGATCAAGTTTTGCCAGAAAATCCCACTGTTTCTTTGTATCTCATTGATGTAAAAATTAGTTTTTTAGAGTAATTTGGATGAATTCGAAAATGGAAATCTAAAAGCGATGTGATTTGTTTAAAAATTGTCCATGTCCTCTTTTGTTGTACTGTTGCTCTGGTTGGGCTGCCCCACAGTAAAGGCATAGAATTGCTTCAAGTTCAGACTCTCTAACTTATAGGCTGTCAACTGAAGGCATATCTTTTTTGCTTTCGATGCCCTTTTCCTGGCATTTGAACAAATTCGTGAGTTAAATTATTCAAACAAACCCGGCGGCAATACAGCTCTCTGAGATTGTTGTTTGATATAAAGCTTTTTTCATTTCGCAAACTACTAGCTTCCGTGTTACTGTTCCTCGTTATAGAAAGAAAATTAGTTTTAAGTGAAGTTTTAAGCTCCTCTTGTGTTATCTTTTTCTGAAAATAGTGTTAACTGCTGAAAGTGAAACTTTGCCGAATCGTAAGGCATTGCATGTTTCAGCTGATATTGAAAACCTTCCGGTTTCGTTGAGTTGCCGATGAGCATTTTTTTTTCCATATTTGGCCAACTTAGTGAAGGTGCTTTGATTGAAAAAAAAAAGTGTAACTTGTAATTTCCTGTAGCAGCCAGTACAGGGCTGTAAAAATGTTTGAGTTATTTGCTCTAATTTACTTATAAACCACATGAATCACATAAATGTTTGACCTTTAGCAACCAACAGTTATCCATTATTTCTAATTTGTCAATTTTACATAGCCTCAAGCATTACAATATTTGATAAATTACTTCCCGATTATTTCAAGGTTTACTTTGGATGGTTTGTTTACCTAAACTTTGTAATCATAATTTACCCAGGAAAATGTCAAATAAAGATGTCATGTATAAGTGACTCATTTTAAGGAACAACTGAATTTTTAAGTTTAATTCCTGTGAAATCATGCGAAAAAAAAAATATTGAAGCTTCAGAATACATTAAATTCAATATAAAAGCTGTCCTGTGGTTAAAGCGATAACATTTACATTTCAGTAACCAGCACACAAATGTTTTAAAAGTCCTTTTTGTGTACTCAGATCAGCTAACTTGGATTGGAATAGCAAATAACTGTTTATCCCAATACAACAGATGAGCTAGCTACTATCAAGTGGCTTCATATGTCAAGTGAATTACTCTAAAGAGAATCTTTAAACAAGCTGCCATTAAAAAAATATTTAAATGGCAAGCCATTGTTTCCAACCCCAGGTTTTGTGATTAAATATCAAAATACAATAATTATCTTGGTTGTATAGCTTGATGAGTACTATAAATTTAATTAATAAATATAAGCATTTGGAGCTCAATAACTTGTTTTCAATGAGTTTCATAAATTCAAGAAGTTAGTGGAGGAGTTGCCCAGGGAATTGAAACTATTGCCTCTAGGACTTCTCCTTATTGGCAAGAAAAAAGGACAAAACTTTATATGATAAGGTATTGTTTACTCACATTCTAAACTTTTATTGTATGTAACAATTTGATATTCAACCATTTCATGGTAAATGTCAGAGGTGAGGTGATATTATGAACCTCAGTGTTGTGAAATTGTGCTGGATTTCCTAACAAATAACTGGCACTTGAGTAATAGTTACTCAGGGGTTTCAATAAAATTTCAAGTAGGCAGCTGGTTAGTGAGAGTAACCGACCGTACCAACAAGGGGCCTTCAGGCCCCTTAATCTAGAGGGGTCTGGGGGCATGCCCTCCCAGAAAATTTTGATATCTGGAAGCTCTGAAATGCCATTTCTGGATCAAGTTCTGGAGACCAAATGGAGTGCAAAAGATAAAGGAAAACTCCTTATCAACAGCAACATTTTTTTTTATTTTTACAATACTAATAAGCTAAAAATGGAAGTTTGCATGCATTTCCTGGAAGTTTAAGGTCATTGTCACTAAAAACAATGGAGCTAAACAGAATCACTCACTACCAGTAAGAAAGCATCCAGTTGCGTTTTTAATCTTTCATCCATTTGCCTTTGTTTTTTTCCCACAAACCCATAAACAGTTCGCGGGTGAAAAACATTCCAAGCTTCTGACTTCCTACCCACCAGGACACCCACCAGACAGGCGCTAGAAACCGTGATAAGATCAATTAGCTGCAGGTTTTAACTCAAAATGATAAAACGCTTAAATGAGCATCCGATTTGTTTTCGTTCTGTTCTTTTTGTAATATCATGAAACATGCAAACATGGTAATTGTCATTCAAGAAAATGCAGCTTTCATTCAAGGTTCGATTTATCAGGCCATAATGAACTCCTGAACACGATAAACAAATGACAGTAATTAGATTACATACTTTGCACACAGTTAAATTTTTCGTAAACCTTGTGTCCTAACACCACCCCAAAATAAGTTGAGTGCCATGACCAATGAGTTGCGTCCGATCTTTTGATAATTATTTAATTTTGAAATTGAGATAAAAAGTTCATACAAGCCCATCAAAATGAATTTTAATGTATTTTTCAAAGAATCTTTCTTTAATTATTTAAATTTAGGGAAAATGTAACCGACACTTTTCGTTGGCTGTCGGTGCTTATTGAAAGCACTGGTTACTATTTATGTTGCCTTCCTCAGGAATTACATGTAAGACACATTCTCACACTTACAGACTGTCAGGGAAACCTTACAACATGACAAAAGCCTGGGGCAAACTTCAAAACTTTGCTGGAGGTCTTTCTGATTATAACACCTTTTCCTCTTTGGTACAGGTTCCCATAGAACATTCTTTTAGTTGTATCTTGTGTTCTTTTCACTAAGGATAAAACACACACAATTTTAAAAATTTTGACCAGATTTAGTTGATAGTAACCTTGAGTATATAGATATATATTTGAAATGTTAACTTTCTTCTCCAAGGAATTAGATGACTCAGCAATTCAGGAAAAGATTGACCATGAGGCACGCATACGAGATGGTATTGTCAGGTTGTTGGCTGCCTGCCATGAAGAAGTTCAAGCATTGGAAACAGCCAAAAATCTTCTTACCATAAATGCTCGCATCCTGGCGCTAATGGGACTGCTACAAAGACACAGAGCAAAGTCTGTGATGATGAGAAAAGGATCCAGGTACCTTCAAGAAAATTTGATGTATTAACATTTAATCAAGCAAGATGCCATCCTTAGTACATTTCAAACTGGAAATTCTCCTTCCACACATAACAGTTTTGATACGAGTCAAGATGGTTTGGAGGGGCGTAATTAGGACCTTGTGTTGATGGTTGAGTAACTTACCCCAGAAAAGCCAACCAAAATTTTACTTGTCTGAGGACTTTTCACAGAGGGTATAAGAGAGAGAACAGGAGAGATTGGTCTTTGAGTGGGAAAAATATGCATGCCCTGGTCATGTGAACAGTGATTTTTGAGTCGTGGTCAGTTTGCAATGAATATGACTGTGAGCAGTTGCTAATTTTTACCTGTTTGCGATCTCTAGTTCATCTAGTCCATTTGACTTGGATGATGATGCATCACCTTGCAAAGGAATACTCTCTCTCTCAGGTAATGACTGTTTTATTCAATATGTATTGGTTATCTTGAGAGGGATACACTTAAGACCTGGCTTCTGCTTGGGATGCATAACTGTATTAGCTAAGTTTTGGTAAATGTTACTTGGCATCACCGGTAACATGTATTTCAGCCATTACCTATACAGCAGACTATTTATCTAGTGATACTGACTTACTTGGTATCATCTACAGTATCATACTAAAAGATGATCAGGGAGGTACACGTTATATTTGTCTCTTTAAGCAGATAAGAGTCAGTTAAAATTATGCACATTGATAACAATATAATTAACAATTATTCAGACACAGAAGTGGAAAAGAATGGTGTGGATATTAAATAAACCCAGCTACAAAGTGGCAAGTTGAATATCCACCACTTTCACCAACACTGAGGTCAATAATTGCATGTTTTTAAATTAGTATATACCACAAAGAAACTGAAAAACTGGATTATTTTTGTCAGAAATTATAATTGATGATGCGCAATTTTTGTCTCTTTGGCTGCTCAAACGTTAACAGTACTTGTTTATCACTTCTGAACCAGCCAATCAGCACGTGTGAAAAGCACTATGTACCTATGTGGTATATACTTATAATAATAATGATGATGATTGCTATAGACTGAAGAAAATTTTTTTTATTGCACACAGCTTCAATAAGTTTTTAGAGGTACTTTACATTCAGGAAATAAAATGAGTTCACAAACATTCAATCACAAACTTCTTACAAAGATCAGCCAGCAGTCTTCAAAACTGTGTTTGAAATGTTAACAGACATTTTACTGCACATTGGAAACGGCAACAATTTCGTGATTTAGGAGCAGAAACTGCAAAAGATTAATCACTTTAAGTTGGAGTCTTGTAGGATGGTTTAACAATAGGTTGCTATTTCCAGCAGATTATTAAGAGTACAAACTCCTACAATGTTCTACAGCTGTACATGACATGTATGGTGTGGGGTCCCATTTCCTTTGTGAGTAATGGTTACTTGATACCTGTAGATGGTGGGCTCCCTGGGAATCAGTTGGTAATGTAGTGGTTAAATGGGATATATCAACAAAGTTGAAATAGTAAATTGGCCACCGTAACGATTACAAAAGCTGACGTTTCAAGCGTTAGCCCTTTGTCGGAGCGAATAGAGGAATTGTGGGTTGTGTGTGCTTTGAAAGGCAGAGAATGGAGCTACGTTATGACAAGGACACATCGAAACCAGTCGCTAGACATTTTAATCTACCTCATCATTCTAAGCAACATATGGCAATCTGTGGTCTTTCCTTACACTTAGGTAGCACGGAAAGCCGTAAAACTCTTGAACAAAAGCTCATCTTTCAAACCGGCAGTCTAAATCCCACAGGGATCAACGAACACTTTTCATTCCACTAATTTATTTGTGTTTTTCTCGTTGCCATGTTCCCACCTATAATGTAGCTCCATTTTCTGCCTTTAAAAGCACACACAACCCACAATTCCTCTATTCGCTCCAACGAAGGGCTAACGCTCGAAACGTCACCTTTTGTAATCGTTACGGTGGCCAATTTACCATTTCAACTTTGTTGATATATATTCAAATTATTTCGTTACCCCCACCGACACAGCCCCAAACAGTTTCTTTAGAAACTATCAGCCTTTATTCATTAGTTGTTAAATGTACTTGTTTGATTCTTCAGACATTCGTGTTCCCCTCATGTGGACCCAAGAAGACCACAATAAAACCAAAGCAGGTACTTATTTTTTCTTCTCTTTGAAGTCTTGCTTGTGTCGATATCTGTGCCTTAATTAGTTTTGTTTTCATTATTATAGTTACTCTAATTAAAAATAAGATCTTTAGTTAAGTAAAAAAAATTAATTCTTCTACTTCTCACATTTTTCTCCTGGTTTGTTTTAGTAGGATGTAGTTTTGCCACATTTCTTACTTTAGGCTCTAAAGTACACAATTACATGTGTTAGGTTGACTTACACTTAGTCTTATGGTGGAAACAGTCTTCATGAAAACTCAAATACAACAAGTAACTATGTGAATCTATAGGTTTGTAATACACACTAGTGCATAAACCGTTGCCTTCAATTGCCATGTTCTCACCAATATTAATAGCGTAGCTCCACTTTCTGCATATAAACCCACACACAACCCACAATTCCCCCTTAAATTAGCTCTGATAAAGGGCGAACACTCGAAACGTCAGCTTTTTAACTCTTTACGGTGGCCAATTTACAATTTCAACTTACTTGATATTGCCAAATTACCTTGTTACCCCCACCGACACAGCACCATAGTTTCTTTTATTAGAAACTTATCCCATTTACTCATATTTCTATGCAAGGTTATCCCTGAATCTTATACAAAGTGTTGTTGGTCATTGTGGTTTTATAGATAAATGAACTTTTAATTGTTTGTCTCACAATCAATTGTGTATTGATGGCAACATTTTAACTGCTATACTGACAAAGACTAGCAGTATAGCAGTCAAAACATCCCCATCAGTACACCATTTATTTATTAGCATGACTCTTACATCTTTAGACAAATGACTGAATGTTCATTTATTATCCCTGCAGTTTCCTGGATTTAAACATGCATTTACTCTTTCTAGTCTAAGAGTGATTATGATATTTTTCTTGATGGTTTTTTACTTATAACGTTTAGAACAACATCTCTATTATGTGTTCTGCTTACTGAAGCTTGATGGTCAAGTTTTGGACACAGCTCTTATGGAAACGGATGAGTCAGAGACAGACATTCCATTTGACAACATTATTGTCTTGTAAGTTCTGTTCTGTTACAATCCCTCTTGTTTGACTGTGCCTTGATTTTTCCAGAGTTTTTTGACAGATAAAGTTGACCTCCTTTCCATCATTTATCATAACCCTCTCATCAAAGTTTAGCTGGCTTACTACTTGCCTACGTGTGATTTCCTAGCCTGCCGTGCAAGCATCTTACTAGTGCAAGTTAACGTCATAAGATCACGATCATGCAAGAAAATGCCTGCTCGAAAAGGCTTCAAGAAAATGCCTGCTCGAAAAGGCTGTTAAAATGTGAAAAAAAACCCTGATTAGTTGCACCTCGCTGCATTTCTGGAAATGAGCAGGTTCCTAATCAAAATTAATTAATTTAAAGACTGGAAGCACTGTCTTCTGACAGAAACAAAGGCACGTAGAGCCCATGAGTGAGACAATGAGCCTTTTTTTATTTTTGGACAGGAAGGAAATGGCTTCTAAAAAACTTCCTGCATGGTCACAAATATTAGCTGTTATTTTCCAACTGAGCTTTGTAGAGTATAAATAATGCACGAGACAAGTACAAATATCACATGATACATGATATTTGTACTCCAGAAATATCTGCAAAATTTGCCTGCACTGAAATAACAATTTGGCATGTTTGATAATAAATATCTTATTAGACGTTTTGTTGTGTAGAATCGCTGAGTATTTTTACTTGTTGTTTGTATTTTGACTTACTTGGGGTTGTCAAAATACAGCACAACTCGTAAAAATACTCAGCGATACTGCACAACAAAACATCAAATAAGACCTATATATTTGCTGCACTCTACATTTTCCAAACGACAATCCTTGAGTGTAGCTACTGTTAATCCATTTGATGATATTTCTTCCATTTGATTGCAAACGATACTTTGAAGCAAACAAACAACTGTACTCAAGGTTTACTTGTTATAACTTGTTTGATATGAACCATTATTTTTTTTCATCAATGAAGGAAATGGCTTTGCCAAAACATCTTCTGCTGATGCAAATGGGAGTTGATATTTGCCACACCCACACAACAACAATCCATAAGCGTAGCTGCCGTTAATGCCGTCAAAGAATAATCTTTTATGCAAAACCAACACCTGAAATCTCAGGCTTTTCCCAAAGCCAGTTGGCAACACAGCCAGTAGATCCTTTCCAGAAACCAGTGTATAAATTGCTTCTTTGTTCTGATCTTAATGTGCAATCCATATCAATTTCCAAAAGGGCGGAATCGAACTCACAACATCAGGTTGAAAGTTTGTCTTCTCTTCCTGCAAGAGTGAAATGTTCAAATGACACATTTTGCTTGTGATTGACAGCTTGCATAAAATTGCACCAATCAGAAACTCCATTTGTGGACGAATGGAGTTTTGCAAAATAACAATGGGTTCGGGCAGGGGTAATATTCACTCTGCCACCCCATCCCCTCTCCTTATTTTTGACTGTCACTCAGCCCCTTGGTACAAATCTCTTTCTTTCCTCAGCCTTCTACTGCTCTTAAAATCAAAGATGGCGGCCATTTTTCACCCAAGAAAATACTGAGAACTTGCTCACCCAAATTATGCCCATGCACTACTTGCAAAGAAGGAACATAGCTTTTGGTGTTTCAGTCTGGCATTGATTCCAAATTTGTGGGCTCTTGCAGAATTGTTCAAAACTGCTTAGTGCAGTCTGTAAAGTGTTTTAAATTAACTCAGAATACCCTCCTTGGAGGAGAGCTGATTAAAACACTAGTCAAACTGTCAACTTCTACCTCTTCATATTCCCAAACCAACCTTTTTTAATTTTGGACAAACTAGAATCTAGAATCTTTTCATGTTGAAGGACAACATGAACAGAATGATTATAGAATCTTTGTATTTCATGGTAGTATAATTTTATATTTATTATTAAGCAATCATCTACATGTAAATGTATTTTGGTGCCCTCTATTTTACTTCTTAATTACTTCTTAATGTCGAATGCCATGTTAGCGTAAAATCACCTTCTATTGTCTCTGTTGTTCAATTTGCCATTTTTTAATTCATAACGCAAGAGGTGGTCTGCACATTCTTGATGTATTCGTGATAAAGGTAACAGATTATATGTACATGTAAAACCATTCTCTGATTTGTGATGTTTTTTTTTTTTTTTAGTGAAAATGTGAGTCATGACTTCAAGCTGGATATAGAAATTTACTACACAGTTTCATCAGAAAATGCAGCAAGCAGAGCTTCAGGAGTGAAAAGGCCATTACACAGAACTCCATCAGGCCACGAAGTCCCCAAATTTATACTTGCAGGGCACACACAACTGACAGTGGATCACCTCCATCAGAGGATCAAATCACATGACCTCAAGACAGGTAGATATAGTATGGTTAGCAATATTGTCAGGCTTGTGCAGCTATCCTATAGTTTTGTTAGAAACTACCAACAATTTGGACCTTATGATAAATTTTTGGCATGGACTGCACTTCCCTTAGTCGATAAAATTAAACCATGCATGGGAACCCCTCATTAAGATTTTTCCAAATCATGTTAACCATTAATTTTTTTTGGTGAGTTTCATGGATTCACCCTGAGTTGTGTATTGTACATGCATGCACATTCATGTATGTGCTGTGCTTATGGTGGGTGATTTGGTTTTTGCTGTAATGTTACACCAGCAGAATTCAAAATACATATTATTGCAAAACAATTTTGGCCTTTTACTTTTCCCCAATTTTATCATAGTTATTGTGTTTCAACTATTAATACCAGACTGGCTCTCTACTTCAATCCTAGGTTTGGTTGGTGCAAGCCCTTTAGCAACCACTGTATCTACTGAGGATTCAAACATGCCACGACTAGCTTTATGGGGCCAAATTTGTTGTCGTCTAGCTGCCAGACCTGCATGTGTTGAACAGGTCCGCATGGATGGTTTCCTTGAAATACAGGTACAGTACTACTACTTGGTAAAATATAAAGCTGCTGGAGCTGTAATTAGAGTTTCATAAAAACCAAAGAATGGACCCAATTTATATCTTCATGAATGAAGGGAATTTCTCTTGATGACCGGTGCAAATACATCGTAATTACGAAAGCGTCAACATAATTTTGCCCATGATAGGTTCTGTCTTGGTAAACACAAACTTTCCATTTTGATTATTTCAGAGAATGACCTGCAGTCAATCTTCATGGTGTCGGTTGTGGTGTGTTTTGAGACATGCGACAGTCAAATGCTGGCACTGTAAAGAAGACTCAAACCACAGAGATCCCGTGGAATGTATAGAAATAAAACCGGTGAGATCCGCCGTTGCTACATATTTTGTAACCGATTGTGTGCGTGTCATTATATCCCCTATGGGGTCTGAGGGCATGCTGCCCTAAAAAACAACATTGAAACTAGAAGCTCGGCAGTGGTGAGAGGTCTTATTTTTAATGAAACCCCCGTGACTGACAGTATTAATCGAGCCCTAGACGGTCTACCGATGGATAAAGGTTACTGATACCCTTGCCGGGCTGTCCTAACGCTAAGACGCATCTCGCCTGTTGATCGCTCTCCATCTTCTGTTTAGGGTAAACAACAACAACAACAACAAAATAAATACAAGGAAGCTCTGTTTTTTGTTTTGCTCTCAAAATGCAGTTGATAGGAGTTAAATTGTCTGATCCATCGTACATCAACATAAAACCCATCAGAAAGCGACGAGATTTTTATGCTGATAGTGCGTTTTCACGTACGTAACCTCCGAGACAAAAACCATCAATTAAGCGGACGTTTCGGCCATTGAACAAGTTGTAGACTAAGATGGACAAGGCCCTGCTCTTTACTGTTAAGGGTCCAAAATATATTACAAGGTTAAAGTGCACCTAAACCCAAAACTTTTTTCGCTTAACGAAGTAAGCTTATTTTTTGGAGTATTTCTGTGCAAAAATTTTTTAATTTGCTCAAATCTTTAATTTTCTGTGCCCAGTCAAAATACGGAAAATCGGCCGCCATCTTGCCCCACGACCGAATTTAAAGAGGAATGGCTCTAGCGGGTAATGTGACGTCAAATCGAGAACACGAAAGTCTGCATTTCACACATTTGCACTTGTTTGGGAAGGTTGTCGTCGATATTGTCCGAAATATGCCGACTAGGTGTGTTGTATGAGGAATGTATGAAGCGCGATACCCTCTTGCAAATTTCGCACGTTGCTACATCCTTCTACAACATACTTAGTCGGCATATTTTCGGTCAATATCGACTACAACCTTCCCAAACAAGTGAAAATGTGTGAAATGCAGACTTTCGTGTTCTCGATTTGACGTCACATTACCCGCTAGAGCCATTCCTCTTTAAACTCGGTCGTGGGGCAAGATGGCGGCCGATTTTCCGTATTTTGACTGGGCACAGAAAATTGAGGATTTGAGCACATAAAAAAAATTTTTGCACAGAAATACTCCAAAAAATACGCTTATTTCGTTAAGCGACAAAAACTTTTTGGGTTTAGGTGCACTTTAACCATGTAACACATGCACCTAAAATGATAAAACGGTAATGAAATCAAACGTACAATAAATCTCATGGTCTGTAGTAAGAATATATAAATTATTTCCATTTACTTCAATGTCCGTTTCTAGATCAATTTTTGTAGAGTTAAAGCTCTGTAGATGCTAGATATTGATTTATTTGTTGTGTCTATTCAGAAAATGGATATAACAGACACAGTGAGCCCCACCTTCCATCATCGTCACATCCTGATTCTCACGAGTCAAACACCTGAGAAGGAGCCAGTGTTGGCGTGTAACTCGGATGAGGAGTATGTCCGCTGGAGAGATGCCTTACAGCAGGCTATTCTCGATGTGACAGCTTGGAAAGTGGCCTGCAAGCAAGACATGACTATTGTATACCCCTCAGTACATAAACTTCCTCCAGTGGAAACCAAAACTTTGTACGACTCAATACAGGTCACACTGTCGTCAACTGTTGGTAAGTTTTACTTATGCGAAAACTGATTCCTTTTCGCCAGACGGAATTTAATTCTTTTGGTTCTATTCGGTTACTTCTCGGTACGGCTGCGACTGTGAAAAACCAATAATTATGGAATAGTTAGGCAATTTGATTAGGAAAATGTCAACGGTACAAAACAACGGGAAAAATGGTCGATCAAGGTTTCTGTCGAAACGCATCCCGTGCGCAATACATTTTTAAAATTAAATAATTGAAATTTTAAATTTTCCTTAAGGCACAGAATGGTGAATGACGTGTTTTTCAATTCAACTTGTGTGGCTGAGATTGAGTCCAAATTGTTGCTAAATCTTTTCTTAGCTGAAACTCGACAGTTTAAAAACATGGATCAGTTATTTTCCCGGTATTGATATTTTTGTTGATGAATAAAACTTTGATCTTCCGCTTAGTATACGTAGTTCTCGATAGCCTTCGTAAAAATTATTCGACGGAAACAGGAAACAAAAATTGTAGTAAATATCATACGATTTTATGCACACATCGCGACTAGACAGCGATAGGAAATTTAAATTGTATCGTAATAAATTATACTGCGTGCGACACCATTGTTTCCATCAACAGAACCTTGGAAGACTGTTGACAAACGTGCCCCTCTAGCGGAACTAAAATCAATACCAGCGGACTCACCAAGCATCGAATGTACGTATGACATCTGGCAAAGAAGAGTCCCTGAAAATAGGAGCTTCAGAAAGGGAAAGAAAAAAGGAGTGGACGAGAATGCCCTGAACTATGAAACCACAATTTGAATTTTTTTTTGTTGGAAGTCTAAACACGTGATTGTGGCCTGGATCAAAAAATAACATGCGATTTCAACCCTCCTGTTTTACTTTCTTCCTTATCACTAGCTGAGCATAATTGCTGCTTTTAAGAATGAAATTTTGAAAATGTTGCAGCCTGGAAGATACATAACTGAGCTCCTGAGTGCTGCCTTTTGTTCTTGCGGTTAACAATTTATGTTGTTTTATCAACAAAGAAATGAACCATATTGTGTTCAGGTTATTTGTATAAAAGTAGATAAGTGTAATGGAGATAATTGTTGTGCGGATTTGAATATACATGTTAAAATAATTATATATATATATATATATAAATATATTTAAAATGGTTGAAAAAGTAAACTGAATGTTACTCTGACTGAACATTCACTGACTTGATGGTAGAGTTGAACCACTCGTTGTGTCAAATGATGGCAGCCTTACTGGTACCAATGAAGAACGTTAAGTTACAAGACGATTGACTAAATAAATTTTTAATTTTGTGAACAATTAGATAATAAAGATTTTTTTACAAAGCTTATGAGATTATGAGCCCGAGATGGAATTCTGAGCACTTTTTTAAGATTCATTTTTCAGTTTTTTTTTTTTTTTTTTACTAAGAGCAAGATGGTGAGAGGAAGTAATATCATTTAGTAAACTTATTTAATATGTAGAGATTTTCTTGTTTTGAATGGCTCAGCTAATCTTGTTTGTTTGCTCATGGAAGATCAATGACGTCACTTTCTCTTTCCATCCCAGTCGACCTGAGCATAAATATATCTTATTAACCAAGCGCGAGGTCCGTACTGGGAGAATATCGCCCAAGGTCTTGACAGTACGGACCGAGCGCAGCGAGGTCCGTACAAAAAAGACCTAGGGCCGATATTCTTCTAGTACGGTCCCGAGCAAGCTTGGTTAATAAGGGATTTATTATACAACTGACGTTCAAAGGGACACAAGTGCGGTATCATTCGGGACAGTGCCCGGTCCAATACTGAGAGAATATTGACCGGCAATAGAGCATTTTGATTGGTTGATTTTAGTTATTGGCCCTCTGATTGCCCGAGTCGTGTAATAAATCGTTTATAACGACAGTTTCTTTGAAATTTAGATCCATTGGATTTTTGCCGAAAATAACATCAGCAACAACAGAGAACGAGAATAACATTTTCACCTACGTGCCTGTAATAACAAATCAGCGTTGAATCGCTGGTCGTACGAGTAACTGTCAATTTTTAGAGTCAACCCATCCATCAATAGCTAGACTGTACAACTGATGATCACTCTGTCGTGTGAACAAGGATCATATTTTTGTGTCTGAAAGTTACACATGCGTGCTCATTAGCATATTATACAGGCAAGAAGCAGCCATGGGCCAGCGTCATGCGATTTGAATTTGACCTCACTGTCGTCGGGTTCACTCGGGCGAAAAATAGTAAAATAAAACGGGAACACAAAATTGTGACATAAGATACAAATCATAGTCTCCAGGTTTCACACAGGATATGAATGCAGTTTCTTTTATTTTGTACCTCCTGGCGCCTCCAGTGCGAGGGAAATAACACAGGTGGAGCTCAGAAAAGCATCTCAGTTTCGATTGGTTTCGGGAATAACCAACGACAAAATTTGAGCAATAACTTTTAAGGCGGATGTTGAGTGTGGAGTAATGCTCTGAAAACTGGTTCTGTTATCAGTGGACCAGTCTCTTTAAATGGGAAGCAAGAAGTGCTCGTTATTCCTACCACAGGTTAAAAAACTTGCAACTTTTCCGTAGCCGTAGAAATCTACTTAGTTACCAAACGGATGACGTAAGTTCTCATCAATAATTCAGTTAGAGGCAGTTTTGGTTTCTAGCTGATAGAATTCGAATATTTGAAACTGAAAGTGAGAAGAGGTCTTTCCCCTTCTGCCATACAAGTCATTTTTGTCTTTCTCTGGGGGAAGTCAAGTCATTAAAATGTTCTGTTCTCAAAATCTCAGGTTTGCTCGAGTCTCTCCTTGAGCGGTCTCTTCTTGTGCTTTTTTAAAGCAAGAGCATAAAAATTTCCTACCTTAAGATCGAGCTTTTGCCAGGAACTGACCGGCAGTATTAAGAGAGGATTTTTTTCTTAGAAAGTGAAAGTTTTCTCCAAAGGTGACTGAAACTAATTTTAGAACTGATCGAACTCTCCAGTAAAGTTTTGGCTGAAGTCTCTTCGTGGGCAAAGTTTTGAAACGTAAAACTACTAGCCCTTAAGGCTGTTGCCGGGAGTTCCCCAGCCGTATTACAGGGGAGATTTTTGTTAAAGTCAAAGTTAACAAAGTGAAAGTTGCCTTAAAAGGCACTAATTAATTTTGGAACAAATCGAACGTAATATCCATATAAAACCCCTGTCAGCAGTATTTATAAGATGCGCTGAAGTCTCCTTCGATCAACGCTTACTTAAATCGTCGATCGTCAGCCTTAAGTAAGCTGATCATGACAATTCCAGAAGCAACTTGGATCGATCTTCTCAATGAAAGAACACCACATTTGATCAAAGAAGTCGCACCAACCAAGTTGTTACCACATTTGTATTTGGCACCGGCGGACAAAGAGAATATCGTATGCGATGAAAAGAACTTGGGTGCCTCTTTCGCAACATCGGCTCTTCTCGAAAAACTGAAGAAACAAAATGGATCAAATGGCCGGAAGACATTTGACGCGCTTGTCAGAGCTCTCCGAAATATCGGAAATCAACAAACGGCACTGCTGCTTGACCCGCACTTTAAAGGTAAAAAATGTACCATGTTGAAGTGAAGGTAATATGGAGAAGTATATTAAGACACGATGTTTACATAAAGCCCAACATATTTCAACTAAAATACAATTTGCAAATCATCTTTCCAGTTCCTTCTGCCCCGGAGGAAATCGTTGATGTAAATTGCTCTCGACTAGGAATTCTGGGAACAGCAGCAGGTATGTAGCATGGTTAACCTCTCCTAAATGTACGATTTGGTAAGGCACCAGTTTGTTAGTACAAAACCTACAGTCGCCACTTTTAAGCACACAAAGAACAGTCACGTATGATATAAGTCCAAAGCAATCTGTTTTAAAGTGCTTAGAGGCAGACTATTAATTCTCTTTTATAACTAATACAGAAATTGGCGTCAGAATCCGATTAATCAACGAAGAAACAAAGAAGTATTGCGTGAAACTTGAGGAAGCAATGTGGAGTAAATTTCAAGATATCAGATCGGATAGCACCCTCCAATTACGAAATCAGTTGGACGAGGTAAGATGGCAAACGAAATTAATAGTTGAATAAAAATTTAATATCATCGAAATATTTAACGTTGTTAAAGCATTATCAAAACTCGCTCAGTCTGTCACATTGCCTTGTCGAGCGAACTTCGAAACGACCCCCGGGCTCATATAGCCTATGAAACATTTTTTGAGGAAAATATGTGCGAAAAGATATCTATTGCTGAGAACATGCGTTACATTCGCAAGTTATTATTCGGACCGCACTGTGTACTATGTATTGAGACTCGGAACAGAGCTAGATCGACTAGAGACGAGTTTCGTGCATCATCCCAATATAATAAATGAAATTTCTCCTTACTCATTTCGTGTAATTCGGGTCAAGATCGGAACTTTATCAAAGTTACGGTGACTTCTTCAGGGAGTTTTACAAGTATAACTAAACGCCTGTATTTATAAGCCAAAGTTACGGGGGCCGATGACCGTAGAGGCTTGGCCTTACACGTTTTAAATTTTTCACAACTCCGCCTGTTCCTGTTCGCCTGTTCCTGTTCGTAAGTCTGGGCAAGCCTCTACGGTCATCGGCCCCCGTGACTTTGGCTTATAAATACAGGCGTTTAGTTATAATTGCAAAACTCCTTGAAGAAGTCCACGACAGTTAGACGAAACGCGTCGGAAAATAAAAACAGTTTTACAAACTATTGTTCGCAGAAGTGCTGCTCACTAGTCTATATTTGAAAAAAAAAAGAATTATTTATTTTTTGGAGGGGATGGGGGTGGGGGATACACATATCACTGGCCGCCATATTGGAGGGGGTACACATATCACTAGTGATATGTGTGCGGCGATACACATATCATAGGGGTACACATATCGCTGCGACAGCGCCTCTCACACATAGGAGGCAGTAGCCACGAAAATCATCTCTGGTTTTAATTCTCGAAATTTTCTGGTGCTGGTCGAATGGAACCCATCCAACTACACCCCAGAATTTGAGTTCACCTGCATGTTCCATGCCGGAGAGTATTTCTAAATTTTTGAAACTTTTGCCTCGGTTCCTATCAATTTCAGACCGCATTTTTATGAAAATTTTGGCTTAGTGGAAGGCACCATATGTTATCTTGTAACACCATTTTAAAATTGTAGAAAACTGTTCAATAAATCCACATGTACTGATTCAAAGCAAGATATATTTATTCAAACAAAACTGCGTGATGATTTATTTGTTGTGTTCTTTTTTTAAGTACATTTTAGTAGCCTATTTTCTGTTGAGAAATTACGTGGCAGACCCACAAAGCTCACCATACTGCAAGACTGGTTAAATTCATTAAATATTTTTCTGTTCTAAGAAATCTATCGCTAAGTGCTCCATATCCCATTAATTTGTTTAAGTATCACGCCGACGCAGTATTTATTTTGTTGTTTCAAGGATTTACCAGAAGGCGCAGCTTTCTCAGCGGTCATTCAAGAAACCAAAGATAAGCTACCAGCTTGCAAACTTCGCGTGTCTCAGAAGTCAGCCGCTGATCAGATTTGGGAAGATTATGGCAATGGAAAGCTGAGGGAAATTCTGAAAGAAAAATTGCTTCATGGAATAGTTGCTGATAATAACCATCTTAAAATGAGCATTCATATTATGGAAGAGGAATATGAATGGGCGTGTAAAACTTTGGCAGGTAAAATATATTTTTCATGTCTTTGGACATTTTCACGTGATTTTTGAAACTTCTTCAAGCTTTCTGGAAGTTGTAGATTCAAGCTGATAACTCTTGAACAGGAAACTAGTGTCAGAATCGATTGAATTATTTGCAGTTGTGTTAAAGGCTGTCCGTAAAATATCGAGACGCCAGATGAAGAATAGCGCACTGTTCCTGCAGAGATTCTTTATCTTGCCGTTTTAATCGACATTAGATAACCACACGTTTAAGCTGCTCAAAATTTGTGTATTCTTTCTCAGGTGATGATTCTCCCGAGCTTTCAGACGAAACGCAGAAAATGAGAAAAGTACGCATTCCCCCAGGTATGGCCGGTGATATCCCAAGTGGTCTGTTCTCAGATTGCATTTTAGTTTTTTGTTTGAACATGTTAATCTAAAGTTGATCCACTTATTACCCTTCACATTCGACGTTCCCTTTCGTTTCCACTGACGATGAGTTAGATTTTCGGTCAAGTTTGATGTTTTGTAATGACCTTGGGGAAAATAACTTGCTTTACTGGATCGCATCGACTGGCTTTCTTGCTATTCAAAAGGAGACTTTCGCTTTGAATTCCTAATCACAATTGCTCATGTGTTTCGCGCAAAGTATGGCACCGAAAGATTAAATTTTCTCATTATGACCTTCTCTTACAGTATATCTCGACAAAAGCGCAAGTCGGAAACTTAAACTCCGTTCATACCAACATGAACTTTCAATCCCTGCATTGAAAGAGAACAACTGCATCATTTGCGCGCCAACAAACAGTGGAAAGACTTACGTAGCACTCGCCATATCTATGGCACACCTGGAAGTGCTGAGAGCCAAAAAGACAGAGAATAAAGGTATTACACCGGCAGCCACTCCAATGTCTCGCCGAAAGGTTTTGTTCATTGTGAATAAAGTTAATCTGGTTCTACAACAGAGGCAGCGATTTGACTACTACTTGTCCAACAGGTAACGTCTGATGATGCTACTGTATTTTACTGTATTCTGTCACGCTACACGTCTTAACTAAGAAGGGGGAAGCAATAAATCAGTCAGCCAGACAGACAAACAGATTGTTAGGCAGTCCGTCAGTCATTCAACTGTCTGGCAATTGTTGGAATTTTAATGTATTATATAATATACTATATACTAGAACCCATTCTTCGATGTATTGTTTGTTGAAAAGACTTTTAAGATCAAATAATTTGCAAAGCGATTGATGTAAGGGGTAAGGTCCTCATTTGAAATTTTAACGAGAAAACACCAACAAGATTATTCTCCTCCAATAACCGGCTTAACATAGTCTCGTCGTAAGCTAAATGCACTTGTCATAGACAGCCTGATTTAGGAAGTAAATTGTAAAAGTCATAGATGTTATTCATTACGCTTGCCTTGACAGGCATGATATCACAGACATATCAGGAGCAAATGCTCAAGACAAACAACTCGATGAGATCACCGAAGAAAATGACGTGATAGTCCTTACCGCCCAGATCTTGGTTGATGCTCTCAAGTCCAGAAGAGTCAGCATAACCGATTACTCTTTACTCATATTTGACGAGTGTCATCACACAGATAAGGGCCATCCGTACAACGACATCATGCTCAAATACCTGGGGATCAAGTATGCTTCTCGAAGTGGTCAGGACTTGAGCCCAGAGAGGCAAAACCTTCCGCAGATCATTGGGCTGACGGCTTCTTTGGGAGTTGGCAAAGCCAAGAGCGAGATTGAAGCCCAAGATCACATCCTCCAATTGTGTTCAAACCTTGACTGCTCCGTAATTGTCACTGTTGAGAAACACAAGCAAGATCTGCAAGGTTTGTCTATTGTTATGCATGGACACAAAGCTCAAGTAATATCTTGAAAGAGTTACTATCATTGTGAAGCCATAACACCATTACTTGTGGAGACTCAACGATGTCTTAAACTCCTTTGCATGACAGGAAGAAAGTACATGGGTTATCTATTGAATTGACGAGGGATAACCTATGACAGGTAGATATAGGTTTCAGTCGATTTAGATTTGACATGTTATGTCACAATTCAAATTACAGCACCGATATGTATCGCCTCAGGTTGCTTCATTGTTGTCTTTTGCAGGATTAAGTTTTGTATCTCCCCAAAATCCATAGAGTTAGTCACCAGTTTTTATTAATTTTTAAGAACTTGTAAGTCTCCATCTAAACTGCTTGCCTCCATTGCTTAGTTTCGTCGAAAATCTTGAGGCGAGGTTGGTCGGTTGCTTAGTTTGGTTGTGGCACGGTTACCATTGTGTTTGATTCTAAAAGTGAACGAAAAGGTTTTAGCTTCAGAGTCAGCCTAATATGTAGCTTCTTGCTCATGTTTTATCAACATCTTAAATGTTGTGATTCTAATTGCTTGACTACATATTCTGGCCCAGGATTTACAGGGAGGTGCATACGTACTTGCCACGAAATAGCGGATGGTGAACCGGATTATTTTGATGAAATCATAAACGGTGTCATGGTAAACATTGAACGAATGCTGCCAAGGTTATCTGGGCGAAATGGCACTCCTAACGACAGAGGAGGGCAGCAGTACCAGCAGTGGTTAAAGGAACTGGATCGAGACTCTGTCACCCACAAAAGTCGCGAACAGTGTACTTTAGTGCAACACTTACTGGTGTATAATACTGCTCTGGCCATCAAGAAATGCTGTCGAGTCAAAGATGCCCTGAAATACGTCACGGAATTTCATGAGAGACAAAGGGAAGACAAATTCAAAGATATTGATCGGAATTTAAGGGCTGTGTACCAAAAGGTAAGATCCTATTGCTTTACCTGTAGTTACGGTCTATTTTCATGGCAAACGACTCGCAATTTTGTGAAAATGACAAAGAAAGGTAAAGCTGTTTTATTAAGAACCCTCAGTTGGCTTGCACCACACGTTACCTTACTCTCACTTCAGCTTGTTTGAAAACGCTGCTTTGTATGGATACTCTTTCTTTTAATAAAACATCATAAGAAATCTAAAGATCTCCTCCGTTACCTACACTTCATAAAAACTACATCTATTTTCTTGTAAGAAGCTGTTCCCCATTTTCCTCATCAGATAATTTTTTAAAATTATTCCTACAAGTAATGGCATTAAGCTGAGAAGCTCTTCCTATCTTAATTGCTTGATATACGGGTGTGTCGTATCGAAACTGTTGGGATCGAATTATTGCTCATCCATTCCACAATTTCCCATCAATGCGGTTATAAAATTATGTAATATGTCTTTGAAAAGGTGAACTAGACAAACGCTTAAAAAATCCTTTTTAGGCCAGGAAAGATCTCGACCTCAAGATAGAAGAGAAAGGAGAGCTAAAAAACCCAAAACTAGAAGCCGTTGCCACATTGCTGAAACAAAAGTACCAAGCGTGTGTGGAGGAAGGAGGCGAACAAATAGCCAAAGGGATGCTCTTCACTAAAACCCGTGAAAATACCAAAGCACTGAAGGCCTGGCTTGATGAGAATATTGATTTGAGCTTTATTAGGGCAGAACGTCTTGTTGGTACTGGGAAAGGAGAGGGTCTGTCACTCTTACCATTAATTAATTAATTTTGTTATTAGCTAGTTTTATTAGTTTTTTGGTAAATTAATCAAGTGCACATTGTATTAATAATTCCCGATCAAGAAATATACTGAAAAAATTATACCATACTTCTCGTCGAGAATGAGATCATTATGACATATATGATATATAAATATAAATTTTTAGCTCTCTTTTAATTTTAAGCTGACGCGTACGCCTACCATATTTGTAGATTATGGTATATAATATATACCATATCTGTTTTAGTATATACTAATGGTATATCAGCCATTAGTATATACTAAAACAGTGGATAGCGTTCAAGGCGCGCTCTGATTGGCTAGTCAAACTCCGAATATCCTTTGTTAGTATATACTAAAACAGTGGATAGCGTCGAAGGCGCGCTGTGATTGGCTAGTCAAACTCCGAATATCCTATGCTATTTACCTCCGAGCAACTCGGCAAAAAAATGGCGTCCGGTTTGCATCCGTGACAATCGAAGAAATCACTCAAATTAACGATAAAGCAGTCCCTGAAAACACAAAGGAAGCGACTGAATTTGGTTTGGCCGTGTTTAAAGGTAATGGTTTAAATTTCTGACCCAGAGTTCATCGATAAAAACAAATGACAAAGGTTTTGTTTACAAATGCAAATTAATCTTGCGCGGCTTGTTGTTTCAGTCCTTTCCGGGCGGGAAAATGTTGGAAGGTATGAATTAAAATCAATTTTGGTGGTGTAGATTATCTCACTGTTTTAGTATATACTAAAACAACTATTCACCTCAGTGTCGGTGGTTAGCAGTGGATATTTACCTCGCCGCTTCGCGGCTCGGTAAATATCCACCACTAACCACCTCCACTTCGGTGAATAGTTGTTAACTATTTACCTCCGAGCAACTCAGGAAAAAATGGCGTCCCGGTTTGCACCCGTGACAAGCGAAGAAATCACTCAAATTAACGACGTAAATATTTTACGAATATTTACGAATATATATTTACGAATATTTAAACAGGGTAGCCCAGTTCAGCTAATAGCTGGTTTAAATGGAACCCTGTGACACCCACCCATCCCACCCCAGGGGGGGCTTGTTGTTTCAGTCCTTTCCGCGCGGGAAAATGTTGGAATGTATGAATTAAAATCAATTTTGGTGGTGTAGATTATCTCACTGTTTTAGTATATACTAAAACAACTATTCACCTCAGTGTCGGTGGTTAGCAGTGGATATTTACCTCGCCGCTTCGCGGCTCGGTAAATATCCACCACTAACCACCTCCACTTCGGTGAATAGTTGTTAACTATTTACCTCCGAGCAACTCAGGAAAAAATGGCGTCCCGGTTTGCACCCGTGACAAGCGAAGAAATCACTCAAATTAACGACGTAAATATTTTACGAATATTTACGAATATATATTTACGAATATTTAAACAGGGTAGCCCAGTTCAGCTAATAGCTGGTTTAAATGGAACCCTGTGACACCCACCCATCCCACCCCAGGGGAGGACATCCACCACACGGTAATCTCGTGCGTGGAAAATTAACGTCTCCTACCCCTAGCCCTGCAGGAGACGGGGCCTACGGTGTTTTCGTCCTTATCCGAGAAGACTAGAATATCTATCCATTTCTTGATATTATAGAAAGGTAGCAAATTCTCCTTAGTTATATCCCGCACAACACAATCCGGCGCTCTAACCAATTGCATTAGTGATAAAGAGGGTCGACCAGTGCATTCCCATGTTCGCTGCCATTTTTGTTGCATTCCACTCAAATTTCGACGATCAAAATACTTCAATTCATACTTGAATGTTCTTATAGTGATTGGTATTCGGAGGCTTCTGATCGCTCTTGTTCAGTGCGTCTCATTGTCTCATGAATGCATTGTAAGTTAATGATTTAGTGCAACTATTATAGGTTAGAGCCCATTGGCTGCGCAGTTGTCCTTAATGTGTTCAGAACAAACGAATCATCATAACGAGAGAATCGGTTAGGAATGGGTTTTTAGGGATGGTTGGGCAGGTCTCAGTTACAGATAGAAGAATTCTCTTGTAATATGGACCAGTCTGCTGGGCACCCAGTTCTGACTGAGTAAAAGTGCCCCTTGTAAAATAACTGATAGATAGTGGAAATACAAGCTTTCATTTATACGAAATGATTCTTTCCTATACAGATGGAATGACCCAATGTCAACAGGAGGAAGTCATCGCCAATTTCCGTAGTGGCCGGGTAAACCTGTTAGTATCTACCACAGTTGGTGAGGAGGGAATCGATATCCCTGACTGCAAATTCGTCATACGTTATGACGTCAGTGGTAACGAAATAGCAAGCGTTCAGTCACGTGGGCGCGTGCGTGACAGAGAAGGACAGTATGAAGTAGTGGCGGGAAGAAAGACTGGTGTTATTGAGAAGGAAAATCTAAATGTGATCAGAGAGGAGATGATGGAGGATGCAATTAGAGAGGTGAAGACAATGAATGTAGACGAATACCAAAGAAAGGTATATCTCTTCTTAATTATCAATGCAAAACGTTCTTAATATCAATAAAACATTTCCATCTGTTGAAAATAACTTCAAACTTTTCATTGATACCAAATGTGGCTGAATTGAAACGAGCTGTCACCTGTAAAAGGAATTCTGGATGAAACAAACGAGCAAGGAAACGTAGGTCTTCACCATTCGCTCCGACGAAGGGCTAACGCTCGAAACGTCAGCTTTTGTAATCGTTACGGTGGCCAATTTACCATTTCAACTTTGTTGATATATCCAAATTATTTCGTTACTCCCACCGACGCAGCCCCAAACAGTTTCTTTCGAAACTATCAGCCTTTATTCAAGGAAACGTAGTATCACTCAGTGTGAGTGACGTAAACTGCGAGTCATGGATGGGATGTGGGTGGTTCGTTTTGCTAGATACATTTCCATTTGAATCCTTTTTCTTCTTGTTAAAATAAGGAAGAAAGGAGATCTGATTTTGTAATGGACCTGCATGATCCGTGTCTTGCACTCCGTAAAATTTCTTACGGGATTTTACTCCAAGAGAAGTATTGAAATCCTTTGATTACTCGCATCTTTGAAGGATAAACGTGATACTGCACTAAGAGAGTCGTACAAATCACTTTTTTCGTTTGACGTTTACTACTGGACTAGGAAAGATTTTCTCCCTGTCTTTTCAAAGATTTTAGATCTTCAAAGGAGAGCTATCAGCCAACGACAAATGAAAGAAACGATCAAGAAGTATGAGAAAGGCAAGAGGCATCAAGACAAGGTGAAATTATTTTGCCGGAAGTGCCAAGTGTTTGCTTGCAGTGGAGTCAGCATCCGGTGTATAAAGGAAGCCCACCATGTGGTTATTGACAAAGACTTTCCGTCTAAGTTTTATTTTAAGAAATCCAAGACTCCCCGGAAGATCAATGAAATTGAACTAACAGGTTTGAAAACTTCGTTTCTAAAACGGTTAAAGTGATAAGAAAACCGACCAGTTAATTTTGTTCAGAAGTAGCAGGAACAAGCAAGGTGATACATGTGGGATCCTTAGGTCGCCCCCCCCACTCAATTTATAATCCTGTAGCTAATCAGTACGAATAACACCTTATTTCGATTATCATCCGACGTCTATTAATTGAACCCGGGTAAATATTTCTTCCTCTCTCTCAACAATACGAGACAGTAAAAAAAGGCTTTAAAAATGTAAAAGTGATATTTCTACCATTTTCTAGGGCCAGGGTAAGATATTTTTTCTTAAGAGCCAAACATGATAATACGTCCCCAGGGAAGAAAGTACAGGATGCAGTATACTCCGGTCATACCCTTCTAACGAACGTATGGTTTCCTTAGGGCCTTTGCACTGCCAAGATTGTGATGCAGAGTGGGGTGTGATGCTCAAGTATCAAAGTAAAGAATTACCTTGCATTAAAGCATCCTTCTTTGGATTTGAATTTGAGGAAGAAGATGGTGGTACGAAAACGTTGTCCTTTAGAAAGTGGAAAGACGTACTCTTCAATGTAAAAGGCTTCGATCCCAGTGAAACACAGACTGAATTTGGTAGTTTAGATATTCCAGAGCTCAGTTTAGATTAGAATGCTTTTTCCGAAAAAAAATTAAACGAGTAAGGGACAGCTATCTTTATTATTGTTATCATTTTAACTTTACGTTTTCCCAAGTGGTAACCAACTACGGCTATTTTTACATCTGAAATGGAACTTCATCTTTTTCCGAAAGAATACCAACCCCAGGCTGAAGCCGAAGTCTAAATCTCTCACTCGGATATAGTCGCTCGGGGCATCAAATGCAAGAGGCATTCGTTCTAAATAATTTTCAAATTGTCAGCGATCTCGAAGCCGTCAGCTGAGGCTGTGTCAGTAACTTTGCATCTTGGCAAACACGAAAGTAAAACAAGGGTCCTACCGATGGACGTGACTTTATAACCGGTACCTTTGCAAAACGTCTTATGTTTTCCTTTCAACGTTTTTTGGTATCTTTACGCAACTGTTTCAGAGCATATTTTTGAAGAGAAACTTAATCACCAGGGCTTCGAAGAGTTTGTTTAGTTTCCAACTGCTACAGGATTGTCTAAATATCATGTGTATCCTAAAGCTTTCAAGAGCACTTTGTCTTACTGTAATTGCAAAAAAAAAAAGTTAATGTCAATCAAATATTTTTATCCAATAAGGACAATTTTTTCTTGGTTATGCTACATATAGAAATATTAACACCTTCCAGTGACCTGGTACAGAGAAGGATGAATAAAAAGTTAAAATTGTTAGTTAAGCCCTTATCAGGTATCAAGAGTAACAGTAGACCCAGAAAACAAATCAACCACTTCCTTTTCATCAAGAAGCAAAAATGTACCGCAAGAGCAAAATTAAAGTACACGCGTTTAGCATCGGAGTCCTCAAGGCAGGTAATTTTGTATCTTTCTAAACCTTTTTATTGGCCATCGGTTTATCAAACAAGAGAATTATGTTGTGCGCAGAAATTGTTCTCATTTTGATAAAATAATTTTGACTAGATTGTTGAATCTTTGCTGGGTCCCAAACAGGCGCCAATGTTGGAACCAGTTCGCTTGCGCCTTTGATCCACAAAATTGTCCGAGGCCTGATGGCTTCCAGTAAACGAGCCTCCGTCTCTTAGCTGAGATCCTACACTAGATGATGAATCGGATTGGTGACGACTTCTGTGTACAAGCTTGCAAAGTTTGCGAAACGCTCTTCTATAACTGCGATTAAGGAACGTGTAAATAATTGGATTCAGGCATGAACTTGTGTATTCCATCCACTTGATAATGTTAAACAGTGTGCTTGGAACTGGACATGACTGATCGTAAGCAAAGCAAAGAATGATGGCGAAAAACGGTCCCCAACAAACGACGAACAAACCAATCAAAAGAGCGATTGTCTTAGCTGCTTTCACATCCTTTGCATAGCTCCTGCCTCTTCTCAAAAGGTGCACTTGTTTTCTTGCAACGAGGTAAATCTTTATATACATGATGATCATTATAAACAGAGGCAAGAAGAAACTAGCAAGGGCGATGAAAAGCATATAGCTTGACTTAGTGGGCCAATTTGCTAATCGCAGTCCCGAGACCAGTAAGGAGTATAGCCAAACAAAAACGATCATGCCAATTGCTCGCACAGAAGTCATAACATTTTGGTAGGAGAAGGGATCTGTAATAGCCGCATGTCGGTCGATTGAAACAGCTGTAAGGTTCATAATGGAAGCGGTCCCGCACAAAATGTCCATACAGTTCCAAAAATATCTCAGCTCCTGACTAAACAACCATTGGTTTGAAGTGACCTGCAAAGCACACCAGAAAGGCATCGCTACCAAAGCAACCAAGATGTCCGCCGCACTGAGACTTATGACGAAAAAATGACACACAGTTCTGAGTTCCTTAAACAAATAAAAGCTGATACACACAAGAGAATTCCCGATTAACGTGCAGATTATCAGAAGACTTCCCAAAATAGCTGCCAAAATATTTCCATAACTGGGCTGCACGGCTGCATCTGAGTGGTTACTGGGTTGTACAGACTCGTTCATTTCCCACCTCTGATTATCACACCTGCAAAATAGATATTCTTTTAGCATAATGTCGTTTCCTGTAATGAAAATGATACCAATTACTGGTTGAAATGCTTAAATAATTCAGCAATCACGCACTATAGAAAGACCGCTCGTAAACAATTCGGAAACGTTTCTCAGGCCAAGATTTGTTTAAATTTTAAACAATATGAATTGCCATCAATCGGTTTGTTTACCTTACACAATAGAATGAACATAATAACTTTGGCTTCAAACAGCTGACTCGTTTCTTTCCGAACAATGTGACGCTAACTTGTATATTTTTTTAACGTATTGTTACTTTTCTACTAAAAACTGCAGAAGCTGACACATGTGCGTGAAGATGCGTGTCAGAACGAAGTTTCCACCATCTTCAGCTCGGAAAGCAGTAGATGTCAGCAACAACGGCAAAGCCCAGTCGGAAAGAAATCATAACTCACCTTTCAAATAATGAATTTCCGCAAATTTAACGAAACGAAAATCGTCATGGCTATTAACATACGAATCATAACATCTTACGAAAAAAATACGGGTCTCATCATTTTGGTGTCGTCCAATTTCGGCAAACTGTGATGTCCACATCAGAAATGTTTCATATTTGAGGGTAAACTTAAATCGTGGTGCAATAAGCAACTTGTTTCCATATTTTAAAATACCTAATTATTGGCAGATACAACTGTTGGTGGTGGGAAGTTAATTTGTGATTCGACACATCAAGTTTGATAATGATTGGTGAACTACAGCTTCAGGCGACTTTACTGCTTTATAAATATTTAACACCAGATTGACTTTTTTTGCAAAACAACGGATTGCCCGAGGAAGAGTTTTCCAAATCTACAAAGTTAATCTGCATATGAATACACATGTTCACCTTGAAATCATCGCTTTCAATGGTAAATTTTGCAAAGATTGTAAAACACGATTTTGTATGGGTTTAGGACATGCTGTCAAAAGACATCCGGTTGGCATAGAAACAGTTTTTCTATTAGATCTAACGATATGTATATGCAGCAAAGCGTTTTACCAAGCAAACCTGAATATTGTCGTACAGACACGGAATTCAAGTTAAATGCTTGGGGAAGACATCCCTTAAGCAGATGGAGGTCTCTGCCGCTACGACAAAATTTGTTAAATTTTGATATTTGACCGTCTGCCTGGACTAAATATAAAATTTATTGGCCTAAACATGTATCTGGCTGCGAGCTTTTCGAACAAAAAAATTGCAATTTAGAAAATATACAAGTTCATAGAACTGCTAAAAGCTCTTTCTATACAATAAAGATATGGGAATCTGCACTGAGAGTAACTTCACTGATCATTGACTTTCAGAACCTCGCAACGAGGTTGGTAAAGGAAAGCCGCTGAAAAACAAGCAGCCCAAACAGATCGGTCAAATTTCACTCTTTGTTTAAGTTTCCTTTTTTTCCCCAGTCGACTCGTCCAAATTAGTGTATCTCTTTGTGCGTCAAAAAGTGCTCCCTTTGGACAATTATTCGACAAGGCCATGGGAATATTGCGAACAACAATTTTGTAATATTATTGAAAAAGAGGATTAAATATGAGAAATATAATCCCTCACGTGATTGTCGGGAAAAACTCTATCATATTTTGTTTCATATCCCTTCTTCAGAAACATTTAGAAGACGGCTAATGGCCTATAATGAAAATTGGTGCTTCAGCTACAAGGGTAAATTTTTGCATCTCTACAAATGACAAAACTAAGCAACAAATGTATTAATTAGAATAAGCAAATGCGTCCAGCCGAATCGAGAGTAAGAGTTTACGACTATCCGGGTGGTGGCAATGATTTGTGGGGATTAAAAATTCCATTACGTCTCATGAAAACAGGTTTCAGTGATTTTAAAAAAGTCTCCAACTATCAATGCATTACAACTCATGGAAACATGTTTTAGTGATTTTAAAATTGGCCGACTATCGATTTATTACGTCTCCTGGAAACAGCTTTTAGGAATTTTTTTTAACGATTTTTGCTCACCTCAGACTCTTCCTCTCGTAAGTTTGTCAACTTGCACTGTAAATAGCCTTGGCCTTTTCATCATCATCATCATTCCTTATTACTTAGTATTATCATTGTTATCACTGGTATCATAACCTTATTATTATATTATCATTATTGTCTTTAGAAAAAAATTATATTCTGCTCATGCGTAGTTATGTTCACGCTTTTTCCTGGACAATGACGAATCGCTTCCTTTTAAGCTGGCAGAGTGATTACCGTCTAAAAATGGAGAAACAAACTCGGGAAACAAATAATTATGGAACTTAGTTATCGCAAGATATAGTTAGTGAATTATCAGTGCATCGGACTGGCTAAAACATTGAGATGGGCGCCGGTTATCATTGCAGGAAAGACCTCAAAATTTCGAAACGCAAAAAGAGGTTACTTGATTTTCTATTTGTGCACGGACAAGTCCGCATGGGTAGGGTAAGACTTACCAACAACTTGGACTTGGTTTTAAAACCACAATCGATTTTCGTAGCATAAACGCTCATTGATAAAGCATTTTGTCCAGTATAAGGGCACACAACATTTTTTCTTTCATAAATTTGCAACTTATGTTACGAACAATGCTGACCTCTTACCGATGAAGCAAATATCAATCTCTAGCGCGCTCTCTCTCTTGTGCTCAATATAGAGATTCTAATACCTTATTTCAAGTGTTTTGACCGTCGTAAAAGGCATTGGTTTTCTTTAAAACAGTTTGAGTTCTTCTCGTCTTGAGATCAAATTCACTTCAAATTTCCCCTTTATGGTGCACAGAGAGTAGAGTAAATGTGTCCTTCCCTTCCAAAAGCCTCTAATGGCAATTGTACCGAGACTGATTGTATTTTATAAAAGGTATGAACAGTTCGCAAATAAACCAATCAGACGTAGAGGCATAGAGAATTCACAGGTCTTTTAACAATATTAGCAGTGGGCTGGGCGACAAAAACTTTACAAAAAAACACGCTTTAAGAGGATACTTAAAGAGCTTTTACTATTAACGTTAAGTAAATTAGAGTTTCTGGCTGCATAAGCCTTGCGGGCCAAATTGAAGCACTACCCGTAAATAGCGCTGACGTTTTCTTTGTACCGTTGTGATCAATAAGGGATAAAATCTTGAAGACAAATCAGTAAGAACATAGTATGTTCGAAAGTGACTTTGGCAAAGTTTAATATTTCTTAAGTTGGCGTGATCATTAGTGTTTCTTAACGAACGTTACCGTCAAAAAGCCGTTCACAAAACATAGTTGTCGAGGCGAGAGGTTGTCTAATGGGTTTTCCTCCGGATATGCAGGTTAATTGACTTGAAAAGCTGACTGCTTAAGAGCTCTGCAACGGAAATTAATTGACATTTAGTAAACTTGTAAAATTTGTGGTTTGAAATGACATACATCGAAGCTTACTTTTAAGGAGCTAGTTTCCACCAACTTCTCAAAGCATTTCAAAAGGCCTTTATGATATACCCTCGAGGAAATTTGCTCTTATTTTTTTTGCCATTTTGAAGTGTTTACTGCATGAGAAAGAAATTGGAAGACCAACACGCCACTGACTTTGTGAATAAATCACTGTCTAGTAGCCGCTAGATCTAACATTTTCAGTTACATTTAATAATCCTCACACGAAAAATTCATAGCTTCGAGAATAAGTATATCGATAACGGTGTTTATCTCCACAGTAGATGTTGCAGAGATACTTTAATTTCCATTGTTTAATGCAGAGAAAAAAATTACGACAAACACAAAAGAACAAAAATGAAAATTTTGTTTGTGGAGCAAAAAGCCGATACCAATATAGACATGGCGTGGAGCTTGGTAATGTCTCTCACATCAGCTGACTTGTCTTTGCAATCTTTAAGCAGCCGAGCGGCGCCATGGAACTGAGGGGGCGGAACTACACAGAAAACATTATCCTCTCTATTACTCCAGGGACCGTGCTGCTTAAACTTCCCTCAAGACCACCACCAATGCGAGAAAAAAATGGTATATAAGTTGGGGGTATCTTAAAGATGTTTATCACTCATCGTAAGTTTGGAACAAAGAAAGAAATCCGAGTTTCCGAAAAGGAATCGCCCCTGAGATCTTCACTCATTCTCGGGCTGCGCCAAATATCAGGTTTAAATGTGACAGCGGAACCCAGAAATTCCTCATTTGTGAAGAACGTGCGACAAACGAAAGACTCTTACGACGATTTTGTTCCACTTTGCCATTAGAGTAAGAAACTACCTTCACGAGGTTATTTTTTCCAGAGACAAATGAAGGTCAGATTTTAATCGACATACCGTGAACTTCGCCATCGTTTTGCAACCCAGCCATCCGTAAATGTGGCCGACAGCAAGGGACGTTTTCGAGTGGGGAGGGGAGGGGGGCAGAGGGCGAACGCGTAGGCTTGACCACTTTAGGTGGGACCTGAGGGTATGTTACCACAAAAACATTTTAATTTTTAAAATGCCTCAAATATGACAGGAAATGCAATTAAAATTAACTTTAAAAAAAGTTTACTCATCAACCCAAATATCCGATTTAAAAAGTTCAGTGCAAACTTTTTTGTACTAAAGCTCATCAATAATGCCTTTTTTATCGTTAAACTCGTCATCACGACAATAGACTTTCTGTCACTTCAGTTCAAATAATCCTGGAAGTAAAGCGAGAAAGACTAAACCACATATTTATGTTTAAGTGTTGCCATGAAGAAACTTTGTCCACCAAAACTTGAGATACTACCGCCCACTCAACTTTTGAAGTATTGTTAATCTGTAGCAGAGATGATAGCAGAGATGATGGCAGAACGAGGAAAAAGGGCAAAAAAAGTAATTAACTACATTCTTAGAAAAGATCAAGGTTGAAAATTTTAAAAGTGGAAACTTTAGCAACTGAACTTCACTACGAACAGAACAATTTGACTGAGAATTACCTCATGAACAAAACCCAGTCAAATAATCCAACAATAAAATTGCTCTTTTTCTTAAAATATCTTCCCCTTTACGGTCCCTGTTAAAATTCCCGACAGAATATTTTACGCGGGTGACAACTCGAGCACTACATGTTATCCAGGAAACCAGTATGCAAATTTGTTACGTTCAAGTCGTAATGGCGGGGTGCTCACAAACAATCGATATAAGGTAGGAAAAAATGTTCTAGAAGCATTTTGAGATCATTAGGGACAAATTTGTCGTTGGGCGCAAAACGAATCAATTTGGCGCGAGTATAAACCCCAGGCAATCAAATGCTTCCCACAGCTTCTTCCAAAATTCAATTAACGTTTAAGCAAAAAATTTTACACCTTTTCGTTTAAAATTACGATTCGTATGAATCAACGACAAACTTCTCAGTGTTAAGCCATGGTTAAAAACTAGACCGATGATTAAAGTGGAACTCCCAAAATACGTAGTCAAAACTATTATCGGGGATCACAGGTTCGACTCAATAAATTTGTCCCTGCTTGGGACTGGAGAGAACTATCTCTGGAAATTGTTTTCCGAGCGGTATGATTAGTTCAGTGGATCAATTACATTCTTGTCAGAACTGAATACGTTACGGCCCTTCCAGCTTTCCATTCTGTAGATTCGTAACGTTACTCTAAAAGAGGGTCTTCCGCACTTTCCGCCATTTTGACCCGGAAATCTTTTTGCTCAGTCCTGCGGGGCCCTTCCTTAACTGAAAGGATATGCGCCCTCGCACAATTCCAGAAATGAAGCAATCTGATTGGTCAATTTAAGTTATCGGCCCTCAGACCACCGTCGTGAAAGAAAAATATTATTCACTTTCACAATGGTGATTAATTTTTAAATGAAGAGAAGCTGTTGGAAAATCCGGAAGGACCTATATATGAAGTTTACCACTACTGACGAACCAAACGCTGCGAGAAATCCTCAAGACTAATGTGACACGTGTGTAGTAACGACCAGAAGGTTATTGATGAAAAAGGCAACTATTAACATAAACACTTGTCAAACGGGCTGATAGTTGTACCTCAGTTTCCTATGGTGTAAATTAATCAGTTTGCAAGAATTTTTCCTGAAGATAATCAAACCACGTAAAGGCGCCAAAACCCTATATGCCGAAACAGATAAAATTAACACCAAATTCAATTTGAACTGCTTTTAAGAAAACGATCGAAAACTAAAAATGAAATTTTAATAGTAACAGTACAAATTATTTTTTCCAGTTCTAATTTAGTTTCCGAAACGAACCCGAAGAACGAGCTGATGTAACTTTCCTTTCCTACATAACAAACCATTCAAATGTACATACCGTGGATCTATACCGTACTGCTGGGTTTGAGGAGCGCTTTTGCTCCTATATAGTCCCTAAATGCCGCCTTTGACATCGACCCTCTCTATCATAGTCACGTCTAAACATGAACACGGCCTTCCAGGCGTCTCGTAATGTTACCACCAGAACCGCCACAACAACTAAAAAAACTGAATTACTATGATTAAAAAAGTCCTTTCCAAAACGTTCGAGGTGAATAACTCTCTCCCATTCAATTAAGTCAAACAAAGAAACAGACCGGTTGATATCGTGCCCTTATTATCAGATGCCGCCACAATCCGGATGTTAATTTCTGTATTTTCCCCGTTTGAAATACAAATTAATTGATATCCTGCCGGAGGCGCAGCTCAAATTGATTGTCTTGCAAATAAACTGGAAAAACTGAGTCGGTTTGCCTTTGCGAATAAATTTATTTATACTAGCACGGAACAATACTATTCAAGATTAAGCCCATGAGAAACTCTGTTCACCGTTAGATTGGTTAAGAACTAAGTTATAATTTAACAGTTTTAAATTTTCAGCAGCAGGTGGATTTTACGTGAATAATGCGCAAGACTGGCCAAAGGCTTCCAACATATCAGATTCACATCAGAGTGAATTAAATATTCAGTTCACTATTGACAAGATTGCTGTCTTAAAATAAAGTTAGATACGCTGGCTGGTTTTCAGTGAATTAAAAAAAAAAAACGCCTTCAGGGTAGTAATGAAATTGCCTCAATAGAGCTCCTTAAAGTAACAAAAATGTTTCTGAGAACCTACTACGGTTTGGCTTATCGTCGCGTAAACTTAACATTACTTTTCTTCCAGTCACAAAGAGGTGTACGTTTTGGAGACATGTTCCTTCTGCGTGTGAGAGATAAACACTTGGGAAAAACACATAAACAAGCGTGGTTGGTTCTCACAAGCTGTGCGACTGATTAAAGAATTGACAATTGCCAAAAATAGCTAACCATGTTCCGCTACGGGAAAAGCAGAAAAAATGCTTTAAGAAATGTGCGCCTACAAAATGGCTTGTAACTTACAGCTAGTGTCTTTACTTGGCGCTCAAGACAAGTCTTTCAAATGAACATCCATTTTCCTCTACTTTTAACAACAATTAATTGTCTTTTTGCTCTTGTTGCCTGGTGGGATACACGCGTTGAGCCGAAGCAGACAGGAACATTTCACGAAATAAACAATGTCAACAGAATGCATACAGTGAAAGACGTCAGGTCACCGACAAGGCAGTGAGCCAAATATGTCAGTTCCTCTTACAGTTCCATTAAAAATAAAAAACAGCAACAACGAAAGAAAACCGAAAATTTCAACACAAACCGTGCAATTTTAAATTACAGCTTACAGGGAGTTTATATGTGTTCTTTACCTTCCAAAGGCTGAACAGCTTAGAGGCACTCCTTTAGACAAGCTAACTGCACTGTTGATCCACAAAAATCTCGTGGAGGCTTGTTTCAAGAGACCAGAACCAAAAATCTTCTTAATCAAAATATTAACCTTTCATAGATGGATTAGAATCGTATGGCGGCACTACTGCAGCTAATACACATTAGTAAGAGTCAAATAAAATTATCTCAGGAAAATCTTCAATCGACCAAACACAACGCTTCCCGTCTTATCAATAGCTCATCAAATCAAATGCGGGGATGCTTTTGCTGCATAAGATCAGATCAGATCCACCTGCACTAGCTGCTAACCAATCGGTTTTTAACATTCAGCCAGAACTTCCCCATACGTTTGGACTCGATCTCTTCTTTGTTCATTTCTTTAATCATACGTGTTTACTGAAAAGATAGCGTGTTCGCCACCTTGTTTGTAGCCAGTTAGTCAGTCAGTTATCTAATTTCAAAATGTAAATGAAGAGTAACGTTGACGGCAGCTTCGTTATCTTTGTTTTCTTCTCACCGGAAACGAGGTGTTTTAAATCAAGAAAGCCGACAATTCCAAACAACTGCTGTCCGGTCTTAGACAACTGCAATGAAAGCACCATTCGAAACGAAAGCGCTGGAGACAAGCTAGCCTATCACAATGATTTCTGAAAATTATTCTTAACAAACAATTTCATAATTGCAAGAGAAAGCCTCATAGGGAGACAAGGGCCTGTCAAAACTGAAGCAAGGTCAGGTACTCTAATGATTAGGAATGTGCAGATTGGCTAAAACTTGCCAAATTAAAGTATACCTGCGTTACAACAACCACTAGTACGTCATGCGAACGCATTTGAAGTGTTACCTTTTTGGGGGGGGGGGGATCTTACTCATGGAAGGGAGGAGTATCTGAATGCTTACAAAGGGTTTCACAGGTGGTGTGTGTTAGTATGTCGGTGAAGGCGCGCGCTACAAACAGAGCTCGGAATTAAACACAACCAGATTCCAATAAACATCTGCAATGTACTGTCCTTGGAGAATTTTCAACGATACAGGCGAGTCAATGTCAAAAATATCAGCCTTATTTCCGTTCGTATTTCCAGTTATGATGGAGAGTAAATCCGTCCAAAAATATAGAGACTAAACCAAAGGAGAGACGAAAAAGACAAAAAAACCAGGGTGTTAGTTTGCTACATTGAAGCTTGTTCAAACCCACAAATGTCTTTTTCAATTTTCAAGCCATAATGTAATTAACAAAAATGTAAAGAAAATGCATTAATCACTTTCACTCTTCATTTGAACCGTGGTTTTCTGGCGAATTTCACTTCAAAGCATTCGAAAACAATAATCGAACGATAGAGCTATGCAAGAAGTTTCATTAATCAGTTCTCAGTTCCTATTCACTTCTTTCCCTCCTTGAAAATTCACTCGTTTTTTCTTTGTTTTGCTCTTTCTCCGTGGAAGTTTCTTCGAGAGTTTTTCCTCCTCGTTTAAACTAATTTGGATTCCATCTGAGTTCTGTTTCCGTCTGAAAATCATAACATCAAATACCATAAAAAGGGTGGTAAATACCACGGCTTATTGAGCAACAATCGTCTAATAGAGCCATTATTTTCAGTTAGGGTCACCCACCAGAAATGTAGTAACACCTTGTCTCAGTCACAAGTAGAAAAGGATGACTTGTCGAGGAGAACTGATGCACTACTAGGCTAGCTTACAACAATGCTTTTCTTCAAATTAAGATACATTAGCGCTGATGGAACATTTTCTATCACGGATTTATCTTACCCTCCATCTCTATAGATATATAAGAAATTGTTAACAAATCTTGATGGGCAAAATAGCAGTACCTTTTTCGCGGGGGATTATTCGGGCGCTGTAAACAGTCTCGTCTCTTGTGTCCAAAGCCCCCGCATACGTGGCAAGTGCCAACGTCTACTGATCTGGTAAAATACGGTACAGGAAAATACGGTACAGGAAAATAATTACAGGAAAATAATTAGCAGATGTCCTTCTGTTAGACCAACTTTCCTAATCACGCATAATCTTGATTTTTCGGAATGTTCAATCAAATTGATTGGTGCCACAAAAATCATCACTCAATGTCAAAAAAGCATGATAGAGGCAAACAGACCGAGGCATACCTCTTACACTGGTGTCCTTTAGTCTCACAGCGACCGCAAGTCATACAGTGAACACGGCCTGTATGTCAATAAAAAACAATCATTACAAGGCAGGTTATTTGATTATGTTGGCGGAGTCTCATGTAAATCATACTAACATAATCTACAAAGAGAGCCCACAGAATTAGATTATGTGGTCTTTGTTTATAACAGAGCCGGAGGGCAAAATTGCCAAATTCTGACTGGCTAAGAGACAGGGAGTTATTTTCGTAATTTCTTTCTCCTGAGGCATTCTTTTCATTTTGATTGGCTATGCACGCAATAATTTTCAACCTTTACTGCTTAAAGTACTCTCTTAAGATCTCTTGAAAAGACAACTTTAATCCGAAATTGTTTTTTTTTTTTTTAAATTTATTTTTTAATCGAAAGCAGCGAAAAGCGGCCTGCAAAAGCTGGTTGCAGTTAAGAGATTTGATCGAAGGAAGAGAAGGGTTTTTCGATCAAAAATTATATTCATTAATGTAAACCGTTCATCGAGTTCACTGGTGTACTTGCACCAAGAAATTCTTAGCACTCAAGATTTCATTGTTTTCTTTTTTTTGCTTTGGACCAATTCTGCACCCACTTACATTGTAAATGGTGGGGTAATTTTAATCCGTGGACCACAATGAAAATTAAAGTGACAACAGCCTTGGTACTTGGACAAAACGTTTACGAGTTTCATCCGCGAGATAATCTTACGCGATGGCCGGCCCAGAAAATTTTGATGAACAAATCTGAACTACCTATACATGTAAAATCCATTTATTTATCTGGGGCCCTCGGTCAGCGGAAAAGATATAATTAAGTGGGCAAGAAGAAAATGGCGCATGCCAGGTGAAAAGCGAGGGGAGAGTGTGTAAAAACCTTACTCGAAACAGTCTGACTAATACAAGTTCCATAGAAATCAAAATCGCACAGAGAGAAAAAATAAGGATAAGATCAGCATATAGCACGAGTCAAATGTCAACTCTTTGGGTCGGAGACTGTAAGCGAGCCAGCTTAGAAAAAACGCACCTGGTATGACATCACAAGAGTGGGCTTTGGGGTCTATAGGCCTGGGTCGCACTAGAGCTTTTTCTTGTTTAAGTGAAAAATTTGTCAACAAGTAGCGTAAAATAGGTGCAACCCCCAATTTGAAAACTTGTCAAACTTTTGGTTCGTCATATGAATCAATCAGAGAAGTTTTGGTGAAATGATTTTAGTTTGATGCTACCACCGCCAAAATTTGGAAAGTGCGAAAATTTTGCCAATTTTTGATTTGCCAAAAATTGGAAAATATTCCAATTTGCTCTAATGCGACCCGGCCCTAAGAAACCGCAAAACCGTAGAGAAAATCACCCAAAACCGCACAATCGCAGAACATATCTATATATATATATATATATATAGATATATAGCTCTTTGGCATACAAAGCTTTGCTTTCATGTCCAAATTGAGCACTCTATCTAGGATGAGTCATTGCTGCTGCAATTGCGCATGCTCGCTAGTTTACTCTAGTTTGAGCACTCTGGCATGGCTTAGACGATACCACAAAGGTTGGGTCGTTTGGGGTGACCGTCTCGGTTCTCCTCCATCCTAGCATTAACACTGCACTGATGAGGTCCAGAAGGCCGAAACAATTCTGTCTGCAGTTAGTTATATATATATCTATCAAAACCGAAAACAGCTTGCAAATCCGTCAAAACCAATAAATTTTCACAACCCAGTTATCAAAACCCTAATCGATCAGATGCCGTGGTGACAAGTAGAGCGTACAGAGGTTTCGCAGCTATTAGAGATCAGTGCACGGTGGCGCATAACTGCAACTCAGATCGAAGAGAAACCGGAACCTAAATAAGAAAAACCGAAATCCGGAAATCATTAGTATTTTTAACGAAAACCGAAAACCAAATCCTAAAAAAATGGAAATCCGCTAACTGCAACGAACATCAAAACCAAAAAATTCGATCTAAAAAATAGACAAGACCGAAAATCCCAAAGCTCACCCTTATAGTACTTACCTGGCTTGACACATGTACCACACATTTCACAATGAACATATTGCCTCCCGTCCTGAAAAAATAAAAACTGTTTTCAGCTAAATCAGCACTGAATTTAAATCACCGGTGTAACGTCACGAAAAAGAGGCTTCCACGTTAAGATATTTTATGATACTATACACGTACAGTGTACCTTTGACATACAACCATTACATTTCTCACAGTGGATATTTTCAGGTGCTACATATCTGTCACAACTCTTGCAAAACCTAAAGAGGTAAAAATTTTGAAATCAAAATCTTGTTCGGCCAAACTGCTCCAAACCTTAGCACGTCGAGAGTTACGCTTCGTCCACCTCCTTCCGACGTTCACTCAAAAATACTTATTTGAGCAGGCAATTTGGCCCACTCTTCAATAGCAGACCTGAACATCTTGGATGTTGAACAGAAATCATTGAGTATAAAGATCGAACGTTCATACCTGTACCCTTCAGATGAAGGAAGAACCACATCAGCAGGCTTCATGTTCGTGAAGAGTCTAACGGGTGAACCACGTTTAGAACCCTTCTGACTTTTGCTCTTGAAACATGGATGGTTATCATAGTCAACCTGTCCAAATAAATTACACTTAGTTTTTCAGTTCGATATGGAAGGGTATATAACTTTCTTTAATATAATTCACGGGGTTTTAAATATGACCTCATTTTCTCTGCTGAGGAAGTGAAAAAAGTACTGGTGGACCAATCACTCTCATTGTGGTGGTGCATGTAAATGTACATGTATGACCCTCTTCACCCTAAGATGAAGTTGGTTACCTCATTTCACCAAAAACTGAAGTTGGCCCAGCAGTCTAAGTCACTGACCAGGGTAAATTCTCATAAAGCTTCACACGTCCCATGTCAGCCACTCAATATGAAATAATAGATAGATCATGATCCAGACCTTATAATCTAGCATGTTGAATGACGGCAAAGCAGCTTTCATATGAGGCTCCATAAAGTATGGAAATATCCAAACTGTTGGTAACTCAACCCCTGATTCACCTGAAAGGAAACATTACATTATATTATTTTACATTATATCATATTACTTCAAAAGTAGAGGAATTAATGACAGACCCAATGAAAATGTTTAAAGAAACTTGCTGCACACTATGGTTGAAATCTACAGAAATTCTACCCAGTTTAAGCAGAAGTAGTGCCTACCACGAATGATTTAACCAGCCAGCTACCATACAAGCAGAAGTAGTGCTGACCACAAATGATTTAACCAGCCAGCTACCGTACAAGCAGAAGTAGTGCTGACCACAAATGATTTAACCAGCCAGCTACCGTACAAGCAGAAGTAGTGCCCACCACGAATGATTTAACCAGCCAGCTACCGTACAAGCAGAAGTAGTGCTGACCACAAATGCTTTTAGTATCTTTCTAATTCTTTTCTTTTTGTTTTTAAATTTGTCCTTTTTTTAACGGCCCACATGTACGCTTCAAATTCGAACTTAATTTGTTAGTTATTGCCGTTAATGAACTTTACACTCCAAAGTCACAAAGAGCACGCTTGGGCCGCCTGTGATGTAAGTACTGTAAGTACTGTTCTTTGTGTGGTTATAATTATAATAATAAAAAAAATACAATTCATAAACTGATGCAGTTGCCTCTCAGCAAGAATGTAAACTCAAATGTACAGTGTATGTGTATTCATTTCATTTTAAGACAACATACATGTAGACATTGAAGATTGAGGATGGACCTCTAGCAATCAAAATAATAACACTTGACAAGTTATTTAGTGTTACACAACTAATGTTAACAATTACCATGAAAATGAGCCTGTCTCCAGGCATCCCACATGTTTTTCACTGAGAAAGAAAGAACCTCAGTAAGGCCACCAAATGGAGGATCCATCACCAACACTACACCCTGCCTCCTCATGAACAACTTGAATACCTCTCTTCTTGAATTATTTCCAAAGAAGTAATGATTAAACATATTGTACCAGCAAAACTTGGATGGTGGGAAAAATTGAGCCTGTATAATTAATAATAATAAATTAATAATAACATGTACAGTAAGAAATGCTTTGAAACAAAAATAAGTCAAAGGATATCTGCAATATTTCAACTCCTTGAGAGCGTCATGACGTACATATCTGAAGTCAATGTCCAGAAGAAGACTATCCAAACAACCAGATGGTAAGTCATCAGATTTCCGACAGGCTTGAATTTCCTCATGAAGTCTATGAAAAGGAAATAATGGAAACATTAACTGACTTGAACTGAATCTCTTAAGAATAATTGCAAGATTAATTAAATGTTTGTCACCTAGGGGTAGTATGACATGCCTTGAAATTGTACAACATAGTTAAATCAAGGCTGCCTGACTATGTAATATGTATGTACAAGAAAGAGTGGAATAGGCCCTCTGTGTGGACATATGAATGTAATAATTGAACACATCAACCACAGATGAATTAACTTAATAATGATGCAAACCAGAAAACATTCACACGACCATGCATGGTTCACTCATGTTGTAGAACGCTGGACTATCATGCAGGAGGTAGAAGGGTTCAATCCCCAGACCTGACAAACACTCTGCATTTAACCTAAGTCAGAAGAAGGTGCTGCCTTTGCTATGGCATCCCCAAAATGGTTAGACATTCTAGTCTTCTCACAGTAAGGATGATAAAACATAGGCCCCATCTCCTGCATCTTCTCTGTTCTGGTTTGCAGGGGACATGAAAGAACCCATGCACCTCTCCCAAGAGTAGAGAACCATGGGAATCAAACCAGCTTCAAAGCTGAAGTGGGCCAGCCTGTCTAAATATTGCTAAATAAACAAATACATCAAACATGAAAATACACATACCTTGGTGTGCCTACACATAGCACATTGTGAAATCCTAATTCCTTAAGTAGACAAACTAGGAACTGTGTTGTCTTACTTGAAAATAAGTATTGCTACAAAAAGTGAGAGGAAACATTCATTTAGCTGTACAAATGATGTAACTGAATTGCAGTAAATATAAGGGAGGAGCCATCTAAAGACATTGCAAAGACCAGAGTATAATGGAAAGACAGAACTACATCAATTAAGGACCTAGTCTGATATATTACTGGTATGGTCTGCATTATAGAGTATTATTTTTTCAAGAGGGGACTGAAAATCAAATGCAAGTAGGCTAGCTTCACTCATTCCCAGTATTTCAATATAGATGAAGACATCCTCCCAGCTGGACACAGCATCCATGTTAGTGAGTCATTTACAAAATTTGATACATACTGCTTGCGTCTTTTCATTTTCTCTTGGTCTTAGAATAAGAGTTGGCTTGGATAGATCAACAGCTTCTTCATAATCATGTGACAGATGATTTTTCTTTTCGTTATGTTGAAACAGCAGGCCACAAGAATGACAATGAAAACATTTCTTCCCTTGGAGATTATCTGATTCATGAAAGATGCTTGAGTATCTTAAACAGGCTTCATCATGTGACCGTCTTAAATTTTGTATCATTCCTTGATGAGCTTCTTTCCTAGCCTCTGACACTATATCTCCTTCCCACTGAAAAAATGAACAGTGTTTTCTGTCTCTGGATGCTGAGCATGCATAGAACCTCTGAGGTAACCGACCATCTTTGTAAAATCTTTCAAACAGGAGCATTGGTCCTTAGAAGATAAAGCAAAGATGATAATTTACAACTGGTTGCTTCTGGGGGAATGAGACAAATATTCACAAAAGAATGTAGATCTGCACTAATTTTTTTTTTTTTTTTAACCCACACTCAAAAAGAGATTCAGCTTATTTCAGATGGGAAGCCTTTTTTTTCCAAAACCTCCCAGAAGCTGCCATGACATCTGTTTGACTTAAGGCAGTACCAGAGGCTAACTCACCCTATTTCAGAAATGCCTTTATTTTCTCATATATCAAAGATTAATGTTTAACTGGGTAATTTTGTTTTTATTAACTCGGTTGATAATGTAAATTGGCCACCGTAAAGAGTTTCAAAGCTTAACTCTTTACAGTGGCCAACTTTCTTTATCAACTCAGTTGATAAAAACAAAATTACCCTGTTATACTCCTACACTGATGCAGCACCACAGCTGTCTCCTTAGAAACTTATCCCCTTTATTTTTTAAGTACTAGCCTATTTGCAAAATTTTTCAATTTGAAAATGTTCCATTTTTTTTAAATACATGCAAAAGAGGTGTCATTTCTAAGGATGAATCTCATGGCAAAATGCAATTGTGTAGAGATACAATCCTGGTCTAATGGTGTTGAGATGACATTTCAGACACATCCATTCAAAAATGAAATATTTCAAAGTGCTCTTTTCTTTTTTCAACCATAAATGGAACCAGAAAGGAGCTCTACAGTAGCTGACGACTTATTTTCCAAGCTACGAAAACCCAAGTGTGTTTTCGTTAGCCTTTCTATGATAAAAGTTCCAATGATATTTCTGATCTTTGGGACATTCGGCAACCATGAGCGAGTGGATAACCATATATTTGATTATGTCATGCCATGTTTAATAGATCGAAAGTTGTGACTTTTAAATGCCTAAACCACATTGTGTTTTTGTGGTTCCTGATGATGCACTTTCCCTCTTTTCACTTCCCAGCCAAGCAACATCAATTTCTTTAAGTCACGAGAAAGCCTTTAACATTCAATGCTTCCTCTACTCTTGTGTTGCTCTTTTATATCTCGCTAATGCACAGTAAGGAGTCAAGATTGTTTCAACACTGCAGGAAAGGTGTCATTGCTGCAGATGGTACAAATGTTTATAGTCTCTTACCAAAACAAAAATTAGGAAATGAAGAGGTCAGTTAGTCCTGATGATTTGAAATAAGCTTATGCATGTCAATTAATGTCTTAAAATAAACTACAAACGCTCGATCTCAAGAATTCATCAAATTCTAAAGCCGAAGTCATTTATCCGGGAACAACTACAAATCAAAGATTAGAAACAGTGATTCCCCTTCACCGTGTAATACAATCGCTTTCAGAGTCTACACGAGGAAAATAGCAAAATCCTCGGGGCATACGTGTTTAATTGGATATACAAATCTGTAAGCTGTTAGCGTGGCACTTGGCTTACCGTGAGGACACTCTGGAGCTAACTCGGGATTTTCCTTAGACAAACAAACGTCAACTCCATATCTCTCCGCTGCTGGGTGCTGAAACTCCATAATGATCTTTGAGAGTAACAATCACAATTTATTATCATTAGTTACCGTAGTCGTTACCGTGAAAAGAGGCCGACCAGGCCTCCATTTTTTGTGGGCAGCGGTATACAGCGGAAGACAAATCCTCGTCATGTCAGCACAAATCAATCTAATAGTCCCTGAGAACAAAGCGAGTTGTAGAGTTAGTAACTTCTACGAGCGTGCACGGTATCCACTGGAGTTTCTGTATAATTAATTGAATGGCCAATACTTCATGTCGTATCGTAACTTTGAATACCTATACGATGTTTTACTGGAACGACTAAATAAAAAGGTCTTTAACTCTACTGGCGCATTACTACTGACCCATTAAGATCTTAGGCATGTTGTAGTTCATAACTGGTCTGGCAAATTGTTCCGCAGAGTGAGGGAGCAATGACTGAAAAAGTGCGCTTTTCCATAGGACTCAAGATTATGTGCTCGTGTTTCCTTAAGTAGGTGAGAAGACGGGCCGCAGCATTTTGAACGTATTGGAGTTTTTCCCATTGATGCCGAGGGAGACCAGATAAAATAGAGTTAGAAGTCGATTCGAGAATTTCCAAAGGCTTCTATAAGAATGTCATAGTGCTTGCGCGATGGGAACCTTCTGATTATGGACAAGTTACTGCGTAGATGGTAGAAAGCTGTTTTGCAAAGAAAATTCACATGCCTGCTCATTGACAGGGTGTTATCAAAACTAACACCGATGTTTTTAGCCGAGTCACTTGAACAGCTAAGTTTCTTAAGCCAAATTAAATGCCAATTCTGTAAATATGGAGATGATTAGACTATGATTCTGTTCAGGAACAAAGAAGTCTCAGTCGATCGACAACTGTTCTTTGACAGGGAATGGCCTTCAAACAAACCCTCTCAATAGGCCAGTATTAGAAATTTTCCCAGCTACGGAAGAATTCAAAACAAGTGAAATACACCTGCGGCCACAAAAGATATCGGCAGGTTTTGAATGCTATACCATTTGCTTAAAGCAAGATATTTGGGCGACATTTAAAAAACTGTCCTCACCTCCTGGAAAAATTCCTTATTATAAATGGTCAGGAGCTAAAGCTGGATGAAGCATTAGTAATGAACTTGTTTCAGTTTGGGTCTCAAAGAACAAAACTGCTAACCTTGACGACGGAACCAACACCTCCGAAAAAGGTCGCAAGATGTGTCGGATACGTAAAACATCCACAAATTAAAAAAAATCAATGAAATTACATGATCAACCTTAAAAGTTCTTACTGAACGTTACACAGGAGTGGCCATGGTAACACAGAAATGTATGGAGAACATATATTTCCATACCCTTGTGACCTGAAGATATCAGGTTTTTTCAGTGGCTGTTAAATTTGTCCATGATCTGCTTTTAACTTGCTCTTACTTTCAGTGTTTCGAGTTTTGTTCATGTTTTGTTCTATTAACTATGATGTAAAGCACTGGCTTCTCAGTCACTCAGTTGGCATTCCATATGATGGTTGTGTTTATTGACGTGTCCATCGTTAATTGGAATAGTTACTAGAACTTGTCGGTTTGACTTGAGTTGCAGTCAAGTTGGTGTCTTTTCTTACTTTGGACTGATAAAATTTGAAAGAAAGCTTTGTGACTTAATTACTGTTCAACAAACATTTTCAGATGAAACCATAACTACTTCAATCAGAACACGTGTTTAAGAAATTCTTCTTGAAAGGAAATACCTATAACATAGTTGGAACTTCTCACCGGCAGGCGACCATCTGTCTCCCTTTTAATGAGTTGTGGTTGCGTTTTGTCACTTGTGTTGAAGTCTGAGCTTTTTACAATTGTGATTGACTACTATTAGCCGGGTTTCTTTTATGATCTGCCATCAGCCTACGAAGTTCTGTTGCTGTTGTGACTTTGTTGCAAAGAAAACAACACAACCCGAATGTAAATAGAGGAAATGTTTATTCAAGTCCTTGAACTTTAGTGAACTCATAAATTCTCCCACGAAAATTACACCTGAGTCTTCTGCGATAATTTACGTGATTGCTACAAAAAATCCTCAAAAGATACGATCTTCTGGTGCGTTGTCTTCCGGCCTCAGCGATCACCTGTACGAAATAAAAACTTTCACGAATTATGCAAATTACGACTAAAACAAGGTTTGTCAAGATCTTAGTGACGTTTGCGTAAGCACTTTAGGACTCTATTGTAAATGATCTTTGGACAAGTTTCAAAGGCTCATTTGTGCCCATTGTGGATAAGCACGCCCCATTGCTAACCAAGAAGGTACGTGGTCTCACCTACCCTTGAATGAATGGATCGATTAAACGTGAAATTCGTTAACGTGAATTCTTGTTATGCAAAGCGCTCGTGATAATCCCGATAAGTGGTGATAATTTTCGAATTATCTCACTACTCTTTATTGTTGCATCTTTAAATCATGGGGATGCGTCCCTTCTGAAAGGAAATGGGCACGTGTAAACCCTTTGTTCAAGAATGGTAAGGCGAATGACATGGATAACTATTGGCTGATATCTGTACTTCCGACCATATCCAAGGTTTTGGAAAGAATAGTTCAGTATCCAGTTACGTGGTTTTCTGGCGAATGAAAAGTTACTTAGTCCTTATCAATTTGGTTTCCGCGAGGGCCACTCTACTGAATTGGCTGTCTTACAATTCAGTGACAGCATAATGGTAGTGTGCATCAATGTCTACTAACTGGGGCAGTGTTCGCCGATATGCGGAGAGCATTTGATACAGTGGACCATGAACTACCACTGGAAAAACTTTCGAAAGGATATGGAGTCACTGGAAAAGAGCCTTGGTGGTTCAAAGATTACCTTACTGATAGAGGACAAGTGTTGACAGTCCTAAGTACTTTGTCAGATCCCTGTGATATTACTTATGGTGTGTCGTATGGTTCAATCCTTGGACCATTGTTGTTTGTACTGTTCATAAATGATCTACCTGCTGCTATTAATAGGTGTGCTATATTATTATACGCTGATGATGCTGTTATTTTTGTACTCCACAAGGGCAATAAGATCTTAGAAGAAACATTAAATGACGAACTGAATGAAGTGAATAGATGGATTCAAAGCGTCGAAAATTGTAATTACGTGTAAATGTAGTACGGCATCAATTGATTATCTTAAATTTTAAAGTTTAGAGGATCGCCATAGCGCTCATAGGTTTAGTGAGAAAGTGTTTAAATAACAGAGTACCAGTTTTTAAAGAAGTACGTTAAGTTTGTATACTTGCCTGCCAAAAAAAGCTTTTATCATGATGTTTCAGTAGTTTATAATATATTTTTAGAAAATAAGAATTTGTCTTATAAGTTTATATTTGTACATTTCTACAAAGTCATAGTTTAGGACCCACTGAATTACTAAATCTTTGTATATATTCATATTTTACTGTGTTTAAGATTTCTATATAATTGTACTTCGTTTCCTTGATTATAGGGCTCCTATTAAAAACAGAATACCATGTATTCTGAAGGGATTACCCTATTTGAAAACAGGTCTTCTACGAGCATTACGTTTCTACACCCGCGAGAGAGTACGAGGCGTTGATCAACGCGAGCCGGCTGGAGATCTGTGAGGGCTTAGGAGGTTTAGCACTGATAATTATTAGTGGGCCCCTTATGGCAAACCACTTTTCCATGTCAAATTGATTCTTGTCATTCTTCGTTTAGTTTATGTAATAAGATGTTGTCAAATGAAAGTCCGAGCAGTCCAAGTTACACCAGACATAAACAAAACAAACAGAAACAAAAACAAACAAAAAACAGAAACAGAAACAAACAAACAGAAAAATGAGACCAACAAAAAAATCAAGAGCGGACCACGAACTGTTATTTCAGCCTTTATCGCCAACAAGCCATTTGGCTGCGAGGAGATTGCGGCAGAAGCGGCGAATTCGAGCCGGCCAGAGGACTGTGAGTGGTTTTTGTTACAGAACCCTCGCGGACCTCTCGCGCGCTTACATCACTCGCCGGCTCAAAACGTCACTGTACTAGAAAGAGTGTACTCGTAAGCTGAGAAGCCACCGAGTACCTAATCTTGAGGTCAATTTGAGAAACAACATAAAGATGTAGAGCGGTTTCAAACTTTTTAGGAACTTGAGATCGAGACTAATCTTTGGAGCTGCCATTTCTACCTAGTATCTAGGTATTGGAGTCGACAGTTGCTGCTCCAAGTAATGTTTACAGGAGCAACAGTATAAAAGAATGACAGTGACAATAAAGTGTCCATAATGTCTTTAAAAGGACGAATTCAATTCCTTTTAGAAATTTGTTGTGTAAAAATAACATTAATTTTACAATTTTTACCCGAAAGCTATGCCGGGAAAAAGATTTATCACGCAAAGAACGCGCGTGGAAGGTTACAGATGTATCATTAACTATTGTGACGTCAGACCAATTTACTCAGATAAGTGCATGAGTTAGAAAGACACTTTGGCCGAAATATTGACATGGATTGGACTAGAAACCATTCAACTCTGAAAACCAATAACTAATGTCGAGCGATGAAGCTGTTGGCGCATTAAAGTGAGAGCAGGTGCAAGTCATCAACAACACAATATTTGCTATGGCGAGCGACAAACCGTTGAGCAATGAACTTGTTGAGAAATATCTGGACGATCATCAAGATTTTGCCAAGAGCTACTTTGAGCGAAAGGCAACTTCCTCTATGGTTGACAACTGGATGAGCAGCAGATCGCATAGGCCTGGCTCACGAGCTATGCAAGTGAACCATCTTCAGAGAGACCTCATCAAACCTCAGCTAATTCTCAAAGCAGATGGTGATTTCAAGAATGACAAGCTGAATTCAATATTTGGACCGGCTCGCGATGAACGGAAACGTTCTGCACCACGACGTAAATCCAGCTTCAGAGATTTGGATGAGAAAGAGTTGTTTATGGAATTGATAAGAGACATCGCAAACGAGTTAGACATAAATATGCTGAGCCACAAAATCCTGGTTAACGTCAGTATATTGACAAACGCTGACCGCTGCTCGCTTTTTCTTGTGCGAGGTTCGCGTGGAAATAAAGTTCTGGTTTCCAAGCTTTTCGACGTGACATCTGAATCCACGGTCGAGGAT